CGTCTAATACTTTTCTAACAACTTGCAATGTTCGGTAAAAGTTGCTCCGCCTACTAAAACATCATCTATGTAACAGATGACTCCGTGCCATTTTAAATGGCTTAATATGGAGTCTATAGCTCTTTGGAATGTGGCGGGACCACCGCACAATCCAAAGGGCATTCTTAAAACTCAAATTGACCGTCCATGGTCACAAAAGATGTTTTCGGTATGTCTTTCGGAGCCATTCTGATTTGCCAAAACCCGCATTAAAATCAAGACTTGAAAAATATTTAGAATTTCCAAAACATGATATTGCGTCATCAATTCTTGAAGGGGCCATAAAGGTCTGCTAGTCACAGCATTTAAACCTCGCAAGTCACAACAGAATCTGGGCGGCTTCGTCGACCCTTTACGTTTTACAAGTAACACTGGGCATGCCCAAGGAGATGTGGAAGGGCGAATGACGTTTTGATCTAACATTTCCTGTACTTGCGAATTGATTTGTATTCTTTGTGCATAGGACACGCGGTAAGGAAGTTTTTTCACTGGCTGATTTCTTCCTGTGTCGATCTCGTGCATAATGTTGCCACAATCACCGAGCGGCCTGTCCTTACTAGGAAACACTTTTTGATATTTCACAAATAATCTGACTAATATATTTCGCTCTTCCGTAGATAATCCTGAATGAAACTTCATTGTTTTAATGTGTTGCATCAGCTCATCTTTATCTATGGCGGCAATATCTGACGATTCTAGTTTTGTTATCGGCACTTCTGCTACTGCATCTACGGGTTCCATATGACCAATAAGTACACCTCGTTTGAGTTTAATATCTTTATCAGAAAAGTTAGTTATTAGTATGTTAATTTTTCCGTTCTCTGAGCGTACTACACTATTTGGAACTGCTACAAGATGACTATGTAATAGTAATTTGTTTCCCAATACGAGTACGTCTCCGTTGTAAATGTCAGGCGCTGAAAGTGTCAATATCGTGCCGTGCTTTGCTGGCAACACTGTGGTAGATGCTAGTTTTATGCCGGCTCGATCCCATGTAATGTCATTTACTGATTCGGGTGAGCAAGACATTTCCGTGTCCAGCGGTGGCGGCCCTGGTGGCACGCGAGGCAATGCCGATGAATCTGACCTTTCGTGTGCGCCGGTGTGGGTGTCCGTAGCAGTAGATTGCAGCGGAGCTGCAAACGACTGCGTGAACTCAGTGGTGCAAACCGCCTCCTTAGCCGACGGGCTTGAAGTAGAGTCAGGTTGCACTGGGGCATGATGTGCGCCGATGGCACGACAGGTGTGAGTGCCAGGGGCAATGGGGAAGGGACGTGCGCCGGTGACGGCGTGGGAGAGTCTGTACTCTGTACTGTACTCGTATTATCGTCATGTTCACCCGCAAATAACGGTGATGATGTATTGGTTGCGGTAATAATGTTCGAAACACTTACTTCACGAGGTACTGTATGTACGTCCGAACTGATGCTACTACCTTCGGCATCCTTTTCTGCTATGGGCTCAACGTGCAAACGATGACGATGTGCTTTCTTTAGATGATAGTGATATTGCTGTACAAAGTTTGTGCGCGGTATGAAAGTGTCAGCGAACATCATGTCCTGTACATCGGAAAGTACACGTTCTCGACTGAGCAATTTGTTGACTTTTTGTTTTGTACTGTCAACTCCGAAGTATAATTTTCCAGTGTAACTGTTTATCCACAGATTGTGCTCTTTAAGGAAATCGTTACCGAGAATAATGTTCTCGTATGGCAAGTCACAAACTATGAATATATAATGTTGTAGTGTACGATGTTCGAATGTAATAGTAATTTCACTGAAGTACGTGTTCTTAGCTTGGAACTTTTCAGAAATGGTAGCAAATCGTAATTTAGGAGCATCGTTATGAAAAGGCCGAAAATCTAAATTGAGCTGCACTGCTAAAACTTCCGATATTATGCTGCAACCTGCACCTGTGTCTATTAGAACAGGTAATTTTTGATTATTAATGTTTAGTTCGACGTAGACGGGGCTTACTGTCTGTGGCATGCTGAAGTTCGCATAAGGGCTTGACTGACTAGGTAATATCTTTATTGAATCTTTATGCATTTGGACATTGTATGTATTAATTTCGGATTCCTTAAGTACAAACGGAGGATCATATTGGCGACCATACGGACCTCCTTTACCGTAAGGTCTCATTCTTTTCCCTCGTCAGTACGCCAGTACGCGTTACCTTTTTTCGCAAGATTGTACTTTATGTAATCGTCGTACTTCTCTTGTACTCGTGCTTTAATGTCTGCTGGGCACACTCGTGCGACTTTATACCGATCATCAGGATGCGAATCCTCACACTCTTTGTAAGAATGGGTAAAATCCTCACAACGTGGACAAAATAATTTCCCATTCTGAAGCCGGTAGCTGTCGAAGTCTATGTACTTTCTATCTATCCGTTTGTAATCCTGACCTGAGCTACGTTTACTATCATCTCGTGAACGGCTGCGGTCTGAGCGATCTTTTGACCGGAAGCGGTCACTGCGATCAGTCGAGCTGAAGCGGCCGCTGCGTTCTTGCGCGCGCGGCGCCGGCGACCGGTACCGATCTGGCTTGGCCTGCCTACGGAATTCGCCAGACTGTGGTTTATCGCGGTAGTCTGCACCAGTATACCGATTGCGGCTGCGAGATCGATCTTGATAATATCGGTTTTGACGGTACTCATCACGGCTGCGTGATCTATCTGTGCGCTGGTAGCTATTTGAGCGGTCACGCGACGGGCGAAATTTATTTTCGGTAATATAGTTTACCTCAATGGGGTTTGTCTCCGTACCTGCGGCCGGACGATCCGCAATTGTTAATCTGGTCAAAATCGAGCGGAACTCACTAACTGTATGTGTTTTTGATGTTGCCAAAAAATCTTTTGTACTCTGGCAAGTCAGCTATTGCACGCTGAATTTCAGCTACTTTGTATGTTTCAGGCATTAGCGGATCTATCTGCTGAAATAACAGTTCCATTTCATCAAGAAACGCATTAATATCGGCACCTTTCTTATACACCTTTTTTGACAGTTCCATTCTCTTAGTCAACTCATAATCTTCAGGTAAAAATCGCTTAGTAAACTGTGCTTTCCATTCATCGTATGGTAAATGGGAGTTTTTCTGCCATAACGACTCAAACAAACGTCTAGGCATATCGCCTAAGTAGTTCAGTAGCATCTGTAATTTTCTACCTGCGTCCCAATTAAGTGCTGCAGCGGCACGCTCAAACTGCTGGAAAAAATCTGTGATAATATAATCGGGCTTGTTGTTAAAGATTTCAATTTTAAAGTCCTTAGCCTGTAGTCTGGCACTGTTGTTATTCATCGTTAATGTGCGCAACAAATCTGTCAGATCAGCTGGTGATTTTGCCGGTTCGGGAATACTATTATGTACAGGCGCATTTAATGTATAAGTACTCGTATTTCGGTGTGTACTGTTAATCTGCGTCCTATTCTCTGTGTTTGTTGCCGGTTCGTGTTTAATGTCTGCCCTGTGGTCAATGCACATGTTGGGAGATTGGACTGTCTCTGCAGCCGGTTTGGTCTGCGCTGCACTCTGAATGCATTCAGCTGCTACGATCAGCGATAAGTTTAATAATTCGTCTGTATTTGCCCTGCCGGCCTGCCTCTGCTCAGACGTGTAGCACGTGTCGAGAGCGTGGCATATTTCTCTCATCCTCGCTGCGGCTGGGTGTGACTGAACTTGTCCTGTATACTCTCTGGAAGAGTATACGGAGCGGAGACTGTGAGCGGGGAATTCTCTGTACTGTACCCCGGCTCAGCCCATCTGAACGCTGACGGCGGGTTCTTCTCTGGCTCTGTGGCCTCTCTGGGCTGACCGACGGCCAGCTCTGGTTGCGCGTTGAACGCTGCGCGTGAAACTGTGAATCTGAGCGCGCTGTCGCGTATGAGCTGCGGGAGGGAGAATCTGTCTGTCTGACAAGGTGTGGTAGAGGTGAAGGATCTACTGTGGAGAAAGGGATTTTATGTGTTGTCATGTATTCGGCTAATGTTTTCACGAAGTGGCCTTTCTTCTTAGACTGGGCAATGTTTTGGTCAAGACGCTTGCTGACTGCGAGCAGTTGAGCTTTCGTTAGATAGCTCAGCTGGTCTGTCAAAGATTCTGGCTCGGATGCCATGGATCTACTGGAGCGATTCTTTTAATGTTTGGGAAAGGAATCTACATTTCTCTTCCTTATGTTCGGTAATGTGGAAAAGAACCATTTGACTGGCGCCAGGCTAATGTAAGCTGCTCATTCTCTAACATATACAGTACTTATACTGTGATACGCACAAAACAAGATTGGGTGTGCCACGTGAGAAAGTATGTAATTTACAAAAGAAATAATATTTATCCTGAAAACTTATGTAATGTGTGTATAATTTTAATATCAGTAATGTGAGAAAGTTAAAACAACAATTGAGTTAGCGACTGCAAAACGACAAGATCGTCGGCTTCGATAACTTTAGCCGGCTTAGGTGGAAATATAAGTAATCAAATCCGACAAAATTGAAATTATGTTTTCACCAACTGCAACATGGTAGTAACTTACCCATTGATAATCGCGGTATGCGGTAATCTTTAAGGAAATCCGGTATTTCCGGTCCCTTATGAATGGCAAGGAAGACTTTCTGGTGGTGGGTGGAAGCACGCGATGTGCAGGTGAGGCGCTTGACTTCCTTGGAAAGCCGTCTAGGTAATGTGGGGCGTAAGATTTTGGCAAGCGAGTCGGCGCCGGATAGAATTAAACTGGTCCGAAGTCCAGGAGCGCCATGCAACAGCAGCCGGTTAAACTGCTGTTCTAGTGGGATGGTTAATCCACCGTACCACGATGTAGCGGCTGTTAAGGCTAACTGACAATCAAAAGGCTGGCACGATCAGCAGCGATGCTGACCGGAAGTAAGGTGGCAATTACACAACTACTGTGTGGGAGATGAGATGATTCATCTCGAAGTGTTTACAAACAACAAACGCAAGACACGGCAGTCACGGCAAGATTCTTATTAGCAAGTACACAGGGCAAGAAGGCAAAAAGCAAGGTTAGCTAGCTGGCAAGGAGCAAATCCAAGAATGATTCTAGTGCGCCAAAGTAAAAGTTAAGAGCATCGAGATTGTAGCGGTAAAGCGGTAAGACAATGAGATGCTGATTCACATGATCTTAATGAGGAAGACAAGCAATGAATGAACCAATAACTGATGTAGAAAAGCAATAAACAATCCCAACTGGCGGTACTAAGATTTTCTATCGTTACAATACCGTAATTGATCAGAATAATATTGCGTTAATCATTACAGGAGAATATCACTTTAATACGATTAATACCGATTGGAAACGTAATATCGAATTTTTTTAATCTTATACAAACAACAAAAACATCCAAACTTGTACGAAGAACAATAACACTCTCCTATTTTCTCTGGAAGCCGCTGACTGCGCGGCTACCTGAGTGCGTAGCGGTGGGGGCTTTTCATTTTCCACTAGTACCGTTGCCGGGACGGACGCCTCCTGGCCAAGTGCGGCTCTGTTTGGCACGGTACGATTTCTCAGCCAGCCACTGAAGCCTTGCGAGTACACTGTATTCATAATGAACGGCATGAGCATTTCTACGGCTTGATACCCGCTCAGCGCGTCGCCACACTCCCTGAAAAAATAATGATACTTACGAATTTGTCACAAATGTTTTGTACAGTTATTTTCGGCGCCTGTTGTACCCCGTCCCGAATGATTCCACTCCAAATAAGGCCCATTGGTCGGTCTCTGCAAACAAAGTTAATTTGAAGTGTTTAACTGAGATTAGCACGAAACGTTAGCCGAGGCTAAAATTAAGTAATTCTATACTTTGAGTTTTCCCGTAGCTCTCTATTTTGAACTATTTATAACAGTAGATTGGCTGCCTCCGTTACTCAGACATTGGAAATCATCGTTTTTCTTACAGATTCGTGCATGAAATTTTACTCAGACACTACAGTGAGATGAGCTGGCGCTGTGCTCAAGAAGACACCGTGCGTAACCGGCAGGGAGGTGAGTGAGTCGTCCACCTTTCCTTTAGGCTGCATCTGTAACCGGCAGCAAGGTGAATTGGTGGATGGTGGCTGATCAATGAGATCGCACCCACTTTCCTGCGAAGTCGGGCAGAATGTTGGACGGCTTCTGCCGGGCTACGGCGGGAAGGTGGATGTGATTGCATTGAACGTCCACCATCCACCCATCGATCTTGCTGTCCGTTACAAGCGCGTACTCTATCTATAGTATGTACCACAAATATATATTCGCCATTATTGTTTCGTTTTTTGAAAGGCTGTGAACGGAACGGCCACTAAATTCAAGTTTGTGGTGCAAAGCCATAGATTTGCAAATGCGACTCTAGCAAGCGTTTGGAGAGTGGTCCCAACAAAATCATACATCCCGGATAAAACTTAATTGCACTACCGGGTGGCCCCACTATGGTGGTCTGTTTTAACCAGGTCCGCTGGGTCTGTCCAGTGTTTGTTTGGCACCACGCTAAATTTCATTCGAAAAGCAAGAATTACTACAAATAAAAGTTTAGTTAAAAAAGAGGTCAATAAAGGTTTAAGGTTTTAAATAAATATTTCAAAAAATGGGTAGAGCATGAGGGCGTCCCAGAACAAAAACTCCTATTTCTTCATTTCTATAATAAAATTGCAGTAGTCCAGTAGTATTTGTTTTCCCTGTAAAAAACTCTGACATTTTGCTGAACGTGGTGGTTAAAGGAACGAGATGAATAGGAACTCCGCTTAACCAAGCCTGCCGCCTGGTAAAGTTTGCACGCACGCTTTTCGAAACCAGTTCTCATATCAGCGCTTCGAAAGCTGACCTGATTCTGTCCATCCACTTAGCTATGATCAGCAGCGGAACCAGCTGTTCGTTCCATAAATTTCGACGCGATTTCAATTGGCTCGACTGCTAACAAGATCTCTCGATTAACAGTAAAATGTTTTGATGTTTCTGGTATCTATAAAGTTGTCTATTTAAATGGGTCTAAAAATTTTACATTGCGACAAGTGGTTGTCGAGAAACAAAGCAAAAGCGGAGACCGGCATTTTGTAGGGCCACCCGGTATTTGAAATGGACGGCTACAGCCGAAATATACCGTATGGTTAGAAATTTAAAATATCGCGTAAATGTGCCGACAACGAAATCCGGGACGCTCATTTGTAATAAATATTTTAGAACCTGGTGTTGTACGAAAACAAAGTCATATGACGCAGTTCTTGACCACGGCCGATCTACGATCTACTCGTAGAGAACTTTTCAGACTGAGGGGTGGCCGGCCGCACGTATTATTGATCATTGCCTTAATAATACTTCATATTCATATATTCATATTTTATAAAACCTTATGTATTCATAAAATCGAGACTCAATAATGTTCCTACCAAATTCTCCATTTTTCCGGCACGCTAAAGGTCCTCCGCTGTCCCCGAAACAACTGCAACAGCGACATCCCGTTCTCAGCAGCATTACTATTTTAAATTTTGCCCATCCAAATTACGCCATACGTGCTCTTTCCGGTGCCGCTAACGTTTTGCCCAGTGTACAATGTGTCCGGACAGAGTGCAGAGGTGCAACTAATATCAATTATTGTCATGGCCAGCTGCATCAGCTGGGAAGATACGCTTTTGGTTTCGGTCAGACCGCAACCAGCTGCGTAACACACGTCTCCAATATTCAGCACCATAGCCGAGCGGGGCAGACAGATTGGCCGAACTGTTAACAATTCAATATCCTACAGAAGAGATACATGTTTTTTTTTATTGTTTTTGATTATCGGCTAGAGTACTGAACATCACATTCAAAAACATTACAACACAAAGCAAATAGCACTTACATCACATCAGCGTTTTACGAATGACTACGTACAGCTATACGGAATGCAAAATCTATAATTAATCTCAATAATGGAAATGGTCCGGTACATGATACAAGTTTCACCCACTAAAGCTTTCGCTTTGGCCCTCTTCGGAGAATTTCTATAGCGATTTATAACATCCCAATGACAAGGAATTTGTACACTTTAGCGACGGTAACAAAGTCAAACCACACCGTCGAGCTGAACCAATATCATTCTTCTGAACAATAAAATGAGTTCTACAGTTTCTTAAACTCATTTAAAGACTGAAAAGCATGCTGTGAAGTTGTGAATGTTGATCCTGATGCACATTCGACTTTATAATCCTGTGCCTTTTGCTGCAAAGTTTCAAGGCAATCGGATTCGGCAATCGATGATTCGGCTACTGAACGACTTACGACGCTGCGAAAAAAATTTCCAAAATGCGGTAGAACGAAAATTTTGTTCGAAGTGAACAAAATCGATACAGTACCGAACCATTTCCTATAAGTGGATCACTGCTGCATAAGCTAGCTATGTAATTATGTCGAAACTCACGGAAAACAAAAGCAAAAGAGCCGCATCAAAGTACAAGGGGTCTTCCGACCGTGTTCCCCATAGTGGTGGCAGGAATACTTTCTGTACCGTAATCACCGTAGAATTTGACCCCGCTCCGCAGCGGTGTGGCATGAATCTCACTGTTATTTGTTGCAGACTTCCGCTTCTGCAAAGAAATGCCCACGACATAATCGCTAAATATCCAGTGACAGCCAGTAAAGATGGCCAGTGGAGATAGCCATTGGTCATTAAGAAAATAAATTGCTTAATATGCCACATGAGGAAAGGAATTGTCAGGGCGGGCTTTTGATTCAGCCCTTCTGTCATTGGTTGGTTTTGGGTTTTTTTCCTGTCTGGGCATTTGCATGCTTTCTCACGGCCTGCAGCACAGCTGTGCTGGCTGCAGGATCCGTTATCTTGGCAGTTGGTTTTTGGCTCGCGCGCAAAGCGCGGTGTGTGTTAGATTTCGGCATTAAAGCCTTCATCCGGGTTTGCTTTGTTCCGCCGTCGATGGTCGGTGCGCGCCTAGCCAGCGCCACTTGACAGAATTCATTTACTTCGTTGAAAAATGGGAGATTTTAATATTGCATTACAGAATCAACCTTTGACCTTCACTCATTGTTTATGCACGCACATCAGCACATGCAACGGAATTTAACTGCGCTGCGGCGGTCCGGCGGCAGGCATCCCAAGTGCGAGTTACCACACAAGTCGGTGCTTAACCGCAAAACATAAAATATTGCACTAGTACAGTAGTTGCTCACCAACTTCCATAATCGTACAGTAACAGTGACTGTAAGGGTGGTCTCAGATTCGAATCGTATATAGATATACTCCACCTCGCGAGGGGCTTCGCGGACCGTATGTTAAGATGTAATCACTGCAAACGGCTAGATTCCCTTCGAATTTGAGACCACCCTCCGTGGCTTAAGTCACTGCGAAGGCACTCGCACTAAATACCATGGAACTCTTTATCAATAGCTTCTTGGGGCACAAGCACCTACTCTAAATACGCCGTACGATTCGTTACGTATTGAGAAATACAATGCGCTGCCGTGAGGATCCATCGCGGAGCTATCTAAAATACAATTCCACGTTTATTAATAGAGTAATATTTTAAAATATTTATTTATTTTTCTTTATGAGGGTTAACCAAAGAAGTTTTACGCTAATATTATTTTTTTCCCTACTGCCAAGCAAGAAAAGTGTTTTTTGACCAACAGCAAATCTGCACAACGATTCGAACTTTTGCTACAGCATTTCATGGTAGACACTTGCGGGAACTGTGATTACATAGAGAAAAAAGACCTAAAGGAAGAGCTTCGCGGATGGATGCTGTGAGCGCAGGTTAAGCACAGCAGAAGCATCACGAACGCAGTTGGCACATCTGAACAAAAAACCGGAGTCGACGGTCGATCGTAATTCTACTATCTTTCACCAAAATGTGACCAAATGCCACTCATACGTTTCGATCGAAGCAAAGGCTTACGGAATAGTTCTACTTCTACAACGTTTCGCCTCTGAAATGCCAGCAAGCCTACCAATATGGAGCAAGAACTTGACAAAATCCTCTTTATCTTAAGCATTCTCGGTCTTAATGCCACTACTTACCACGGTTCCCCCGCAAGCTGAATACTGACTGTCAACCTGCACCTGCCATGGCCAGCTACTAGGCTGGACCTATCCAAAATTATAGTTTTGTGTCAATAGCCAAACAGGTGCTAAGATATGTAATTGCAGTGGTCGTAAATCCGTTACCGGTGTACCACCATAGATGCGCAGGTTCTCGTTGCTATCAATAATCCCACTATGATGGCCGCAGTCCATACTGCAGATCTCGTCTTCGCCCTCCGGACATTGTGCCACACCTAATATTAAATAAATAAAGGTCACAGCCTCAGAATTAAACAGTGCAATTACGTACACTTCAGCGTTTCTTTGGCTAGCAGTTGAGATTTGTGAATAAGGGTAAGTACAGTTCTCATTTTCCTCAGTCTCCGGGTATAAAACATCAGGGGCCTACGCCATACCCATATGTACCGTATGTATGTTGAAATATTCTTCTATCTAACGGTTATTTTCATTTTAACAACGCATGACCGATTGCAAGAACTAAAATGGCAAGAAAAGGTAATGAAAGAGACACGACCATGCAGGCACGTACCTGCATGGTCGTGTCTCTTCAGGGCCATGTTTAACAATTGTAAGTAAAACGGTTCAGCTATGAAACCTAGCTTCAGAACATCTTTTAATAATGCGTTCTACGTATCAGCTGGCTGATCACGTTCCCGGCTGCTGCTATTCAACAGCAAAATGCTCGGTACCAAATGTATGCGCTTTCTTCGAAACAGCGTTTTGTTCAGTCATCAACACATATTCAGAGGTACCAACTACCAACGTCGCACGATAGTGCGACGCATCTCGGGCTGACTTACCGTCACAAAAGTGCTCCTTTGCAATGCACGAATGGTTGCTCTTATCAGAAGGACACTGAAATGGTGTTGCCCGACCACAAGGTACACCTACGACATTTCCGTTGGCCTTGCCGATGCATCATCTGCATATCCAGAGTTGCAGATAAACTGGCTGCGCACTTACGGGTCAGCTCTAACTGGAATTTGCTTTCGGCCCCATATGACGGTCCGGGCACCGCCTCAATAAACTGTAAGTAGCATGTCGACGACACTTTTAACAGTCAACATTCTAAGTTACAGACTGTAGATTTAAATCGTTATGAACGAGAGAAGCATTTATAAAGTTGACTTCTAAAAATACCGGAAATCTTGATGCGATATTGCATGTGACAGTTTTTATTTGAAGCGTTTCTGCGCCCTTTTCTTCGGGCAAATAGACGGCAGCCGGCGGTCAACCGCGCAGTTGTGCGTTTGTTAAATAGAAAGATGCTGACGAAGGCAGGGCAGAAAGTGTATGCATTGCAGCAGAAAGAGGAATATGCTCGTCCAGTTTTCTGCAGAGCGAGCACACTGAAACCCACGTAACGGAGTTTTCGGCCACAGGGGAAAGCCATCTGTTTTGGGACTTATTAGCTGTTCTAAATACCTGGCAAAGCTGTTTCCCTTGTTTCCGATTTTCCATTATTCGTTAATCAGCGAAATGTGGTGGAAAGACAACAATATTTGTTTATTTACTTAGTCTCAGCAGACGTTGCTTAACATTAACAAAAGTTTTAGAACGAAGAACTAACTAGCTCACATGTCAAGTACAAAACCTGATACCGGGAAAATTTTAAAGTTTGAAAGTGCTTGCTGACTTTGCTTACCACTGCGTCGCTGTACGATAGAATATCCACTCGTCCTCCACCACAAGCATAAGCAACAGGAGATGCTGGAACTGCAAGCAGGTACAGTATACCGTAAATTTCGATATTAACGCCCTGGGCCTTTAATTTTTCAAGAGCTTCGGGAGGGGGCGCGTAAAACCGCAAGGGGCATTAATTTCGGTGGAGCGTTAATCTCGGATTTTACGGTAAGCCTTTCAAAATAACTAGTTACTCTAGCGGGCACTCTAGCAGTATGAACTATGAAGTCTTAATAAGCGTACACACCCTTGGCATCCCAAACATTAAGTCGCTCGCCTAAGCATCCATCTAGTACGGTTCTGTTGGGCCAACGTATTCCGAACACAAATTCCTTTGACTGAATCTAGATAGAAAAATAAACTGGTGAAGTTTTTGTACGTGCTAGTTAATGCAAAACCACTTCGGGTAACCCATTTATCCGATAATTTTTAAAGAAAAATAATTAGGAAGATGCATTCGCTGTTGCGGGTTCTGGATGACTGCAGCGACAGTACAGTAAACGCATGCAGAAAACAACGCCGCGCCTGCCTATACAGATGAACCGGCGGCTGACTTAAAAACAAAAACCGACTGCAGTATTTTGGGTAGGCCAAATATTTTTTAACTTTTCGTATCTCTCAGAAAATAGGCTTTAAAAAAAAGCATTCCATCTGCTCTAATCTACTCACTGGATACCGAATCAATGGTTCAAAATCAAACGAAAAATTGGCAGTCGTGATTTCTACAAAGCTGCAATTATACAATTTTGCTTGCGCACTTATAAATTTAGCTAACTTTGACCATTGGGCCATTTTTCAAAAGAAGTTGTGGAGATATCTGGTTGGGATTATATAATTTTGCTGCGCAATCTTGTAAATTTAGCCATTGGGCCGCTTTTCAAAAGAAGTTGTGGAGATATCGTTCACCAGATGAAGTTGTTTTGCAAAATTTATTTCTAAATGTTGCTGAATCAAAACGACGCCAATCGAAGAATATTGTAAAGATTTTGTGCAGTAATAAGCATAGTTGCAGTGCAGGACTGTTAAACTACGGAACGTTTTCCGAACCGTAAGTTTTCCCCAACCAGATACGTGCTGTTTTAGGAATAGGCAACGTCAATCGAACATGGAGTAGTGCGAGTGTTAAGGAAAATCAGCTGTCCGTACATCGGTCACTGGCCCCAAATGCACTTCTGCAGAATAGCCATTGTTGGAATAGCCACGCAGAATAGCCACGGCATACGGTGACCGTTTATACCGCATTCGCCCGATGAAGTTGCACCGCTGTCAAATTCGACTGTTAATTTACTGTACCCTACAAAAAATCGTGTACGTTACATCGAAACGATGCTACCGGCACTTTGCTCAATGTGCGGTTCTGGCTTTCCAAATGTCTTGGAATTGGTTTTCGGCTGGCGCGCTAGTCGCGCAGATGTGATTGTGTTTGTGTGTCACTAAGGCTTACATACTGTATATGGACGCTTCCGAGTTTTATCGCAAGGATACCTATACTTCACGGGTCGCTGTGTGTACGCCGAGGAATCGTTCTACTGGGAGAAAAATGGAAAGGCTGAGACAGCCTGCTACCGTGTCTCCCTAAGCCACGCCCAACCCGAACCGGAGCGCATCGCGGACCTGAACGTGGCGTGTTACCAACGTTTGGTCGGCATTGTAGCGGCCATAAAAGTGTCCCACCTGACAAAATTAAAGTCGAATGCGGAAATGCTAATTTTGAAGTTATTCAAAAACTTTGTAGAATCAATACTGCCACTATCGGTAACATACGCCACCCGTTTACTGCCCAGTGCCCTAAAAGCAGATCGGCTGATTTTGCGCCATTCGAGTTCCAGTCGGGCAATTTTCAAGTTAAAATGATTCCTCAATACTTATTCTTCCTTCTTTAGCAGACGGAAGACAGGAAAAAACACTTTTTTGCGAGAAAAATCAAAAAGGAAAGAAACGGGAATTTTCAAAAATTTGCAAGATGAAAACTGCACTGCGCTGCCACACCGGGCGGTTGTGATTGCTTCAAGCGCCGGAAGTCTTTGAATTTTCGTCGTTTATAATGTTCAGCTTGGAAATTTTTTGAAACATAAATGACACTAGACAGAAAATTTATTTTAATAGGAATACAGGCCAAACTTGACGTGAAAGCTCACGAGCGTTACGTGTTACATTCGTTAAACGGCTTTACTTGCCGAATCGGCAGTCAAAGTAGTTGCTCAAAATACGTCACCTTCGCTAAGCTCCAGTCGATAAAATAAACATTCTAAAGAAATATTCATGCCGTAATTCTGTTCTCACACATCTCGTTAGCTACAAATGCAGCCTTATACAGAGTAGGAGAACGTCTTCAACCACTTGCTCATCCCACGTGCCTAGTGTACAGAGATACCTTGATTGGTTGGCCAGAGGAATCAATCGAATAGATATACTTCGTGCCAATAGGAAACCGTGCTGGATAGTGTAGTGATCTGAGAATATACGGCTGATCATCTTTCAGTTGAATACGTTCGGAAATCCTGTCTGGAATAGTATGACTTATAACAAGATACGGTGACACGGTAACGACATTGAATATCACTGTGTGCGTGAGTAATAAGACCACAAAACGCTGTGGCATTGCCGCACCCAGGGTTAGAGACAAGCAGAATTGTGCGGAGTGTTACGAGTCAAAGGTACTGTACTTACCGTTTCATTTGCACTCTTCCATAAAAAAAGCATGGTTGCTATGAGAAGAGACCTCGCGGAAGTACATATTATGCTTGATGGTTTCACAGTTCTACACGCGTGACTTCCGTATTGGCTGCAGGTAAATGTGGTGTCCATTCCATATACACCTCGTTCGCGCCAAGTTGGCGGTGTCTATTTAAAAAATTCCCACGAACCACTAGTCTATAAATTTACTTTTATGTTTTCAATGAATCTATCCAACACCATTTGCAACTGAGGTTCCAAGGATTTGTGCTTGTTTAGAATTACAGGAATTTTACCACTAGAGGAGACCACTTCAAAAATGCGCTGCAGTCCAGCTATTCCGGTTTCCTCCCTCCGACATAAAATTCGTTTTAATTTTCCGTTTATGACGCAGCCCACGAACGCTGAGACTATTGACTTGGCCATACAATGGCCCTTTGGGGTGCACCGAACACCATTAACTTGATGTCACTCCTGGGTCAGGGCACCGGTACAACGGTGGGCGTGGCCAAACTGTAGGACGACCTCCTTCGCGAGGTCACCATACAGCCGTGGAAGTCCTCCTTGACCTCGCACCACAAAATCAAATTCACAAGGTGTTGGGCGATAATTTTTCACTACACTCCTCACCATAGGCGCGCGACCCTCCATTGAAACAGTTCTCAGTTGACACCATCCCTTTTTTCCACTAGCGCTTTGTTTAGGCGAAAAAACGATTTCGCTCCCTAGGCGTTTTGCAGGTCTGGTCTAGCCGTTGACTTTTAGTTCTTATTTACGAAGCACTTTCGTGGGGTCCCCAAACTGACCTTAATTTCAAGCGCCTAAAGTCTTTCCTGAATTTCTGGCTGAATTAAATTGTGTTTCAGCACTGCCATGACTTGTTCCATCGGTGCCTTCGCGTAGGAAGGTGTTTCTCGCGACACTGCTACCGAAAATCGATAACGTTTTTGCTCAACAAAATGCGCAGAAAGAAAACTGCACTAAAATTTTAAGAAGATAAGCAAAGCATGCGCCTCACGATTCGGCAGAAAATTAAAATGACGCACCGCCAACTTGGCGTGAACGAGGTGTTACTCAGGTGTATATATCTTCCAATATTTAAAAAAAATGATAATCACCATTACTTGATGAAAGATCAAATGTACCTCAGTTCGGTATACTTGGATAGTAAATGTTGAGGTAAGAAAAGCCATACTTTACTCCTAAATTTAAGAAAGAGGGAGAATGTCGCCGTTAAGCTTCTTTATTAAGAAAAAGATCGATACTACGCGCGGCCTCCCCACAGTCTGGAGATCTCTATTGCCAAAATCAAGACTTTTGTTTTTGGATACGTCCGATCAGAATCGTGCGGGCACGATGCCGGGAACGATCCAACCAAGTTTCAAGGTTACCTTCAAATTACATCTGTCTGGAATACATACTGTAGCGTGCATCATTAAATACGCAAATTAAACGGAATAAATTGAACTTACTTTTGTACAACCCCAACCACAGAATTAAGCAATTACAAGTTAATCTATCGATTTTCGGAAACAGTAATCACCTTTCTGAAACAGTGAACAACTTTCTTTCCGAAACAGTAACAACCTATCAACTTTCTGAAACAGTGAACGTTAGGTCACTGTTTCAGATTTTGTTAAAGCTATGAATTGTCATTCTCTGTAATAAACCTAAGCAATTACACAGCATGACAAGTGAATCAACCGCACTCTTACATTCCCACGTGCGCACGAGTGGTCACGCTATCACTCTTATCTTATGAACCAGGTAACCCACGCATAACCACCACAGAACCAGAAACGTACCAAATGCGCTTTCACTTGTTTTCATTGATACCAAGACATTACCACTTTACCCCATGAAGCGGGTGAACCTACTATAGAGAATTACGTAGAACAAACATTGCATCAAAACCAAGTACGGTACATATGTATTCAGCCGGTAGCGGCAGCTTCCACGCTTACTTTTGTTCATGAGAGGTGCCAGATCGGATTTGCTGAAGTAGCACAACGCTGGACGTGCATTTGAGAAAAGTAAAAAACACTTTCTCTCAAGAAGAAACTTGTTTCTAGAGATTGCTGCGCTGCATGGAAGTGTTTTACTGCATTCTTGACAGTTCGATCCCATACCCTTTCATTGCGGCCTTTCTCTGAATTTTGTACTTATTTTTAGAAATCTAAAAACTGGTTTTTTTGTCTTGGCTGTTTCTGATATTACTGAACGAAGATTATTGGTACTGTGGTGCCAAATGGCAATGCACACGAACGATCGAGTTAACTGACAATTATTGTAATGTTCGGCATCAACCGAATCACGGAATTTAATATATTTTAGGTGGACTCGCAGCATTTTGGCTATTCTAACAACCTCTCGCCATCTTTTCGCTATTCCCACTGCCTTTGGAACTAGGCTTTAGTTAAATTTTCTGTTTGCGTCCACAAAGTCCCGGAAGCCATGCCACCAGAGCAGTGACCACATTTCTCCATATCTGTACCATTTATTATTCATACACTGTAGGTCATCGTTTTTTCAGCAGACATATACAGATAGTGTAATACCGTACATAGTGCCAGTTTTGCTCGAAAGTTTTGTGCTTGCCACTTGATATACAGTGCATAATACTGGCTGCAGCAATACCGGCATCTGAAGGTGATCAACTCTTGCATCATATCACTTTTATTTTGTTTCCGGAGTCCCTGAAAAATTTCCGTGCACTCAAAGTGTACGCAAGAAATTGAGAACAGCCAAAACAGAGTGCCGTAGGGCAGGGTCACGATAGTACATATTTATAGCAACTAAATTCCGCCCGCTTAGACTGAGAAAGCCTATCCGACAAAATTTCCGACTTCCAGCCGCACTCGAAAAACGCCCGACTAAAGGCTCCAATCTGGCACGAGCGCCAAGGCACTAATCTGGCACGAATCTGGCTTCATGAACATATCGGCATAACTGGGTGCTGCAAACCACGTTCAGTATCATGCTTCTACAAAAGGGCTTGCTTCCACCAAAAGCAGTAACCTAACAGGAACGTTTCGGGAAAACATCCGGCTGAGAAGCATTCGACAAAAGGCCCGAAACACATGGCAGCGAAAACTTCTGCCTCGAAAACATACCGAATGGAAATCCTGTAGCTAAAAAGTGCCAGTAAAAGCGGACCGAGCCGAAACTATCTGACTCGGAACTTGAATGCACACCCGCTTAGCTCGTAAGCACTTTAGCGCCTACACTGAAAACTGGCTGGCTTAAAAGGCCCTGTCCGACAAAGTGTTGCACCTCATGAGGGTCAAACGACACAAATTCCTGTAAGTAAAGGCCCGTGATAGCTTGATGCACCGGTTGAGCAGCTTCCGTATGCTTATCGGAACACAAGCGGACACCCTTGGCGCTTGCGGAATAACCCGTCGCGTTATACTTTCTAGCCACCATGACACGTAGTGCCGAGCCACTTGTACGGTTCTGCACTCTCCAGTGTAGGGGCGGTTTGATTCTAGCCGGCATTTCAGGAGAGACAGTCGGTGCCGTTCGAGTACGTGGTATGTTGATGGGCTGCTTCAGACAGGAAGACAAATTGGTAGTTGGTTTAGCGCGTCACGGTGTCTACCGGCAATCAGGAGGTCATTGACGGGTAGGTCCGGCTCGGACTTTTCCTTCTGGCCCTCTATTATACAATCTGGTCGCATAAGTTACTTTACAATGTTAGCCGGTGCAGGGAAAGTGGCATCGCCGGGCTTACCTTTCTCCGATGGAAACCGTCAAACTCGGTGACGCTAATATTCACGCCGACATGGTTCCCATGGGGTCCTATCCATTGGATTGTTTGGACGGGTGCCGGAAGGCGGGTTGCAGTAACCTATGCAGCTAGACTTGGGTTGTGTGACGGGTCCAGCAACTTACCAACGTGGGGGTGAAATGGCAAAAGAGGACCAAGGACATTATCACAATACGACTAGGTAGGGTATTCGGACATGTTCGGCGGAGGAACATGTCCGATTAGAGGCGACAGAGGCAAACTCTGCGAAGCAAATTTTTATTACCAGTATTTGTACACACTTTAACTTCGAATTTCGACCGCTAGTGTTCGACCAGACACAGCGCGACCTACCCTGTTCACCACGCCAACCATATGCACGGTTTCTCTTGAATACTCGTGGCGTTGCCATCGGTCACCGTTGGTATCCGGCGGAGGGTGGGTGTGTAGATAACATCTTCGATAATTGCTCCGTAATTTGCTTTATTATTTGCAAACCACGAAAAGCAATTATTTAAATTTTCATATACCAGACACGATTTACGCAAACGCACTTTACAAAGAGCGAACTTAATTGTTGACTTCAATACGAGCTTACCGTAGCATGCCGAATCGACTTGTACAGATAGACTAGCTAAATGCGCTGGCAGGCGTGGCGTTATCCCGGCACGTTCTGCAGTGCAACAGCTTAATTGAGGTTGTCGTAATGCAAGATTTACTTAATGCATCTGCAATCATTTGTGGGAATAAGCCTGTAAAACATCTCTGTTTACAGGTTTCTCTGTTAAAATTTTGATAACGTAGCGACATGCCATCTCTATCCAGTTTGCAAGCAAGCTGTTCTCTTACCTTCTTTAATATTTTTTTGTTGTTTTTATAAATTTGTTTAGACTATTTCGAATTTCTTTCGGTTTTTATATGTCGTAAAGTGAGTTGCTATAATTCTTACTTACAAATAAGTTACAATGGTGCTCCCGTGTCCGCCTAGAAATACAAAAGTCTATCAGTACAAAAACACACACCAGGAAGCCATACATGTTGTACTTACAAGACAAAACGGCGCCTGTGTAGGTCCACCAGCACAGAAACCCGTCAGTGACGGTCCACGCAGATAGCGCGGGTGATCTTTTTGAGCAATATCCGTATGTGTGTCGGTGCAGGTCCGAATATCCCAAGGGGCCGCCGGTACACCCACAGGCCGCAACTGTAGGCCCTCCCCTGTTAACAGCCAGCTCCAAGGCACCTTGTAGCGTCCGTACATCGTACACTCTCCAAGATAGGCGCGGTTATCGTAGGAATTGCTGTCCGAGAGCGGCTTATCCTGACGCCGATCGGAGAAACACACTGGACAGGCGCGCTCCATGTTGATAGGTTGCTCCAGTTCCAGGAGGACGAAAAGACGGTTCGGGTAGCGGTTGGTGGCGCGGAGGTGATCGTCCTGGAAGAACATCCGCTTGGCCAGAATATACTGGGCCTCTATTTCTGCTGAGCCGGAGGTGGCGCGAACCGCGATGTTGGCCATAGCTTTGCGGGTTTTGGGATCGCGTCTGTATGAAATAATCAGTTCAAGTGTTCAACTACATAAGTAGTGGTTTTCTTAGGTCTTTCCTTCCTTAATTTGCCTAGGGTTTCTTAGATTCTTAGGGTTTTAAGAGAATCTTAGATTTTCTCAGGTCTTCTTATACTTCTTAGGTTTTATAGCCCTCGTCGACGCCGAGCTGCCGACGTCGAATTTTAATCAACATAGTGCCGATAAGCTCAACCACAAGATGCCTAAAATTGTAGCCGAAAGGTCGCGGCAAAATATAACTTTAGATCAGAACTAGTCATCGGTTAAAAGTTTTTAACTGCAGCCACTGACAATCGTCAAGACAGCGGTGTCGTTGATAATCACGCATCGGTTATTTATTTTTCGAACCCTATCGTAATTAGGAATGATTCGGCCGAATCATTGCTATTACGATAGGGTCAAAAGTCCGGTTTACCCAAAGTATATCGATAAAATCATACCGCTCCTGCACAAACGGTATGACGAGACTGGAGCTCAGCAGTGTTAATCCGCCTCGTGCTGTATTCGCTTCAAACAAAATTACAAAAGTGGGACTTACAGACCACTGGCGACCGTTAATACAGCGGTGTCGTTGATTATTACGCCGACATGGCTGTTTCCGTTCCTCTTCCAGCGCTGGGCTTCGAAGGGATTACAGGAAGGTGTCACATAGAAGCCGATGTCAACAAGAAAGCAGTCGGGGGTGGCGTATGTCGGGTCCAGTACGACACCGCATCTCGGATACAGCGGCAAGGGTGGATTAGGAACACTGTCGTCACAGGGCGGGGCGGTGGTGTTCGGTGTAGTGGCTGGCGGAGGAACATTGGTGGAGGTGGTAATACGTGTGGTCGTGGTTGGGGTTATGGTTACTGCTGGTGGCGGATTGACGGCGTTGACGACGGGATGGCACCGTCTCGGTGGTGGCTTGGTGACGGGGGCGTTATGGTCTTAGGTGGCGCTCCAGTGGTAGATGTAGTCGACTGTGTGGTGGCATTGTTAGGTGGCAGGTATGTCCCGTCCCGTGGTAGAGGAACCGGTGGTGTCGGGTGTAAATGGGTGGCGGATACGTTCCGCTCCGGTGGTACTTGAGCTGGCGGTGTCATGGTGTTGTTAGGGGTGGATATGTCCCGTTCCGGTGGTAGAGGAACCGGTGGTGTCGTGGTGTAGATGGGTGGCGGATAGGTTCCCGTCCCGGTGGTACTGGAGCTGGCGGTGTCATGGTGTTGTTAGGGGTGGATATGTACCCGTTCCGGTGGTAGAGGAACCGGTGGTGCCGTGCTGTAGATGGGTGGCGGATAGGTTCCCGTTCCAGTGGTACCAGAGGCGGCGGTGTCGGTTTTGCCAGGTGGAGGATATGTCCCCGTTCCGGTGGTGGCAACGACGGTGTGGTCGTGTTGCGGGTGGATAAGTCCCGCTTCAGTAGTGCTTGAATCGACGGTGTCGAAGAGCGGCTAGGTGGTGGGTATGTACCCGTCCCGGTGGTGGGTGGTAACGACGGTGTGGTGGAGCCCGTAGGTACGGTAATGGGTGGTGGAGTGGCTGTTGTGGTAATGTTGGGCGGAGGCGAAGTGGTGGTAGAGGTTGTATTACACGGTGGTGGCGGTGGTGATGGTGGCGTTGTAGTCGTGTTGGTTGGAGGGTATGGCGTTGTCAGGGTCGTGTTTGGCGTGGGAGGAGTGGTCGTGGGCCACCAAGATGTCGTCGACGACCATATTGGTGGAGTGAATGTCCCAGTGGTCGCTGTTGAATTCGTAGTGGTGGATGTACTCGGAGGCGTTATGGATGTGGTGGTCGTTCCCGGCGAAGATGTGGTCGGTGGAGTTAGCGTCGGGGTTAGAGTTGGGGTTGTAGTGCCCGTGAATGGTGTTGGTGTGCTTGTAGTTTTCTCGGTGGTGGTTTTTGGGGTAAGAGTGGGAGGCTCCGGAGGAACAGTGGGCGGCGACGGGGGTGGGGGTGGCGGCGGTGTGAACGGTGGCGATATGCAACAGCTCGTGGGCGGTTCCAGTTCTGGACCAATAGCACAGTAAAGAAGCCATACTAGTTGCGTCTTGTGCGCATGTTTTACCTATATCTAAAGATTTTTACTCTAACGTTATTTATAGTTGTGACTTTTCAAAATTTTCAGTTTAAATAAATTTGTTAGTGTAAATGTGGCAAAGCGGTCACGTACTGTCTAACGCAGAGCTCATGAAATTCTCGCGGGTGTTTGGCCAGAGAATGGGTCTGCCATAGCAGCACGACTCCGAGCGAACATCACAGATTTCACATTTTATATTTTCTTTGGTGTGGTTCTGTCCAAGACTGGCACAACGAGTCGCAAGCTCGGTGTCGTTCATGCATAAGCCAAAGCCTCCATCTGCGCGCAAAAATACAATAAGTCGTACGCAAAGGTCATCACATAAACTTTCATCCAGTTGTTTTGCGGAGAAGACTTTAAATCATACCTATGATGATCCTATCACGAAAAGATCCATCAAGGAAATGCTCATCACGATACACCCAGCAGTATTTAGGCTCGGTAATATCCAAAACAGTGGAAAAGCTATCTCTTCCGAAGCGAAGGCGTGGCAAATTGAGAGCATGGACGGAGTAAGAGTCTCGAGTACTACAGTACGCAATTAGCAGCACGATCAGTACAACAGTTCTGCGGTTCATAATACACCAGTTTTAATATCCTTTACAATGGCGGAATAAAATCACAGAGATAGCGTCGCTGTTCGTACAGGAAGGGGTAAAAATGGTCACAAATGGCTAAGACAACTAAATGACTCTACCGCTCTACGGATCATTTTCTACTGCAAGAAGTCGAAAAAGCCGTGTTGAAATAAACGATGGAGTTCATAAGATCGCAAACGTTGGGAGATATTTCAAGTTGATTCTATTTACAGTAAAACATCAACAGCAGCACATCCCACAGTGTAACGGCTTCGAAATTAAATATCGCAACTTACTTATACTAATATTGCTTAGCATCAAAAGGTTAAGTACTAATAATTATTATCATTCTTTAATGTAGACTGTGCAGACAGTTCATGTTTCCAAAACGCAACTTCCCACATTGTTGCAAGTACGTACTCCTACTCAGTACTCACTAATGACAGCTACTAGTATTATTTAGCGTAGTATAAACCAGTAACCAGCCTGCGACTACATAACATTATTACAAGATTACTCGTAGCAATATTATGTAAGTATCAAAGCGCAAGGCTGGTGTACAAAGTAGAAATTCTTACTGCCTACTGGTGCAGATGCTGATACATATTAAAGGCAGGCTGAAGCTGAAGGCTGAAACTAGCTTTCAGGCTGAAGCAAGATTATTTTAATAATATGTAACTTATTATACGGTTGTGTGGAAAAATGTATTGTGTAATCAAAATTCGGTCTATTCTCTCGCAAAGACCATTTCGTTAAATAAATGTCACCATTGCACCTGACATAAGCAGGTGATCAAATGTCGAAATTTCCTCTGCAATGAAGATCTGCTAGCCTAAAACCTGCTTCCGAGAACTGTGAATAAATCAATATTATGCATTACTACGAAAGATTTGTTGCGGGTAGCAAATCATCAGCTTTGTGAAGTACATCGCTGTTTCTCATATTTCGGTCACTTAAAGCACAAGTTTGATTGCACCCGGAAAATTGGGAGTGTGGCATTTCGGCTCGCGACTTTTCACCACGAAGACATTTTGCCGCGCGACATCTGGATTTCGGGACACTTGGGTTTGGGGCATGTTGCTTTGAGACATTTAACCTTTGCGACATTTTGACGCAAGACATTTGATAACGGACAGTTCACCACAAACGGATTGGACATGCTCAGTTGTCACATGTTTACAGGATTTTTCCAAAGTTTTTTATGTACCTAGGTTATCCTAGGTTTGTTTATGTGCCTAGGTTTTCCAGGTTTTTTATGTACGTATTCTCTGGTTTCTTAGGTTTCTTTGGTTTCTTAGATTTTTAAGGTTTTTTAAGGTGTTATGTATCTTTAGGTGTTATTTAGGTCTTTTATGTTTCTTAGGTTTCTGGGTTTCCTGCTTTCTTAAGTTTTTTAGGGCTCTCATGTGGCAAAGTGTCTCGGCATCTTAATGATATCGGCATGAAAATAATGTCTCGCCGCCTGATGTCCTTCCAATTAAATGTCCCGCGACGAAGCGTCGTGTGGCGGTTTGGCCTTACGACAAAATGTATGCGAACAAATGTCCTGCGACTAGGCTATCTCGGCGAAATGTCGCGGTGCCGGTTTAAGTGACCGGTGACCACAATATGAAACCGGTCACTTAAACCGGTCATTTTGGGGTCACCGGTCACTTAAACCCTCCCCTTTGACGCACTGCCAGAATAGCTGCTTACCGCACAACTTGAGTTTTTTATTTTTCACTGGTCTGAAGTCATCAAAACAAAATCGAAAATGATGGAATTTAAAATTTTAATTTGTAAACATGGAATAACGGTTCTTTTACATTACGCCTGGTCCAATTCCTGTTCTTCATTGTTTTTTAATGGGTCGTGTAGAAAGATCACTTCGTGTAGAAGGACGTGTAGAAGTTTCGGACGTTTTCGTTTCGGCCGCGTTCATCTCGGCCGACGCTTATTGTAGTCTAAATTGAGCAAGAAAACGTTACTTTCGATGTAACTAAGTTTCGACGGCTACCGATCACTTCGATCGTTTTTATTTCGGCCGCGCTCATTTCGGCCAAAGTTTTTCGGCCGCCATTCACTTCGGCCGTGATTCACTTCGGCGTCATTTATTTCGGCTGCCGATAACTTCGGCCACAGTACATTTCGGCCGATGCTCAGTTTGGTTTGATTTACAAGAAAACGTTACTTTCGATATAAGTTTGTCGGAAACTTGAAACCGTTGAATCAAAAAGTGATAGCAAACGGTCGCGTTCATATCATTTTGCACAAAATATGCGTGAGCAATTTTCCCAGTGTTACGGTCACCATCATGTCTCCCTTTGATGACCCGAAGTCACGAAGCCAACAGGAAAAGTACCGAAAGCCTAACCGTAAGACACCAAGAAACAAAAAATAAAAAGAAATCTCTGTATTATCATGAATCACCTAAGGATAACCTAAGAATTTCAACGACAACAATAATAATCAAAGGAAACCTATGAAAACCTAAGACACGATAACAAATCTAAGATAACCTAAGAAACCCAAAACCTTAGAAACCTAAGAAACCTAAGAAACCTAAGAAACCTAAGAAACCTAAGAAACCTAAGAAACCTAAGAAATACCTCAGAAAACCAAGAAACCAATGAAACCCTAATAAACCTAAGAATCCTAGATAACCCAAAAAACGTGGGAAACCCAGAAAAACCTAAGATGGCCGAAATGTCTACACAGTTGCCGAAATGAGCGTTGGCCGAATTGAGTGTCGGCCGAAGTGAGCCACGGCCGAAATGTAACGCGGCCGAAGTGATCGGACGCGACCAGGGCCCATAACCTTTCGAATACAGTAACCTAAGAAAAACCTAAGAATAACTTAAGAATAACCTACGAAAACCTATGGATGACCTAAGAATACCTATTACAACCTAAGAATAACCGAAGAAAACCTAAGAAAAATAAATAAACCATAAGAAGACCTATCATAAGAAAACATAAAGCCAAGAAACCTAAGAAACCTAAGGAAACTGAAAAAACCTAAGAAGCCTAAGAATAACCTAAGAAAACCTAAGAAGCCTAAGAAAGCCTACGCAGCATAACGAAATCTGAGAAAACTTGAGGGTCGCCGAAATGAGTGCTGGTAGAAATGAATCTCGGCCGAAATGAACGTTCGCTGAAGAGATCGCATGCGGCCGAAAGGCCGAAATATAACGCTGCCGAAGTGATCGGACGCGAGATGCACCAAGTCTAAGATTTGCCGTAGCATAAAGGCTAAACGGGCATTAAAGAGCTCCATGCACAAGGCACAAAGCCTAAGAACAATAAGATCAGTACTTATCCTGGATAAGTTATCCCTGTGACATGCACGAGGTAGCACATCCACGTCATAATTGACAAGAAGGCGAAATGGGAGCCCCTTCGCATGTCCATCGTCCAAGTGGTATTGGATCCAAGCAAAACTTCATACTGACGGTTGAGAATGCAGTGGCATGGGCAATGTTATTTTCGTCACTATCCCAATAGACCCACTCACTGTAGTCTATCGTGTCGTGAGCAACTAATTATGGATAACAAATCCACATTTTCTTTCTGGGTAAACATCTCTAAAGAGAACGAATATCGCATTGCTGCAGTGAGAAAGTATGCGCCGAATCGGGCTTTTGAATTTGAATATCTGTTTGTTCGATTACTGTACCCTAACCCTGCACTTGAAGGAAATTTTTACAGAGCAGTCACACGCACTTGTACGAGCCCATTCACCATTCACATACGCGGCTTGCCGCTAGTGCGTTTTTAAACGTAAATTGGTTGAAAGTTTATCCGGCTATACAGCACCGTGTCGCTCATAGCATATAAATTTCCTTCAAGTGCAGGGTAAGGGTACAGTATTGGACTCCAGCTAACTTTAAAAAAAATGAAAATAAAACAGTTAAAAAGCCGAAAAAATCTGAAACCATATCCAAATTTCAGATTTTTTTTCAGTTTTTTACTAGAAAAAGTTTTTGATCTATCGTCAAAATTATTAGATATGTTAACTGGACACCGTGATTTAGTCTCAGACCGTAAAACACTGCAAATACATAATATCTCGGACATTTTTTTTTCAATTGGGTTTTCTAAAAGTGTTTCTTTGTTGGTTGTGTGCCGTCACTTTCTGACCCTCTGCGTTGCCTGGGTTTGTTTTTCCGGGCGAATTTTTCAGAGTACGTTTTGCAACGGTTTGCCGGCAGCACAATAGCGTTGTGCAGTAAGGCGCTGAAATGCGGCTTGCTGCTTACTGGCTTTTTATACGCGACCGCTTCTCGTAGCAACCATACGGTGCATCTCTTCGGCGTTGCGGGAGACGGGGTAATAATACGGCGCAGAGTGCACGCATCTGTGGAAAGTTGTGACGATGTGAATAAAAATGGCGCAACATTTGTTGGTTTTATTCCCAACACAATCTATCGCAGTGGTATTCGTTATCCTTTCAATATCACAGTATCTTGTCGTAGTTGACACTATTCCCGACAAGGTTTCAGAACGGATTACGCTGCGCGATAATCAGCCATATATTCTGCAATCGCTACAGTATCCAGCAGAGTTTCCTGCTGCCACGAAGTACGTCTATGCAATCGATGCAACTGGTCAGGCCATTAAGGTACGTTTTGACAAACCGACAAACCAGTGTCGCAGCGCTAGCATACGAACTGGTTTCGATAGAAGCGAACGCGTGGGACTCACCACCACGCGTGGGACTATTAAAATTTTACAAAAACAGTTACTAACGTCCAAATGACTGGTAACATACGAAGTGTCCTCAATAGCGATTTGTTAAAAGGCAGTTGTTTTGTTTGGTTCACAAGTAAGAAAGTACATATTTTAACCTTAAAAAATCTTGAGAACTCAAATAGGCAACAACCTTGGAAAACCCAATTCTGTTGTATTTACCCTTGTAGAAAAGATGGTGTGATTTGTACATAAGCCAAATCATTTCTAAAACTTCCGACGACTTATTACAAGATGGCTTCTTTTAACTGAACCCTAAACATATGGATAACGGATCTCGAACCGAACCGCGCGACAGTTTCAGTGATTGTTTACTTCAACAATAATGCTTGAGATTTTAGTTGTACGATGTCGAAAAGGAAACAAAGGCTTTTTTGCGCACTTTGAACCATTCGCTCTCAAATGTCTGATATGCGACCTGATAAACAGCTATTTGTATTGTTTTATGGCATTGTGTAGCCAGATGGTTTGCATCCATTGGCGTGAAATCCGCTTACGCGCGCAACTGCTTCCGGTTGAGGATTTATGGTTGTAGAAAAACTCTATAATGTTTAAATGCATCTATGTCAAAAGTCTCATTATGGATCGATCTCATTCGAATTTTGCATAAAAAGACACACCTGTTTTTACAAGCAACTTTTCGAACCAGATGTTGAACGCATAAACGGTTTGGCACAACTGTTTGCAAATCAGCTAGATGCAGAATGTCATAAAACAAAGCGAAAACACGATTAGGAATGCGCGAAAGTAAATATTTTTGTGCACACACAAATATTTGGTGCCATGCACCAGGTCACTTCTCTTAAGCGCGCAAAAGCCATAAGATGGGACAGAGTGCAGTATCATCCACTGTGCAGTATCATCCACTGTGAAGTATAGGTACCATTTCACGAAATGAATTTTTGCTAATCCAGATAGAGTCTAAGGAATTTCAGTTCGGATCACGAGAGCCAGATAGAACTTTGCTGGATGGCTGTTTGGGAGAGCGATTAAATATTTGGGATACCAAAGGTATGTTACACGTAACTTTTGCGACAATTGCGTTTGCGCATCCACGATATCGTGTAACCTTCTTGATTGAAGTTCCTGCTACGCCCCTCGCATACGCTTGTGGCGGGGACCGATTGGATATTCTGTCGTACAGCGGTTTAATTGTAAGTAATGCGAGCGAGCGGGCTCTTTAAACATATCGCGTCACAGTTATTTAGCGATTTAAGGCCGCAATCGCGGTTACATATTACGCGATTGATGGGAAAACTGTCTCAAAAATCTGAGTTATCGTCAAAATAATTTACAGCGCGTTGTGAAAACATCTTCCTCAGAATGTCGAAAGACAATCGTTTCAAACGTCAACGTTCCCTGATAAATGAATTTATTTAAGTACAGTAACCGTAACGCAGATTTATGATTCGCGCTTTACGTGCACTAGAGACATTCGGTTGGGTTTACATTTGCTCTTGCCTTTTCAATTTGTTTGTCCTAGGGTAGGTTTAGATTTAAGTACCCTGTCTTTGCTGCCAGGATGCTTTTGCCGTTGTAACTAACCGTTTTAAATAATCTGTCACCTTTCAATTAACCGTAGCGTTCGCGGCTATAACAGTTGAAGCGATTTATCACGTACGGATTGACTGAGATATACCCAAGGCGTAGGAAATCCAGAAATGCTAAAATGTTTGCTCTATCAAGCGTACAAGAGAATCAAAATCCGGGGAACTTTACCGAGCAGTCAACTAAGAAAAATCTCGATTTGAGCTATCTGTAGCGCATGCCCAATTACCTATGTGTATTTACGACACGAAGCCCTGCTACAGCACTGCGCAATGCACTAAGAAAGTTCTGACACGCTGGAGGCGTGTCAGAGCTTTCGTTTTATGTGGCGAAGTCTGTGCTCGCTGGCGTAAACACTGCAATACACCTATAAACCGGCACATACAGTATATAATGTATGCATTTGGCAGTACTAATCTAAGGGTGGGTCTCAATCTCGAAGCGAAGCCAGATTTGGGAGGTTGCTGAGCTCCTCACCGTAGGAAGCGGTCATGCCCACAAATACGGTTCAGGGAATCCCCTACGAGAAGCTGTTTTCCGTACTGTAATCAGCCTAGCTCCGAAATTGAGACTCACTCTGACCAAATCGCGCCTGCTGGCATATTGGTAACCGGAACAGCCGACTATTGCTTGTAGTTTATCGAAACAGTTCCTGCATCGACTCATGAAGCCGGAAATAGGTTCCAACTAGAATTGACCCGTATGTGCACTACCAACTTGACTCCAATCTGGAATGCAATACAAAGAATGTAGGTGTGCCATGCGGACGGGGAGCACCACTTGCTTGTCCTTCCGATAAGAGCAATCGATCCTGTATTGCAAAAGAACATCTATGTGACGGTAATTTAGCCTAGCGATAAACCTCATGGTACTGATGGCAGTGGGTCTGTTTTAAAGGGAGAATCGAATTAATTTTGAACCTTTCATTTTAATTGTATGAGGTGTGGCACAGTGTCCACAAGGGGAAGATGAGATCTGCAGTATGGATTGTGGCCATCATACTGGGATCATTGATAGCACCGAGAACTTGCGCATTTACGGTGGTACTCCGGTAAAGGACAGAAAACTCTCATGCTAGTTTTAGCGCTATCAAGAAACGTTTGTTATGGGTAGGTCCAGCCAAACAGCTGGCCTTGGCAGGTACAGATCGACGGATACACCGCTTGCGGAGGTACTCTGGTAAGTGGAGTATTCTGCATCTACCCTCTAGAAAAAAATACAGGGTAGGTTTAAATTTACTTGTACATTCGTTAACTTTAATATCAGTTATAGTTATGTTCTGTAACTATATACTGTAATACAAATCCACTTTTAAGTCAAGGGTGCCTGTCACTTCTCATCTGCTCCGTCAAACTTTATTGGGAAATTATTGCCCAAATTGTGATAACGGACACTTTTCGCCCTTGATTTTCGTGTGTACAAAGTAGGCGGTGCCGATCTCTAAGCAGGCTACTTTTGAAATTAGGTGTGTGATATACGGTATGTAATATTACAATACAAAACAGCATTGAAAAATGCTACCTCTTATTTTAAACACAGCGCTATTTGATTTTAGATAGCGCCTCGATGGGTTCTCACGGCAGCGCACTGCATAGCTCAATACGTAACAAACCGAACGGCGTTTCTAGAGTAAGTGAGTTTACAGCAGTTTTCTGGCTTCCACCTTTTATGGCAGTTTAACGGTGGCCTTATAAACAAAACCGTTCGTAGAAAACAGTTTAATGAGAAATCGTTCATACAAAAGCCTTGGTGATTCGAGCGATACTGGTAAAGGTACTGCACTTCTGTAACTGGTCCTGATACCGGTCACGCTGCCGATAACGGCGGAAACAGTATGTGGTTGCTGCACCTTCAAACATCCAAATTTTTTTTCATGTCCACAAGAAAATAAGACAAAGCCGAAGCATTAGCGTTTCGAATTTTGCACGAGACGTGTTAACAAACTGGACTGGGAACATCTAGAAGTACCGGGTGGCTGAACAAAATGGCCGTCTTCGTTTTTGGCTTGTTTCTCGCGAACCGTTAACCACATCGCTAACAGTTTAAACTCATTCGATAGAGAATTTTATTCACTATTGAAAACAACAAAATTTGTTCTGAAAAATTGAGACACGCTCACTAACAAGGGGGCCAACCAAAATCGTGTAAAAATTTCTCGTGTCCCAGCTCGCAGAATTCAGAATCTTGCGGCATTTCGTTCCCGTACGAGCTTTTCACATTTTTACAACTGTTTTATCTAAAGAATGGCATCGTTTTCCATTAAAAAAAGTTTGTTCACATAGTCCTTGCGCCAAATGTGCTATACAGTTAAATTGTTTCGGTGCTTTTCGAAAAAGCCGCAAGTTTGTTACCTGATTTTTTTATACATTTTCGCTATACTTTTTTTGTTGCACGACCTGGCGCATCCAAAAATGTCGGTTTAGTTGATAAGAGTTCATAAGAGCTAAGACAATGGCCTTGCAAAAACGGGTTTAATCTGAAAAACTACTCCAAGTGTTCATAAGGAACTGGTTTTCAAAATCGCTACTTGCCCATTTCACGAGAATTTCATGTGCGTGGCCTGAGCCCTCTCGTTTCCTGGCCGGACACGGGCACAAGAAAGTCATAGCTCTTAGCAGTAAAAAACCAAGGAACAACTTATCTTCCAGAAATTGTAATGTGACACACAGTAATGTACTTCTATAAATAACAGGAATTTTTGTTCTAAAAAACAGAAACTAGAATTTTCGTTTCCGGGACATCCTCAAACTCCACTTACTCAAAACTCCAAAACAATTTACTGTAAAATCAGACCTTGAAGTTTATTTAACATAAATTTTGTACGTCCTACAGATTGCTCTTTCGAATAAAATTAACCCATTGGCAATCAGACAATAGACCGAGCCAGGGCACCTTGGTAAATTAGACGGCCATTTTGTTCGGCCACCCGGTAGAAACTCGAGAGGCGAAGAAAACCGGACCCGAACGACTGGAAGTGTGACATTTCGCCGCACTCAAAATCGACATTTTTTCCGAGAGAACATTTGTCGCGGGATATATGAACGCCACAAACATACTTAGAACAAACAGAAGGGTCATTCATGCACAATTACATATTCCACAATATACTCTCTAAACCACATCACGGGTAATTCTACTGGTCACACTCGTAACAGAATTATTTAGCGACAGATCCTACTCGTAGTTTTCGTAACAAAATTTCAACGGCAACAGTTAATGAGAACTGGTTAGTAGGGGAAACACTGGGACAGAGAACAAGTGGAGCAACCCTGTCCTAACTATTAAGCACCTTGTTTTCCAATTAGCATCTACTAAACAATCAAATGCCGCACCCCACAAAATGCCCAACAAATTAAAACGCAAAATTTGCAAAAGGTTACACCTTCTTTGCAGAAGCGGAAGCTTACATCAGTTAGCCGTGAAATTTATGCCACATCGTTGCGGAGGAGTAACAAATGCCACGGTACTTACGGTACAGAAGGTATTCCTGCCAGCACAATGGGAATCACGATCGTACGACAAGCTGTATTTTGATGCGGCTCTTCTGCTTCTGTTTTCCGTAAGTTCTGAGCCAGCGAAAACATGAAACCAATTTTTACCGGGCTGAAATAGTCGTATTAAATACGACTATTTGTTAGTTTTAACAATCTTGCGTACGCACGTTCAACGTTAAGACCGCATCTGTAGGATATTGAACTGTCAGCTGTTCAGCCAATCTGTCTGCCACGTCCGGATATGATACTTAACATCGAAGAAGTGTGTTACGCAGCTGGTTGCGGTTACACCGAAACTAAAGGTGTCCCAGTCGATCTGCTTCAGCTGACCATGACAGTCAGGGATTTCCGTTGCGAATCTGCACTCTGCCCGGACAGGGTTCTTGCCGGGGACAACACTGGTGGCAGCAAAACTGGAATGAGCACGTATGTCATACTGTCGTTGAAATCCAGTGAGCTAGGATTTTCAAATTTTTTTGCTGCAGTTGCTTTGGAGACAGTGGAGGACCTTTAGCTTGCCGCAAAAAAGGCGAGAATGGTGAGACCAATGCCAGTTTTTTTGGTAAATTCTACAAATGCCAAAATTGCTGTCAGCGCTTATGCATGATAGCATGAGCAACAATTATGCACGCGCTTTAAAACATCATTCTTGTGTATGCCTGTGTATGTGACAATTACGTATACGCTTATGCATGAGCACTGCCAAGCTAACCATAAGTGGTGTTGTAAACTCTTCTTTGGTTTTGCTGGTAAGCCGACCGCATGACCGTTGCAGTATGAATCACTGCATCCGCAACCTTTATTTTAGGAAACGATCAATGGGTCCAGTTTGGAGTTCTTTCGTATGGGACGGGGTAAAACCGACAAGCGTGATATAAAACTACGTATTTTACAATACAAATAACTTGATTTTCTTGTTCAGGCAGTGTGGCAACGCCCAGTCCGGTTATCAATCAGTAGAAATACTCATGGAGTTCATTATGAATACAGTGCACTCTCAAGGTTTCCACGGCTGGCTAAAAAATCGAACCGTGCCAAGAAGATCGGCAGTTAGTCAAGACGCGGCCGCCCCAGCTGCAGTTCATGAAGAGAACCAAATGCCGCTACCTGTGCGCACGCAAGTGGTCATGTCGACGGCATCCACAAAATATGGCTGTTCGTTCCGCAGTTTGCGCGTTAGCATCTTGGTAGAAGTTTGGCTGTCAACCTTGATATATTCAAAGTCTGGCTTACTTGATGTACGGTTCTGATTTTGAGTGTTTCGATTATTATTGAGCGAATTTTACTGGCTCATACTGTGCCAATAGGCAGACTCCCTCATGCTGTGCCAATAGGCAGACTACTCTGAGAATATTAAGGACCTTACCGCTAGTTGATCGACTTGGTGTAACGCTGCTCATTGGAAACAAATAATTTTACTAAACTGTTGCTCGGTGTCTGTGGATAAAGAGATGTGCAGTTCCATAGGATATCACGCAATTTTAACGTGATGTGAAAAACGCAGCTATGCATTTTCCTACAAATTTACTTCACTAACTATTTTGAGGTTGACGCACAGATACCGGTACTTAAAATTATGAGTTTTACGGTGACGGTGACCATAGCGAATAAAACACTACCCGTAGTATTGTTGTTTGAGCATTACCGTAATGCACGCTATCCAAAGTAGTAATTTGCTTTTTGTAAGTTCTACTTAATACAGCAAATTAGACTAAGTCCCATATTTTTCTTTTATACTCGGTCGGTTGCTTTCAGCAGACAAAGTTATCACAGTATAAAACTTGAAGGACTCCCATAGACTCATACGGTAACCTCATCGACTTGTGTTTCACACATTTCTAAATGAAACCATGCAACCGATATCTCCAACGATAGAGAAAAAATTATGACATTATTTGATACCCAACAAGATTTTATTAATGGCGATTAAGCCAAGGTGTTCCCATTTCAGGTTTTCGTAGACATAGCATAGGACCTCTGCGTAGAACCTTGACCACGCATTCAATGCTGTCTACGAGAAATCCCTAATAGCTCTGTGTTGTCCTACTCGCTTTTAACAGCACCTCATTTGGTTTCAAAAATCTTCTTTATTTTTTGCCTACTTTTTAAGATATCGATTAATTCTGTTGAGAAATGAGCCAGGCGGAAGTGTTTGAGCTTAGCACAGGAGTCAATGGAGAAAATAACGACGAGGCGACCAATTTTACAGCAACGAACGGCATTTTGCTGTCGCCTGACAACCGCCCGCTGCAGGCGTACATGGTTGAGGCAATCGACTGCCCTTAATTCACGTTTAAAAACGCACTAGCTGCAAGCCGCGTAGGTTTGTGAATGGTGAATGGGCTCGTACAAGTGGGTGTGACTGCACTGTACAAATTTCTTTCAAGTGCAGGGTTAGGGTACAGTGCTTTAGAACATCAGCATAGAAGATGTCAACATATTGACCACTGGTCAGCAAAAATTAAAAACTACCAAAACCCGTTTTCATGTATTTTGACCATTACTACCCTACAGGTAAAGAAATATAATACAGCTGAAACGATGCTAGCATACTGCTTCCCAAAACCTTTATTACAGTCTCAATATGGTACTGTACAAAGAACTCTTTATACAGTTTAGCACTACACTTGCTGCAGTGCGGGCACGCCTAGGTGCCTGTATTGCCCGCAGTGGCATTTTCCTGGATTTGACCGCAGGTGCCGTTATCAGAAAAGCGGCGAACCATAACAATTTGCATCAACGGACAACCAGTTTCCGAAAATATGGGAATAAAATTACCGTTCTACGTTTTTCAGTGCCAAAAATGGGTTTTGAAATTTCTTTCAATTAGAGACTTCACACAACTTCAAAACTTAAGAAGAGCGACTGTTTTCGCTTCTGAGCCCATTGGTGGACCAGCGCGAAGCTTTATTTGGCGCACTTGAGCCTCTATAATGTACTTGTACGTTCTAATTCAGCATTTACCAGTTAGCTGGATCTGGAGCCTTAATGCCTTAGACGTCCAACCTGTACAGGCGGCTACAGTATTTACGTTTGCAGCTCGTTATCTCTGTTATTCCGTTCAGCTTCACAGCCGGATATACTATTACTTCCACTGTAGACGTCATTAGGACTGTGGTCAACAATAAGCCCAGTGACCAGCTGCCCAAACCGTAGAGTTACCAACTGTTGCGTAATATCGAAATAGTATTTAAGTACTGGTGCATACTGAGATTTTTTCGTTGACCTTGATCACTTGTCATCTTGATAACAACTGCATTGCAACTGTGTTCAAGTACTCGTTTAGACCTATCATTTGAGCTATTGGCATATTCTGTGCGAGTTTTCTGTCGCATGTTATAAACGGCAGTATAACATCACTAACATGTCGGTGCAACATGGTTCCCAAGCGTGTTGGTTCGACATGGTCATCTCCTGCTTGACCTATGGTCGCTAAAATTTCGAAAAACATATTTTTTCTTAACTGAATTTTTCTATCCCAAACTGTAGTCCCTGTAGTTTTCAAAACTGTATGTCATCTCTTCTAGTACCCGGTTTTCCTGGGTTAACGGTGGCAGTTAAAGCGATCTACGAGTAAAAGAAAACTGTCTGAAGCATGACGGTAATGCACAGTAATACACAGGAGACAAAGTATCGTATCTGTACTGTGTAATGCAATTTAGTTAGATGAACCCTAATTAATTCACCAATTAGAGGCAGCGTCTCCAGTTTTAATTCTTGTTGGCTTCAGCAGACAGAGAGATAATCGCGAGCTCGGAAATGCTGCAGATCATTTTTAATACTTCACCCAGGAATTTAGGAAACGAAGTTGTAAAAATCATGATTTTTGTTTCTGCTTAAACCGAAACGAAGAAAACACGGAAAAAAGGTGCTTTCAAGAGCCTGTAGACGCTGCGTTGACAACATTGCAGCGCCACTTTTATTGGCTACGTCTATAGAAAATTAAATTTCTCCGCTTAGACTGAGATTGCATTTCCAACAAAATTTCCGACCTCCAGCAGCACTCCAAATACGCCAGTCTAAAGACACCAACTAATCCGACAAGCGCGCCACACTTAACCCGTTGACCGGCATTGGCGTTCTGGAGGCGACAAGGGATTTGGGATTTTTTCCCCAGCGATCGCCAACAGTTATTCGTTATTCCATGACGTAATAAGCAATAAGTGACTTTAAAGCAGCAATAAAAACATTATTTGGACCTGTGTCTCAAGTTATTTAAAAACTACAGGTGCGCAAAAATCGCGTATTTTGAATGGTTTGAGCTCTTCGAGGCCTTGGCCAATAACTTTCTAGCTAATGATTCGATAAATTTGAAATAAATCAGAAAGGTACAATTGATAATGCTTTATTTAGAAATGTCCACCATGGTATCTGAAAGTCAAAGATTACATGGCCATTGTCCGTCAAAAACACATGTTGCTTGCTAAACGCCATTGCGCATGAAGGGTTTCGAATACACGGGCGGGTGCACTTTCGACAGATTCTTCTTGTTACATAGGCGGAATAAGTTAGTGTCGGTTCAGATGCAAAACATCTACATACCACACGGTTCCCTTTACCGGAAGCGGGCAAAAAACGCTGTTGCTAATCAACACCCCGGCCGGTCGGCTTCCGGAAAACAAAACATTTAGGGAAATCGTCCTGACTGTAATTCTACCGCCATTGCAATAACACTGTGAAATGGCAGCACAACTCCGTGCGCTTTGCCGCGTTTGCACACATCAATGCATCGCTTGGGCAAGCTAAGGAAGAGCGCTGCGCAGCTTTGAAGAAACATGTGTTCTGAGTTTTGATCAGTTTCGGGCGGTTGCAAACTACAGTACGTAAATACACAGTGAAGCGGGCACGTTGATGATGTTGACCTTAGCGGCAGCATTACTAGTTACTTCCGACCGCAAACGCGTTCCAAAAAGTGGTAGTGACCTTTAATATCTGATTTGGCGCTAACGACCACTGCAGCTGGACCTTCCGCGCACCTTTTTTGACATTGGCACCTACGGTCACATCCGGGGAACGTGAAGCGCGGACAATGCAGCCAGTAAAAAAGCGACAAAATGTAATGTTTAACTTCAAAAATAATGCTTCATACAGTGTCATATGAGAGTATACTGAAAGTTTTAGGAAGAAACATCGTTAGCATCGTCTGTTTTCAGTATTCCATCTGTAGCAGTGGTCAAAACACATAAAAACGGGTTTTAGACGTTTTTTATTTTTTGCTGACCAGTGGTCAGCTTGTTGACCACTTTTACACTTTTGTCTTAAAGTACTGCTTTTGTGCTATTTAATGAAGTTATTGGTTTTACTTAATTCCTGTTTGCCTAGCTATTACAGAATTAAACGCTTTTATGTTGTAGACCGTCCATGGGCATTGGCGTTTAGAAGGCGACATAGTCACCACCGCTGACCTATGGCCAGCACAAGCTCACAAAAAATTCCCTTTCTTAATTGAATTTTTTCATCGGGAAATCCCGATTTTCAATAGGATACTCGCGCTCCTTCGGGTACCGCCCGCTGGAGGGTTAAGAACACGTCGGCGTAACTAAGTGGCGCCAATCCACGTTCCAGCAGCTCAATACAATACCATACTTCGGCAAATACGGCTTGCTTCCACCAAAAGCTGCCTTAAAAGAACGGTTCGGAATACGTCCGGTTCAGTAACAGTCGACAAAAGCGTATGGCCTGAAAACACATGACAGCGAAAACTTCTGCCTCGAGAACATACCGAACAGAAAATCTGAAGCTAAAAAGTTGCCAGTAAGAAGCGCACCGAACCGAAACTGTGTGACTCGAACTTCGAATGCTCAGCTTAAAAGCACCCTATTGCCTACAGTACACTGGCCGTTCCCTGGCTTAATGGTCCTGTCAGCCAAAGTGTTGCACTCATGAGGATGGACCGACACAAAATCCTGTAAGTGACGGCCCGTGATAGCTTGGATGCACTGGCTGCGCAACTTCCGTATGCCTATCGGCACACAAGCGGACACCCTTGGGTGCTTGTGAAAAAACCCGTCGCGTTGTTGCTTTCTAGCCACCAAGACACGTAGTGCCAAGCCGCTTGTACGGTTCCCACTCTTCGGTGTAGGGGCGGCTCAGCTAGTAACCGGCATTTCAAAGAGACACGGTCCGGTGCCGATCGGAAAGTGAACCCAGACAAGCACGTGGTATGTTGAGCTGCTCCGAACAGGCAGACGAAGAGGTAGCTGATTTGTTGCGTAACGGCGTATACCGGCAAACAAGGAGGTCATTGACTGGTAGGTCCGGCTCGGGCTTTTCCTTCCGGACCACCATTATGCAATCTGGTAGCAGAAGTCACTTTAAAGCACAATGTTAGCCGGTGCAGGGAAAGTGGCATCGTCGGGCTTACCTTTCTTCGATTGAAACCGTCAAACCCGGGGGTGTTAATGCACGCCGACACGGTACCATAGGAACCGATCCATTGGATTGCTCGGACAGGCGCCGGAAGAGGGTTGCAGTGACCTATGCCTATGAAGAGCCTTAAATATACATGGCACTACCGGTCAGTTACTGTTAGCATCCAGGGAGTGGGCGTGTGGATAACATCTTCGATAATTGCTCCGTAATCTCTCTTTTCTGCAAAATAGAAAAAGAAGTACAAGCTTGTCCGGTAATTTCCTACGTAAAGGTACAGACAGCGCGAACTTTGCGCTTATAGCGATGGCCACTTCAATACGTTCATCAAATTAAGTAATGCGCTCCGCAGTTAGATTGCCGCTTACTACACCGACCATTTTCTAGCCATCTTCCGCCATGCAGTCATTTTATTCACATTGTTATCTGGTGTGCACCGATCCACCAGCCAGCCAAATGCATGTTACGTGTTTAAGCAGTGTGGCTTGGCGCGCCGTATTGTGCAGTTTGGCGTGACACATAAATTTATATATTTCGCTGTATTGATTCGTCAGAAATTTAACCGAACAAGTTGTACATGCATAAATTTTTATATACAGGACAACATTTTCGCCATCGCAGTTGGCAACCCCAACCCCAGGTTTGGTTATGACATGTCCAAGCGACCAGTCCAACTAAACTGGGTGTTGCCGTTGCATAATATCGCGCCACCTTCTGCACCACAGGCTACAGAAGTTATTCAAGCCTGCATTACAAGTGTTTCATAATTATACTGTGCGGGGTTGTCAGTGGCTGACGCAAGCATTCTCTGAAATTGCTGCCGTCACCCGCCTGGAGTATACCCTTGCGGCAGCACTTATGATTTTTGGCGCGGTTTGCCACAATTTACTGTAAAATTCCAGCGGGGTAATAACAGCCAGCAAGAACATAGCTGCTTATCTCATCTCTTTACTCTTAAGTCTTAACAGACCATTATCCACTCCTGCTGTAGCATGCCGTAGGTCGTCAAATGTATCAGCATGAAATCGGTCTTTATTACGCATACGGCATACCAGACACACTGTTCCTTGGGAAATCTACGTGGCATTGCCGTCTGTAACCGTCTGGATCCAACAGAGGGTGGGCGTGTCGATAATCTTCGATAATTGCTCCGTAATTTGCTTTATTATTTGCAAACCATGAAAAAACAATTATTTAAATTTTTGTGTACAAAACACCATTTACGCAATCGCAGTTTACAAAGTATGAATTGATTATGGTCATCGATGTGAGCTTACAGCAGCTGGCGTAGCATGCCGAATCGACTTGCACTGTAGACCAGCCTACCGCGCTGTGGCCGTTGCGTTATCGCGGCACATTCTACTCGTACGTTGCAAACAATTCATTAATTCGACTATGCCCAATAAAACAAATTGTACGTGATTATGTACATGGATAAAATCATAAAAGTATCTATTTTCACCTGGAGTAAAATAAACGCTGTTAACCGCATTGTATCAGTTGGTCTCCTTTATCACTACTCCACCGGTAGTGATGTTATAATTATAATTATCACAAGCTTATTATTCATTCATGATGTAGTAGGATTGCAATATTATTGTCACTCACAGTGGCGCTCCCCTGCCTACAAATTAGTACACGAAAAAGATCTACGTAATACGACAACGAAGAAGCACTTAACTCACCAGACAAACCGGTGCCCGCGTTGGTCCTCTAGCACACAATCCCAGGACCGACGGACCGTGCAAGTGCCGCGGACGAACCGGTTTCGTGAGTTCCGTGTGCTTATCGGTACACGATTATCCCATGGGGCAGTCGGTACGCTTACGGACCGGGACGGGGCATACTCAGTATCACTCACTTTCTGTCACCGCATAGCGTAGAAAGCGGAAGCTGTCACTGGTTAATTTGTCGTTAACGAATGTACTTAGCGTCAAAAGCCGATATCGAAAACGCTACTTATCGTTTTTACGATAGCAATTCAGCTTAGTCAGTTGTGGACTTACAAACCACTGGCAACCGTTTACACGACGGTATCGTTGATAATCACGCCAACATGGCTGTCCGAGTACGTGATCCAGCGCTGAGCCAAGGGCGGAGCGCAGGACAAATAGAAGCCGATATCGACGAGAAAGCAGTGGGGTGTTGCATCAGCTGGGTCCAGTGTAGTACCACATCTCGGATACAGCGGCAAGGGAGGGTTCGGGACGGTGTCATTGCACGGCGGGGCGGTGCTGTTCGGTGTAGTGGTTGGCGGAGGAACATCGGTGGAGGTGGTAATACGTGTGCTCGTGGTTGGGGTCAAAGTGACCGTTGGTGGGGGGATGGATTGCGTTGAGGAGGGAGGTGGTGCCGACCCGGTGGTAGTTGGCGACGGGGGCGTTGTGGTCTTAGGTGGCGTTCCAGTGGTAGTTGTAGTCGACTGTGTGTTGATGCTGCTAGGTGGCGGATACGTCCCCGTTCCGGTGGTCGATGGTAACGACGGTGTGGTTGTATTGCTCGGTGGCGGATATGTCCCGGTTCCGGTAGTAGATGGGGTCGGTGGTGTGGTGGTGTTAAAAGGTGGCGGATACGTTTCCGTTTCGGTGGTACTTGGAATTGACGGTGTTGAAGTACGGCTAGGTGGTGGGTATGTACCGGTCCCGGTTGTGGGTGGTAGCCAGGGAGTGGTCGAACCCGTAGGTACCGTCATGGGTGGCGGGGTGGCAGTTGTCGTGATGTTTGGTGTGGTCGACGTGGTGGTCGAGGTCGTATTACACGGTGGAGGTGGTGGCGGCGGTGGTGATGGTGGCGTCGTCGTCGTGTTGGTTGGAGGGTTCGGCGGCGTCAGGGTTGTGTTTGGCGTGGGTGGAGTGGTGGTGGGCCACCATGATGTAGTCGATGACCTTGTTGGTGGAGTGAGTGTCCCACTGGTCGTTGTCGGATTCGTGGTGGTCGATACGCTAGACGGTGGTTTAGATGTGGTCGTTCCGAAAGAAGATCTAGTCGGTGGCGTGTCTATATATGGCGGCGTGGTGTCTTCAGCTGGTGGTGTGGTTTTGGTTTCGTAGGTGGAGGTCTCTGGAGGGTGAGTTGGGGGAGTGGGCGGGCAAGTGGGTGGCGGAGGGCAAGTGGGCGGTGGCGGAGACGACGGCGGCGATATGCAGCAACTCGTGGGCGGTTGCAATTCTACACAGACAGCACAGTAAAAAACCATACAAGTGGATTTCCAGTTACTTCTTCTTACTTTGTCTGTTTACGCAAGTCTTGTTTAAGTATTTTGCGACCTATCGAAAGTTTTACATTCACATTGTTGTATTAAGTATTGTGCCAGACGTTTACGTACTGTCGATATCGCGGCGCATGAAATTCCCTCCGGGAAATGCTCTGTGGATGCTTTTGCCATAGCAGCACGATTCCGAACGAATATTACAAATGTCACATTTTACATCGACTTTGGTATGGTTCAGTCCAAGACTTTTACATTCAGCCTCAAGTACAGTGTCGTTCATGCATAGGCCAAGGCCTCCATCTGTGTGTTAAAACTCATTAGAAATGACTTACTTCGTCCTTATTAGAAAGGTCACAACACAAACTTCGCTCCATACTGTTACGCGGTGAAGACATCATAACATGCTTACCTATAATGGCCCTGTCACGAAGGACTCCATTAGGGAAGTACTCATCGCGATATACCCAACAGTACTTAAACTCAGTAATATCCAAATTGGTAGACAAGCCGTCTTTCTCAAAACGAAGCCGTGGTAGTTTTAAAGCATGGGCGGAGTGATCATTGTAGTACGTAATTAGCGACAGAATCAGTACGACAGTTCTTCGGCTCATAATACAGTCAGTTTTAGTGCCCGTAGCAATGGCGGAATATCATAGAGCTAACAGTTGCCGTTCGTTGTACAGGCAAAAGATACAAAAAGACATCTGTAGAGTTTAAAAATGGCTAACAAAGCTGATTCTATGGACCATTTTCCTAGTGCAAAGCGTGTTAGCATTCGTTTTAAAAATTAGTTATTACCAAGTTCAGAACATCGCAAGGAGATATTTCAGTTAATTTTTTTAAAGCGAAACACTACTGTAACACCTAAAACTGCAGTAAGTACAGTATTGAAACTTAGTACTTATTTAATTGTTTCCCAAGAGTTTACCCGTATTGATATTGCTTAGCATTAACAAATTTAACGTTTTACTGCACAAATTATGTACTTACTGATATTACCGCGGCAAGGTTACAAACTTACAACTTTTCACGTCACCTTTATTTATTCATAAAATCAATTAAGAATTAAGATTAAAATTCTTAAGATTCTGTCGCGTAACTAAAGGTGCTGATCGACTCGGTGGATATGACCTTTCTCTACCACTAACTACAACGATAAACAACAGCGGCTGATCCGACCCGATGACCTTTAATGCAGATTAGCAGACAACAACTCGAATGCTAACAAAATGGCATGCAAAGATAAAGGCAGATATTCCAAGAGAAGTTGTTCCGAGGCTGGATGGAGATGTACTAAATCATTTGACAACTTCATCGCACACTACTTTTTTAGCCAGGCACTTAATACATGTTACGAGAGATAAAACATTGCAGACAACAAAGACACACTATTGGTTTACACAATGATTCATTCCTTTCTTCACGCTCAATCATTTGCTTGTTATCGTCAAACCACAACCTTTGACTTGCTCACAACAACAAACTATCCTGCAATCAACCACAACAACCAACCGCATTCAACCGCATCCGCAACTGTATCCATTTAAAGCACGCCCGTTATGATGATGAATATGTATGTGATTCATGATGCATGCTGCTCATGACCCACAGAACACGCTTGCGCTATATACTCGCGCAACACGCCTCTCCTATGGATCATGACGTCCTCGTCATGGGTCGCTTTAACACTCAATCGCCCTCCGCAATCCGTCCAGACACTCGAGTCCGACCGTCCCAGAAGGTGACCACCATCCCTCAACTCGGATGGCACTTGCCCCCTTCCGGTACGGCATCCACCGAATCTGTGTCCATCTCCTCTACCGGTGTGGACTGCATTGGCACCGCATCAGCACTGGACTCTGCCGACGTCTCGTGGTAACCGGCATCTTCTTCGTCTTCGTTCACGACTTCTGACTCCGCTTCCGCCTGTGCTAACCGATCCGCAAAATCGAGCGTTTCCATTATGCCGCTGTAATCGGGCGCTTCATTCGGTGACACTCGCTTTCGCCGTTCCATTACTCCACATGATATGCTGGATGCGCAATTCAGGTAACGTACTCTGATATAACCGCATCCCGCGCGCATCCCTAACTTCGTCCTCCAGGAAAAACTTAAATGGATTGAAGAACCGCGGATGTTCACCAGTTAACACCAACTCCTTCCGTGCGCTGCACTCCTTATACACAAAGCCGTATTCGTTCTCGTACCGCATCGCGCCGTCGTCGCCACTGTAGTAGAGGTACTGGCCGAACATGAAGTAATCCATATCGTATACGACATGACGGCCATACCGCACTTCCGCCGGAGATTCCACCGTAAAACGAGCACCGTGTGGCACTAATGTCCGTAGCTGCACTCTAGTTCTGGCTAACTCCGCTGCCATCCACGTGAATTCGTCCGGAAATGGCAACGCGTCTCCCATTTGCTGTACGTATCCGGCTAACACTTCTTCACACGTTCGCAACATTCCGTCATGTTTGGCAATGTACTCTGCATCTGTATTCTCCACACACGCACACTCGCCAATACCCACATTTGCATTGACACTTTTCCGCCCACCGACACCATTCATACTGTTGCCATTCTCGCCAGTACCGCCACTCGCATTGGTATGGCACTCTCCAATGCCGGCACTCGTACTGACAGTATTTCCTCCATGTTCACCATGCACTCTGACACCATACTTGCCAGTACCACCAGCAGCACTGACACTGCACTCGCCAGTGTTGGTACTCGTACTGACCGGCATCATCTCCGCAAAACCACCGCTCGCACTGGATATCGACTTTCCAGTGTCACAACTGCCACCATAAACCAACTTGCCCGCGCCATGACTCACGCCGGACACATCTACCGCTGTACACTGACTCGCACAGGGTCTCCTCTCGTCCGCGCTATCACTCACGCCGGACACACACGCTACTGTGCACTGACTCGCACAGGACTTCACCTGGCCCATACCACAACTCGCACGGACACTCTCAGTGCTAACACTTGCACTGAATTCACGCTCGCTCATGCCAACACTCGCACAAGCACTCGCAATGCTGTTACCTGCATTGCATGCTCCAGCATCACCACTCAAACAATTTTAAAGGATACCGCACCTGCACCAGCACTCGCACAAGTCAAGTTTTATCAGCGCTCTTACTCGAACCAATCACGGCACTCAATATCCCGCGCTTGCTGTTACTTGCACTGGCTCACGTCTCTTTAGTGCTGCAACTCGCACTAGACGTGGACACCGCAGCAGCACTACTTCCGCTGGCACCGCCTGTAGATACTCCTTCCGTCTGGTCTCGCTAGTTGGCTGTGCGCTGGTGCGACAAAACAGCTGTGCAGCTTCTTCCGGCTAGGGCGCTGCTGAATGAAACGTTTAAACCGCGGACTGTGCAGAATCTTGTTAGCCGGCTTTCCCGTTGGCGTAGGCTGTTCCGCTGACAAGTTCTTCTACAAAGTACCTCACACGCAAGTATAACATTCACCTACTCACATAATAATTACACCATTACTAGACCTTCACACTGAGAACTAATATTTCCTAGACTTATTATTGGTACGAGTATCATTTGCGCATTGCGCAATCTGTACGAGTATCATAAGCATAATGATTGTTAGTACAAGGTAAGCCTCGCGCTTTCCCGCTCGGCACGTTTGTATTGGAAAGGTCAGGTTTTAATTTATAGACTGTTCCGGCAGTCGTCCGGTTGTTTAGAATTTGAACTACATAAAAATCCACATTACCCTAACTGCTGTACTGACCAAAGTGTACTTACAGATCTATATCCATGGTTACAGTACCGTATGTACTTTTTACATACGGTGCTTCACAATGGTAAAGTATTCTTGGTACTGCACTTGCGTTTCGCCATACTTAGAACCAACTCCTACAATTTTCTGACCAGAACGTTTTTTAAAAAAAATTAAAATTCAGGATAAGTTGGTCAGGAAAATATTGATTTTTTTAAGACGAAGTTTGATGACCACACTTTGACGAATCCATAAAAAACAAAATTGATTACGTTTTGGACGGTAGGATTGTATGAAAATAAAGATACGAGTTTACGTAGTGAATATTGCACGTTGTACTCTACAAAATTCAGTAATAATACAGATCCCGATAATTCCCATTACTAACAACTGTACAGCTGAGGTAGACAATTATTCAAACACTGATTATATAAAAATATAATATATTTAATGCAGCGTAAAGCTTATGAAAGCATATAAAAGTATTACGGCGGAAAGTAGATTTTATTTTGCATTTTTATTGCATCTTGACCAGCAAGTAACAGGAAGAAAGTGAAAAAGGAAAGTCAAGTGCTGCCGATGTACTGAATATTGAGACCAATATTTTACGTTAATAAGCGCAGAGCAATATGATATGATTTAGAGCGTACTTAACAATGGGGTGTGGTTCGGGTGCGACAATAGAAATCAAGCATACATGAGGAATCATATGCAACTAGTGCATTGAGCTTTAATGGGTGATGGCAGCGATGAAAGGTAGCTATTAATATTTTTAGCTTCTCTGTTTTAAACGTTTCGATGGTCAGAAAATTATGCAACAATATTTTACCTTCAATAGCTAAAGCCTAAATAAACGAGCACAACGCAACCAACGTAAACGTACAAAGAAATGCCGCATTTTATCAGATAATTATCCGATCAGAAAAAAACAAATCGTGGTCCCGACTACGTGCAATTTAATGAACATGATTTTTTCAATTTCCAATTTCCGCTAATTACTTTGCGCTTTTTTTTTTATTGCAGTGCACCAAATTTGCGAACTGGTGTTTTCATACAGAATTTAGAAATAATCCATACGCTGATTTTGAATCGCTTTTTTTTACTGCGTAATAAGATAGGATCTTTTAGCCGAATGAGCGACAATATTTTGGAATTTATATACTAATGTACTGTAATCTGAACCCTGAGCACCAAATTCTTCTCTTCTTTTTTTTTTAATTTTTCTACTGCCGCTATGAAACAATTTTCTTGAGTGGGCTGCCGGCAAGCTTGCACACAAGAATATTTGTTGTGGAAAATTGTCTGCCGATTTTTTCATGAATAACCCGAACATATGCAGAGGCGTCCCAGTGCATAAGTAATTGCCATTCATGTTATTAAAGCGTTCTAGTGTAAGACACAACGCATGGTGGATATTTTACCTGAGCAGACAAAAGGTACCAAAACATGATGATATCTTAAAAAAACGATGTGAAAATGTTCTCAAATTTTTTGATATGTTGTTATCCAAGCGACAGTGCTTGCGCAAGCTGGAACAACAATAAAAGTGTGCTCAAAATATTGACCCATTTATTCATCTTTCTCTTTCAACCTCTTCATTTATTTCTCTTTACAACTTCGTTGCACAACTCGAAAGTATTCTACTAAATTCCCGAAAGGATTCCGCTATTCAAAAAATAAATTGTAATTCGTTGCCACAAAGTCCTCCCAGACGGCTGATACGCTGTCAAAGATTTTGTTTACTGCAGCGGTACGGTTCAAAATGCACATTTTCTTCAGGATGGCGAATGGAGCAATACCTTTTAATTTTTTGGACACGATGTGCAAAAATTTAATTAATAATTGTTATTGTTTTAATAAATTTTGACAACAATTCCGTTGACCACAAGCAACTGCTGATTCAGTGAAACGCACTTCTTAAAACGTCTACGTAGAAAATACTTTGACTCAAAGCAGCAAAAGTGTTTGAATTAGGCAAAACAGTTGTACTATTTACAGCGCTAAGAAGTACAGACACAGTTTACTCTCTGGTTTCAGCAGTGTACCTATAATTTTAACCGTCCTCAAAATAACGGTGACTGCATAAGTAGGTTGATTCATAATTAGACTGATATTTATTTATTAGTATCTATTGGGATTAATAATAGGTTTTGTTCTATTCAAACATTTTTTTTGGAACCAAATGAAGTTAAACACTTACTGAAAACTTACGGCAATCAGTCAAAACATTTTAGAAAGTGGAAAAATTTTACCATCGTCTGGCTCATCTCTGTCAGCCGTTAGATATTGACACTTCTTGCGAATTTCGTGCAACCTTTCAGTAAATGACTCGACTGTTTTGGGACGATTTTGTATCATATCTGCTTTGAGCTGCATCGGCAAATTTTGGAAAAGAATTCTGACCTTTTCTTCTTCTCCAGCGCTGACATGGGTTGCAGCATTGTAATCCGAACAACGTATACGTACGTCAAGGGTTCGTCAACAACGGAATTTTTTGACATGAATTACTGACATCTAAGTCTAACAGATTTCTACCGAAGATTTTTAAAAATTCCTGCTTTGCGTCGCAAAATTTTTTAAGTTTGGATTCGCTGTTCTTGAACCATTTTAAGGCAGCATTTGTCAAGCACAAACCGAAATGCACCAAAGACTGTTCATCGCTCCACGAAAAATAGTTCTTAATTCTGTCAAACCTGTCCCTAAAATCTTCTGCAGATTCAGTGGACTGTCCACCAAATACTGGTAAATCTCTAAGGCGAATTCCTGCCATCTTACGTACAAGCACTTTTTTAAACTTAAATTTATGCAATCAGAGATTTTTTTAACATCAGCAACAAAAAATTCAAGAATCGCATTTTAAAGGGGCATGTTAAAACGATCGGTTACGACGATTTACATATTCGCTCTTTCTGGTACGTCAGCAGGACTTTTGACTTGCGCAGATAAAAAACTTAATTATTCTACAAATCGAGATATTTAAGAGTTAATTCAGTTTTTTTCGAAAATTAATGGTATGAAAAGACGGCATCGAAATGTACCTAAATACGTACTTAAGTATTACTGTTTCTACTCTGCTGGTCCTGCTTATAAATATTTCCCTCCAAGCGGGTCTCACCATATACGCCGTATATTTTACATGCAAAAGAAATCGAAAGAATACAGGGAAAATTCGCAAACAATCTAGAGCACACACTGTTAAAATGATCGAAATCCCTTACAGTAAGCTGATGATTTACGATTCTAGTAATATTAGGACTATCTTCTAAGGTCAACTTAATCATAAGATCAATTTTCATGATTAACCAGTTAATAACAAACATTCATCCGAAGTCAACGAAATGACTATTTTTTGACACAAACTTTATTTTAAAAAAACAAACTGAAAGCAACTGCAAATCGTTATTAACTTATCCTGTTTAAACTATGTCATGAACAAAAGGACCCACGAAGAGAAAGCAAAAATGATAAGTTGCCATACGACTTACAGAGGAAGGCCGTTATGTTGCTCCCGTTAGTTGTCGGCCACCTGCACCCGCTTCCGCTCCAACACACTTGATATCGCTCTCCCACTCGCTCATACAACGTGTGGCTTGCTGTAAGCGACACTTGTGACCTTTCACAATCCGCACTCGTCGCTCGTCTCACAGCGTCCACAATGGCACAATATCAATCAGCAAATATAGCACCAGAATAACTCTCACTGTCGCCGCACAATTAGCACTCGTAGTGGTATTGCACTCACCACTACTAATACATTGTCACTTGCAGCAGTGCACTCACTGCTGCTAACAGCACATCAGCTCACTCTGAAACACTTGCAGTGGTTATAACCTCACCACTACTGAACTTGACCTTCCCTCGCAGCTCCACACCTTCAGCTACCTTTACTTGCTACGCACACATGCCCTCCATGTCGCGTAACTAAAGGTGCTGATCGACTCGGTGGATATGACCTTTCTCTACCACTAACTACAACGATAAACAACAGCGGCTGATCCGACCCGATGACCTTTAATGCAGATTAGCAGACAACAACTCGAATGCTAACAAAATGGCATGCAAAGATAAAGGCAGATATTCCAAGAGAAGTTGTTCCGAGGCTGGATGGAGATGTACTAAATCATTTGACAACTTCATCGCACACTACTTTTTTTAGCCAGGCACTTAATACATGTTACGAGAGATAAAACATTGCAGACAACAAAGACACACTATTGGTTTACACAATGATTCATTCCTTTCTTCACGCTCAATCATTTGCTTGTTATCGTCAAACCACAACCTTTGACTTGCTCACAACAACAAACTATCCTGCAATCAACCACAACAACCAACCGCATTCAACCGCATCCGCAACTGTATCCATTTAAAGCACGCCCGTTATGATGATGAATATGTATGTGATTCATGATGCATGCTGCTCATGACCCACAGAACACGCTTGCGCTATATACTCGCGCAACAATTCTTTATTTTAATCGCATTATTTGCATCTTTTTAACTTTGACATTTTACAAATAATTGGAGACTCAAACGTTCGGTTTCGAATGTTACTAAAAAATTTAGGCACATGTCAAAGTATTGAGTATTTGATCTTGGGAAAATATTTTTGGTATCGCATACGTTTCCAGAATTTTTTTAAGTTACTGTATCAAAGTTAGTTAACTGCGCAAAGTTAGTTAATTGCGCATTGCGTCATCGATTAATCTGTTTACTGACATTGCAGTAAGTACAGTAAACTTCGAGCCCGTCGATAATTTCCCTCAAAAGTCAGAACTGCATGTTGTGCTTATTTTATATTTCCGAAGTATTTAAAGAATTTAAGTTTATGGATGAACATAGTCCACGCCTTCGAAAAATCCAAAAATTCGATTGAAAATTGAAACTGCAAACAGTCACTTTATGTCTTTATTGTCTTTATATTCATACTATCTTACCGTTCAAAATGTAATCGACACAAACGAAGCGAAGGTCCTCTATGTCCAAGAAAATGGGACTTTTTTGTCACATCGGCCCCGCACTAATAATTCTTAAAAAACCTAAATAAAAATATTAGAAATAATAATTTATGGAATAAACGCAACATCGATAATAATATGAGACCATGTTAAATTAGAACGTTAATTTAACAATAATTTCCTTAACTGCTACAACAAGTGGAGGTAGCGGTAAATTGGTAATGAATCTATAGCACCGCCGGTATCTATAGATCGCTACGTATCGCTACGTCTGTATCGCTACGTCTTTATTCCAAGACAATTATCTCTTAATTCACGATTTAACCTTTTCGGCGAATACAATTTTTGAAAAATTGTTTATGCGATACGAGATTAAATAGATAGATTAAATCGTATATAGATTGGCCATAAGTGGTAAATGGTTTCAAAAAAGTTTTGATAAGCCCTTTGATAAGCCCTTTTTTACGTTTGAGTCTCCAGCTAGTTGTAGAATTTCAAAGTTAAAAAGATGACTGTAATAATACGACTGAGATAAATAATTAGAATAATTGTAAAGAGAATTATATAAAGAATAATTTTTCACGCTTATTATTCCAATATACCTCATTCTAAAAAACGCAATATATGAAATTTTTCTGAATTTAGAGCCAGTGACGGGACCGTGGTTAGTTTACTTACAAGTTTGGGGTCGTAGATTGTGCTAGGCGATCGGTGCCACCGCCCAGGATGGTGTGGTTACGTTTGGGCTTTGGGGCAGCACCGATTCTGCCGTGTTTGATAGGCTTTGCATTTTCAGTTGGTTTTTTGCACGCTTCCAAATCTGGAATAAATTCCAGATTTGTCCCAGTCTCGCCTTTGTGGTGGTCTTTGCCGTCGTATTTCCCTTCCGGGATATAGAGCATTTGTTCGGGCATCGTGCCTTTATTGTTTCTTTTCATTTCACAATAAAGATCATTTTGGTTGTGGCCGCGTAGAGGCACATTTCTGTGTGGCAGCTGCAGGCCACTTTCATGGTGGAGATGCTAGTTCGATTCCCGTATCCCTGTACTGACTAGTGGATTTTCTTTTACGGTCGGCAGGCATTTTGCCTTGCGCGCCGCATTTAGCCGATTATTTCAATTTAATTTGAAATTGCCACCGTGTTTGCGTCATTAACTGCGCGCACTTGCCGATTTTCCTGTACGGTCAACCGGATTCCGCACTCTCACTACAGCGCAGTGTGGAGTTGAGCCGTACCAAAAACCCGGAAGGCATCAGCAACGTCAACCGACACATCGCGGAGGACCGGAGCTGATTTTCCTTCGCCATCAACCGATAGCTGACTCCTCTACACATCGGAGGAACGACCACACATTGGCCATTCTTCTGCAAGGGAGCAGCAAGGCGGACTCGAGATTCTGCATTCCAGACGACCGTCGGAAAGCAAGCAAGCACCGAAAGCACCGCGCCGTACTCGTCACGTCGTGTCAGTGCAGGTAAGCCGTGTTTGCAATAGCAAACTATCAGCCGATAAACTCTAGAATCATTCTAGAAACTTTTGCCGATAACTCTAGAGGTTTTCTCTAGAGTTTTATAATTCTATCATCGAACGGGAGCTGTTAAAAGCTACCGTATTTAATCGCCGTTTACCGTGAATGTGTCAACATTTCACGGTCGATTTATTTATGTCGTTTTCGCAATTTACTGTCGCTTTCGATCATTTAAAGACTCTAGAATATCTCTAGAATCTTTCTAGAATTTTTCCGAGTAATTCTAGAGACATACGCTCTAGAATTATTTAAAATTTCACCGTGTACAGTAGCTCTAGAAGCTACTGTACTTTATCGTCGTTTTCTACCGTGTTGTGGTGAGTTCTTCGTGAATCCTGCCACAGTAGGCCGTTCTGCTTTATCGCAGAAATAAATTAGGTTTTCAGACCTATTTAGCCGTACAATTTTCCGCAAGGAAGGTTGTAGAATTTTCGAAAATTCTTGCCGAAATACGGAGTTACCGCATTCATCCAATTTAATCGCAAAAAAGCGATATTGCCGTTAATTTCCATTAGGAAATTAAGTCGAAATTCAGCTAAAAGCTGTAGCCGATCATCTTCGTTTTTACGAATTTGTTTACTATAATTATTGAGATAGATTCGTGAGAATTTATCGAAGGAATTACGCCGTATTTCTTTGTCGAAACATGGAAACTACTTTCCCATGCTATGTAACGGATATTATTCGTTTTGCACAATCAGGATTACAGTTTATCTGTAATTCTCGCCGCAGTAATTAAAGCCGAAATATACTTTTTTAGGGATAAATTTATAAGAATTTATCCGTAAAATATTGCCGATAAAACTGCCAAAATACGGAAGTTCGCCTTTCCGTGTCGAACCATAATTTCCGTTATCGTGCATATCGATATTACAGTGCTTACTGTAATTAAAGTCGAGCGATCACCGTGTAGTTTTGAAATCGATATTACAGCAAATCTGTAAATCATACATTAGCCGATTAACCATTGAAATTGCGATGAACCGCGAATAAATTTCCACCGAATAGTTTCAGTGAAAATATTGGGATTTAATAACCCATATTTCCACTGTATTAGCCGAATCTACATTGTAGATTTAATCTCGAAATTTCAAAGGCCATCTAGGCCCGATTAGCCGGATAGTGTAGAAGGTTCATCAGCCTCCCAACTGGAGACTGATTGAATGCAAAAGCCGAAAGTTACCGAGTAATTAGTCTATAATTACTATTGACTTGATTAATCGCCGTTCACTTATTGAATTATTTCAATAACTGAAATATTGAGATCTATGGAGTGCCGATTGTACCAGTCAGAAGTATAGGGTGTCAGTAGTGTCATCAAGTATTAATTACAATAACGACCGCCGCAATTTACCGTTTATACTCTTTTCATTTAAATCGAAAATCGTTTTGCGATTTGGTCGATTTTTCGCCGACCCATTCGTGGGAAGTTGAAAGTGAGTTACCTCTAAATTTGCCGTATCAGTTATTAGAGTATAATCGTTATAATTACCGGTTGCATTTCAATAATATCGCCGATATGGAGCGAACACCAGTGAATAAAGCGAAGCAGTTCGCTAATAATCTTTTACGAACTGCCGATCGATTAATTCGAAATCAGCCGAAAAATACAGAAACTAATGATAACGCAACCCGCAATGTTACTCGCGGGAAAGCGAAACAAATTGTAGCCGGTGGTGAAGAAGTAGTACATCAAGTACTACAAACCAATAAAAGAAAGCCGAAAAGAGCACCATTAGCCGATCTACCGGTACCTGAAGCGGTAGAACAGCCGGCCTCGCCGATGGTCCCTAAGGATCTAAACGAGGCTATGATTGAAGTCGAAACACAACCGAGTGTAGAAAGGGTCGACAGTGTAACAGAGTCGACAACGTCGACTGAATCGTCGGTATCGCTGATTAACATTGGCGAACCGGGGTCTAAAGAGTCGACCGACTCCTCGGATGAGGATGAGGACGAGCCGACAACGGTAGTACCGTTGATGCCGAAGGCGCACTCCAGCCCGAGCCTTATTGATAAGGTTTTAGGGAAGGACTTGACGCCGGTTCTAAAATTCCCGCCGACTCAGCCGACATCAGAAAAAGGGCCGCGTATGAGCCTTTTAATGCAGGCTACTGATACAGTAGTAGAACTGCAAAATCAAGTTTCGGATCTCAGAGTTCGACTTGATAAAGCCGAACAGCTTATCGCAAAGCGTAACCAAACGATTTGCGATATGACCGCCGACCAAGACAATTTAAATGAGCAGTTACGGACTGCCAAGGGAGCCCATAATCAGGCGAATAAAGCCGCTGTAGGGCTTGGAGCCAAAGTCGTCGAACGAGATAATATAATTAAACAGCTAAAAGCCGAACTAAAATCCGAAAAGGATTCGTCGACCAACTTCCGTAATCAATATCTTGAAGCTATACAAGAGAACGGGAAGTTGAGTACAGAGTCGAACGACCGACTCGCCTCGATCTCTACGCTGCAAGAGTCGAGTGAGAGATACCGGTCGGAATTTAACATATTAGCCGAAAAGTACAACCGCCTGTTGGCAACGCACCAGCAGATGATAGCTGCCGCCGAAAACCAAATTGATTATGAAGAACGGCCGCCTACGCGGATGCGCGCTGGCCAGCCCGAAACCATGCACTCCCGCATGGAGCCGGCCCCGACAGTAGAACATATCAGCCGACAGCAGGTTTCCCATAAGGAGGCAGAGGCAATTTGTGAAGCCCTGCGGGAAGAACTGCGTAAATTAAGTAAACGAACGAGCCGAACCAATAGTCCGTTAAGGAAAGCCGATCTAGCCGATGCCATACGACAGCCAGTTCCTAGGCCGTCGTATAATGGCAGTAAGGAAGATATTGATAGTTTCCTTATCAAGTTCGAGCAAGCCGCAAAAGAAAACCGATGGGTAAGCGATGAGCGTAAGATAGCCGAACTGGCCTACTGCCTGAAGGATGAGGCGGTTATCTGGTACAACGGCCTGCTCACGTCCCCAAATACGCCGACTACGTACCGGGAGTGGCGTAACCAATTGGTTGCGCGGTTCGGAGATACCAGACGCTCTGTAAATGCGTTGTCCGAACTCACGAACCGAATGTACCGACCAGGTCAGGAATCGCTTGAGAGTTTCTTTCAGGCGATGATGACGCTGAGAGATAAGGCCGGGTATGCCGGTACGCCGGATCAATTCGTGACCTTTCTAATGAAGGGCATTAAGCCGCATGCAACTTTGCATGACAAAATCGTGGGCATGGACCCTCGTACGCCGGAAGAATTTCTAGAGAAGATTCGCTACTTGACGGCGAGTAATCCCGAAAAGTATGTGATTCCGGTCGGCAGTAAACGTAAGAACCAAGATGCCGACTCTGTGACCGTTCGAACGGTACAGACCCAGCCGAAGCCGGCGAGTTATGCGGCAGCAGCTGCTAGCGCGCCGCGCCCTATCAATGGGGGGAATCGCCGACCAAACCGATCAGCCAATAATGGCAACGATACTGGTAATATTAGGCCGGCAAGTAATGCTAATAACAGCAATGTTAGGCCAGCCGGCAATAACAACAATAATCAACAGTCGAACCGTTCCCAGCTGTGGGCCGAGAACGCCGGGCGTATTCCCGAGAATACTAATCGGGCCCCACGTTTGGAGAAGGAAATGAGAAATGGTCGAGTAGTCGAGTACTGCCAGCAGTGCGATGTCTGCGGGCACTACTTTGAGGCATGTCAGTTTAAAGACGTGCCCCGAGCCGAAAACCCAATCTATTTGTCGTATCACGACCCGGTAACCGGAGGTCGCCGATATGCCCGGGATTTCCGGAGCCGAAGCCAAACCGGTAGTGGAACGAGCACGCCTAATGGCAGCCGTTCCCGTAATAATTCACAGCCGCGTGTCCAAGGCCAAGGCCGACCGATCGGTCCAAGGCCGACGTCACGTTCACCGCCGCCGAACCAAAATGAATACGCGACATCAGCAAGTAGCCAGGAAAACGACAACGGGGAGTAACTTCCGGCAGTACTCCCCGGTTGCCTGGTGAAATGCCGGATACTACTGAAATAATAACTATTAGTGGTATCCGAATCACCGAACCGACCGAACTAAATGAGCCGATTATAAACGAAATCAATATTGATGATTCTAAAGTCGATTCAACTAAAGAGCCGAAGCGGGCGCCACCGTTAATGGTGTGGGCACGCATTGTAGGCACAACCGTTATGGTTATGATCGATACTGGAGCCGAGACGTCACTCATCTCGAATGAGTTCGTCGACGAATTAAAACTAGAAAAACTACCGTTAGTTAAGCCGCTAAACATTAGAGGAATCGGTGGTATGTGCGGATTTTTAGTAACCCACTACTGCACGGTACCTGTAAAAGTATTTGGCGAACTAATCAACCATTCTTTCTATATTAAGCCGACTGTCGACGACACTAAAGTGCTATTAGGTCAGGACTTCTTGGCCGGTGCCAACTATGGTGTCCGTAATAATGAATTACAATGGATCCGTAGGATCCACACTATTGTAGTCGAACCAACAGTTGTTGAATCTATAAAGCCGAATACTATTGAACAAATTGTTCCGATACCCGTGGCATCGGAACCAACTATTAATGCTATTGATATTCCTAAAGAGCCGACCCTAAAGCCGAAATTGTTCCGATACCCGTGGCAAAAGCCACGAGCAAAAGGAAAATTAAACTACCGCCGCCGAGAAAGTCGTTTGCTAAGTTATGGCAAGAGTATCAAGTTTTTGTATCCGAAGTACAAGAACTGACGAAATTGTTCCATAAAACCCGACAAGATATTCTTGTCTTAGGAGACGACAGTACGCCGATTTCAGGCATTAGTCCTAAGGAAGCCGAACAAATTGCGAATAACCTAGATTCTGCCTTCACAGCCGAGTATCTCTTGATGTTAGAGAAACAAGAGAAGTTGAAGGAAGCATTTGAGTACTTCAAATTTAACGTACCATATGTTTTGCGAGCCGACTTAGAAGGCATGATTCAACTAAAACCTGAGTCAGCTGTCAAGCTGCCCTACCGATTAAAGCCGAAATATAAGTTGAATAATATGCCTCCCGAAACGGAAGGCATAACTAAAGCTAACCGAGCGCCTCGGGCACATTTTCACCCAATGGCGTCCGTAATGGAGTTTAATAAAGACGAGCCGACTATAGAATGTAGATTGCAACCGAACGACGATGTCGCATGTAATAATGCGAATGTCGAATCAAACGAGCCGAATCATGCCGATACTGTAGCTAATAAAGTACCAGACCTAAACGAAACTCTATCCAGTATTCAATCCTTTGACGCGTCTAATCTAATCATTGCAAATGTAGAGCCGGTAGTTAATACTGAATCTACGCCGATTAATAGGGAATCAGCTGAACCTGATCAGTCAACTGATCCCACAGCTATTGATAAGACTTGGGAATTTTCTGAGTCGCCTACTATTGAATCTACTTCTCGTAGCCCACGCCTCCAATCGATTAAGGTGTTCGCTACCGATAAAATTCTAATCAATCCTGGTATAAATATGGCTGCAGTAGTAGCACGATTCGATCCAACTGAAGAATTTTCGACCGATAAGTTTATGTTCTTGCCGAGCCCACATGTTTACATGGAGAGGCATATTAAGCCGATCGAAGGTGTCGTAAGACCCGCTAATGGGAAATTTGAACTGGGATTGTTCAATTTCCATAATAGCCGAAAGTCGATCAAGAAAGGTCAATTCATCGGGTATCTCGAACCGTACGAAGAGATAGAAGATGATGAGATCTGTATTAATTCCGTCAAACTAGCCGAACGAACACCGGAAGAGCAACAGGAAATCCGAGAAGCCGTCGATACGCTTAAGATTAACTCTAAGCTGACAGCCGAACAAATAGCGAAGATTAAGGAAGTATTCCTTGAATATCCGGATCTATTCGCTACTAAACGCCGACCTTTTGGTGACGTTACAATTGTAAAGCACCATATCGATACGGGTGATTCCCCGCCGATTAAATGTAAGCCGCACCGTACCTCTTGGCGAGGTCGGGAGATAATCGAAGAGCATGTTAAAGAAATGCTCGAAAAAGGTATTATTCGCCGATCAAATAGCAACTGGTGTTTCCCAGTTGTGCTGGCTTCTAAGAAGAATCCAGACGGTACTATCGGCACGCGTTTCTGCGTCAACTATATAAAGTTGAACGACGCAACGAAAAAGAATAACTACCCTTTGCCGTCACCGGATGAATTGCTTCAATCCGTAGCCGATAATGAATATTATGTAGGCGTCGATTGTAATGCCGGGTTCTGGCAGATACAAATGGCCGAAGACTCGATTGAAAAGACTGCGTTCATCACGCAGGACGGTCTTTTCGAATTTTTACGCATGCCTTTCGGCGTGTGTAATGGGCCGGCAACATTCCAAGAGACCATGAATAAGGCTCTTGGGGTACGCAATGAGAACATCTTTGCGTACTTAGACGATATCATTGTAGCCGCCAAGGATTTCGACGATTTGATTCGTAAAATCCGACTAATGTGTGAATGCCTTGTTAAGGTCGGCTTCACGCTTAAGCCGAGCAAGTGCCGTGTCGGTGAAACCGAGTTGCACTTCCTTGACACATAGTGTCTAAAGCCGGAATCAAAACCGATCCGGAGAAAATCTCCGCGATTCAACAATATCCGAAGCCGCAAACTGAGAAAGATCTTCGATCTTTCCTCGGTTTATGTAATTACTACCGTAAGTTCGTCAAGGACTTCGCTAGCCGAACCCGAGCCATGTATGGCTTACTAAAGGCTAGCCGCTAAGAACCGAGTTCAGAATAAAACTATTCATATGTCGCCGTACTATATGTTGTACGGGCGTGAACAAGTTATTCCAGCCGATACGGTCACTAAGACCAATATACCAGCCGAACATGCGTCGATAGCTGAATACATGGACGAATTTCGCCATAATTTAGCGCGAGCGCATGAGCTAGCCGAAATCTACATGAGAGAGGAATTTATTAAAACGGCCGAACGTTTTAATAAGAAACGTCGAGAAGACGATTATCAGATCGGTGAACTAGTTCTTCTAAAGCGAGAGAAGAAGAAGGGTGAAACCGAATCTTTTCGAGATAAATTCGAGGTAGATGGGAAGTTACTGGCTTCCCGTATACCAATGCCGTTGAAATCGAAAATAAAGATAAGCTGGGAGAAACTCGCATCGTCAATTGCGAGCGTCTCAAACGTTTTAATACAACCGAAGAGGATCGTAAAGGAATAACTACTACGATCTCTTGCCGAAATCTGCCGAAAATGGGTTAAATGTGAATAAAGCTGAACCGTTCATTCCAGCCGATACCGTAGAAGCCGTTGAAGCATGTCAATACCGTCGAAGATAATGTTGAAGTCGTCAATGACGATGATCATTGGGAACCCGAAAGCGAGGTTGCCGAAACTATTAACCGTAAAAAATATTAAGAAAAAAGTCGACTAATTGAAATTACATGTGTACGCCGTAATAAAACGGATACGTACATGTACGATAATTCGCCGATTATATCCCCACTATCATGAGGTCCATGTTCTCTCGCCGAATAAATCCTCTACCAATTGTGTGGTCCATACCGCTTGTCGGAAATATTTACTGTAGCCGTCTAATCTGGAGAGATCTTTCACTACCAATCTTGAAATTATTAGTGATTAGTCGTACCGATTAATTACTGAAATAATTTTCGAATTATTCATGTAATTAATATGCCGTACAATTCATCAGGCTTACTGTGTTGTAGGCAAAGGTTGGTATTCAACCCGCGTATAATTCCGTTAATGATCCGGAACGGGGCATCACTTGGCGAATTAATCCAGCAGATGCACCCGGTCCATCACGCCGATAAATTTATTGATAATTCATAGCCGATTTACGCCGATAAATTTATTGATAATTCATAGCCGATTTACGATAGTAATTAAATAGTTACTATTAAGCTGTAGAATAATTAAGCCGTATTATTTCCCCGTTTAATTGTGGTCTGTGCCTCTCGCATATTTCAAAGCCGCTAGTATGTTAACATTTCAAAGCCGCTATTATGTTAATATTTCAAAGCCGCTATGATGTCCCCACTAAATTGTGGTTCGTACCTTGTCGCTCATAATTGAGTGATAAAATGCCGATTAATTGAATAAAATAGCCGAACTTAGTGTCGAATAAATCTAAAAAATTAACTAGTGTAATTGTTGTAGACAACATGGAGCCGACGCAGTGTTATCGCTGCCGTTACAACACTAACCGCCGAAAGTGCGCCGATTGTCTCTTCGGAGATAAACTGTACAGCGAACAGGAGAAGGACACCGTCGTGAGCCGATTGGTTAACGAAGTCCTGAACTGCAACCTGGATGCGTATGTCACACTCGGTGAAACGCATTTCGAGCCGGTATTCCAAGCCAAACCTTGGCTGCGTATCAGGATGAACGACGCCGCCAGGAAACTCATAGCCGCTCGTGAACCACAGTGGTGTGATATGCCACTGCCTGCCGATTTGCCGCCGCAGCCTAATTATGCTGTGCCGATGCAGTTACCGATCAGTTACCCTGCACAAGTGCAGACGCCGATGAACCAGGTAATTAGTTCCGATTCTGAGTCTGAGAGTTGCTCCCTAAGTACTTGGGAATGTATTCCTTTAAATCGTTCCGATAGTAATCCCAGTCAATGGGAAATAGACGTTTTAAATTTAAATGAAAATATGCCGCAGGGATATCCCGTGAATCCCGTCAACCAGTCGCAGATGCTGCAGTATCCACAGATGCAGTATCAACAGTACCAGCAGCCGGCGCAATATGCGCAGTACCAGCAGCAAGCCGATGTGGCTTTTAACCAGCCGCAATATCAATATTACCGACAGCAGAACGAACAGGTAAATAGTCCAATAATTCCTGCTCGTCGATTATGTATAACACAGCCGTTTAATACACTGCTTTTACAGCAGGCGCCGAGTAGTGCTAGCAGTGCAGGGACTTCTGATCCTTGGCTGCATGAGCGTGGGTACCGAGGAAATACTGCACAACAGCAGTATCCCAGCCGAGCTGCATCACAGCAGCGTAAACTCGAACCGCAACCCAGCACGTCGCGTGTACAGCCAGACGCGCGTGTCGGACTGTCGAAACAAGTAGGTAGTTTGTCTATCGACGACTCTAATACGTCGATTAAAGAGCCGTCTTCTACGGACAGTAGCCGATCTGTGTTTGGTGCTCGACACCGTATTGAATATACGTTAGAGCCGTCTGAAAATCACTCTCATTCTGGCAAGAATATAGTGGTTGCCGGGAGAGACTTGTCGATGTATGATACTAAAAAGTCCGCTGATTTGCAGAAACGTGGCAGACAGCGTGGAAACCAGTCGAATATCCGTTCTGCTGGCTATCAGCAGCGCAACGAGCCGAGTAAACCACAGAATGATCAGCCGGCTGAATCTCAGCAACCGCCGCCGCGCGAGAGTAATTCTCGCGATAATCGTGGTGTTCGACGACCACGCCAGCCGACTATCGATCCTAATAGGATTCTGCGCGATGTGACGCAGTATACTAGCGACTTGGGTATTTATGTACACAAGTTAGCTACCGTTGCCGATATAGGCAAGACAAATGCGCCGGAAATGTTGTATTTGAAGAAAATGATATATAATGCCGTCGCGTTGTTGGAAAAAACCGGATTGAGAGACCGGATGATGGAGTTTGACTACTCCACAGTCGATTTGTCGCGTTCGTTAGAGATAATCACTTACGCGTCAACCCGCCGAAATAATTTACGTACCGTGCTGGATAAAAAGCAGCTGTATATGCCGATCACAGCCGTTGACATTGAGATTATTTCTCAATTCAAGATTTATGGCGATCCGGTAACTGAAAAGTTCCTAATGCAGTTTATACTGCCACAAGCCGATCCCGCGAAGTTTTTCTTCTTTTGTAAAGTCGCTCATTTCCTGAATCAGGAATTAAACGAACGGAGTATTGCCTGGGAGTCAATTCCCTACAATACCGGGCCGAAATTTGCCGCTATGAGTATTGCTGCCGCGTTACTTGGCAGTCATAGTGCGCACAAGTCGATTTATCAAAGTAAGGAACGAGCCGAATATTCCCAGCTGAAAGACTTGATTGAGCTACTGGGGAAGCCGCTTACTGAACAGCAAGAAGCAGAGTTGTTGAAAGACACTCTAGCTGCCGCCGGTCATGTCGAGATGGACACTGACGAAGTCGATCGTTTTTACGATGACATTAATACCCGTATGAAGCGATACGGTGATCGCAAGACGCAGTTCGATAAGGGCCAGCTATACAAAAAGCGCCCTTTGCCCGATTCGCCAGATGCTCCTACAGGAAGCAAAACTGTACAGCCGGAACAGAAATTCCGAAATAATCGGAATAAACAGTCGGCAGGTGATCCTGCATCGCCGCAGTTGGGAGTGATGGGCGGGAAACAGCCTGTCAAGCTTCCTCCCCTTACACAGCCGATTATTATTCCCGTGGTAAAGCCGAATTTGCCAATGGCGAAGTTTTCGTCTGCGCCGTCGTCGTTGAATACAACGACTGTGAAATCATCTGGTACGAATACCGATAAGCAAGGTAAAATACTTTGCGATTGCCGGCCAATAATGGCAATAAAATTAATGACTAGCCGAATGTTGTAGATCATGTGCGGAAACAGCAATTGCCGACTGTTCCCGCGCCAGCCGAACCGATTGTTGCAGCTAATGTTGAACAACAATCAGCAGTTACTACGCAGCCGACACAAGTAGAGACAGTGCTTGTGTACCCGCCGACCTGTGAGACCTTCGACGAGAGGGAACTTGCGAAATTGCCGTTGTCCCGTATGAATAAAGCCGAACGTGACTTTTATGTTACGACACAGTCGTATCAAGATCATGTTGAGCCGTCGTCCAATGAGTATGTGGAAACCATGCTCGTTGAGTTGAGAAAGAAGACGTTGAGACAGATGACCGATCCCGAATATATGTTTTATATTCGATATGAAAATCCGGAACGATTACCTGCCTGGACGGGTAGATCGCCAGAAAAGCCGATTGCGCCGCAAGGCGATGAAGCCGATGTATTCCACGAGACAGTGGAAGAGTTGCCGGTGCGACCAGCACTTTCTGAGGTACTTGGCGATGCTTTGAACGCAGTCGCCGCAGCCGAAACCGCTCCTGACACTACCGGCGCTGACGCTGACGTTGACATGCTGCCGGATGCGAGTGCGGATGAAGCTGCTGAATAAAGTCGTCATTGGAGGATAAAGCAAGCCTCCGGAATGGAACGCATCATGTTGGAATGGATCTCATAATTTCCGCTATTTTTTCTGAATTTTTGTGATTGTTAACCATAGTATATGCCGCCGATTCGGTCGCATTTTGCTCATAATGTTGCTCACTGTTTTGTTTTGCGATTTGTGGCAGCCTCGGGGGGCCTCGGCCGTTCCGCCCCGTGGCATGCTAGGCGATCGGTGCCACCGCCCAGGATGGTGTGGTTACGTTTGGGCTTTGGGGCAGCACCGATTCTGCCGTGTTTGATAGGCTTTGCATTTTCAGTTGGTTTTTTGCACGCTTCCAAATCTGGAATAAATTCCAGATTTGTCCCAGTCTCGCCTTTGTGGTGGTCTTTGCCGTCGTATTTCCCTTCCGGGATATAGAGCATTTGTTCGGGCATCGTGCCTTTATTGTTTCTTTTCATTTCACAATAAAGATCATTTTGGTTGTGGCCGCGTAGAGGCACATTTCTGTGTGGCAGCTGCAGGCCACTTTCAATTGTTTGGATTTCTGGGTTTCATACATATCTCTCTTCGTTTTCTTGGGTTTTTTGACTGTTTTAAAAATTTATCCGATATAAGTCTCTTCGTCGAGAAGGCCTCGAGGCGAAATGTGTCACTGCGCTATGACATACCGGCGAAATGTCTCCTGCAAAAACGAAACGTCGCGTGGCGAGATAACCCACGGCGAAATGTCTGCGACTAAATGTCCTGCAAGCTGCACCAGTTGGTCTCGGCCAAATGCCGCGGTGCCCTCTTACAATTCGTTTCGAAATTTCTGGGACGTTAGGGATTAAATTTTCCGATTTTACGGGGTGTTTTTCTGGCCGTGCGGTTTTGCGGGTTGCTGACTGGAGCCATCTTCTGAGGCGCTGAAATGATCGTGTAAGTTTTGCACGTGACGGCTTCTCATAGCAACCCTGAAGCATTTGTTATTATGGCGTTTTGGAAGATAAGATAATAATTTCCCTGGTATACTTGTGAGAATGTGCACATTAAATTTTGAGCATACGCCTGATATAGAACGGAAACAAATGGCTCGGCATTCGTTCGTCTTTTGCTATTACAATTGTACACATTGCTTTTCCTGCTCGGAACAATGTCAGAACATCATGCTGCTATAGGGAATAATATCCCAGACAAGGTTTCGGACAGGATTACGCTGAACGATGATCAGCCATATATCCTTGAGTCCCTGCTGTATCCAGCAAAGTTTCCTACTGGCACAACGTATGTTTATTCGATTTATGCATCCGGTGGGGCCATTAAGGTTCGCAGTATATGTAATTGATGAATTTGCTTGGCTTGGATGGTTCATGGTCTAAGATGGCTGCTACTCGTCTCTGAATCTTGAGTCAGTATCTGGTGATACCGTAGCACCCTGAGGGTGCTACGGTATCACCAGATACTGACTTGCCACCCTGGCCGTCGTTTCTGCAGGCTTCAAGCATTTCGGCATCAAAATTTAAATTTTGTTAGCATTATTTCTTTTTACAGTTTGAACGAAATGTTAAGAACTTGGCAAAGTTAACGGAGAGCTATTTGGTCAAAATCGATTACATAAGCGGCCCGCCTTGCTGCTTAATTCACGTGTGCTGAAGAGCGCTTTTCCATTCCAGATGCAGTCTAAAGACTTTTCGTTTGGAGTACGTAAGGCGAATAGAACTTTACTGGATGGTTGCTTGGGAGAACGAATAAACATTTGGGATACTAAATGTATGTACGGAATATACGCGTGACCGCCAGTGAATAGAGCAAGCAATCCCTGTGCTTGTTGCCGCCACCCGGCTGGAGTATGACGTTGCGACAGTGCAAATGATGGGTCGTGCTTCGAAGTACTGAGCTGAAACTGGATACGTACTATGCCGGAGCAATTTAACGAGAAAAATAGCGTTTCCGTGATTTGCACAGTTGAAAATGTTGATTTTGTTTAGCCGGAATTAGGCCTTGGTATTGCTATCGCGATTTCAAAGTAATTAAGGATGAGTATACATATGCACGTACGAGTACATATGCACGTCATAGTTCACCCGGCTGACGGCACTCACGGCAGGGCTGCCTCAGCCATTGCTACAAGGTTTATACGACAATTATTGTAGTTGTGCGTCACAGGATACACTGTAATCAGTGTAATTTAATTTGCAGTTCCGGCTACACCCATTGCATACGCCTGTGGAGAAGACAGATTCGATATCCTATCATACAGTGATTCGGTTGTAAGTACAGCACTCGAAATACGAACGCGAATTGAAACTTGTCTGATTGTTTCTGTACTGGTGTATTACGTATTACTTATTAGCATTCAGCATTGCAATGGTTGCTTGAACAGCTAGCTTGGAACTTGCATTACATAAAATCACTAAGTTCATTTGACAAACTTTACGCTATTGCGCTATCCCGCTGCCATCGCTGCATCGTTGCTGAAACCGCAAGTGTTTTACATTAAACTTGTGTGTCTTACATTTATAAATTTCAGTAGAAATACATGATAACAAATACCCCTCGACGCTTGTGGCACGTTTCTAATTGGTTGAATCTTGCTCGTACCTGTAGTTCATCGAAGCAGTTTCCGGATCGTCTCAAGGGACCGAGAATAAATTCCAGTTATGGTTAACTCGTACGTGCGCGACCACTTTCTCTAATCGCAGATATCCAGCTGATGTAGCGCTCCACCTACAAAGAAAATTGAAACAAAACTTTAGGTGTGCCATGTGGCCGGGCAACACCAGTAGCTTGTCCTTCTGATAAGAGCAAGCTATCATGCATTGCGAGGGAACAGCTATGTGACGGTAAGTATGCCCACGTTGAACCTCACTTCAGCAACTATTTTTAACGCGTAATTACTGTTGGCTATTGGAATAATTATGACTTCTGTTTTGAAAGGTGTGGCACAGTGTCCGGAAGGCGAAGACGAAATCTGCAGCGTGGACTGTGGCCATCATACGGGAATTATAGACAGCAACGAGAACCTACGCATCTATGGCGGCACTGAGGTACATCAATGAATTAGATTTTCATTCATTAGCGGTCGACTCCGTTTCCCTCTTGCACTTGCCGATTATAGCAGCTCAACCGTTATAACCGAGAAATCGGTACAAGCCAGGTGATTAGTAATTTCTTGCGGAAAGGTAAAGGTACTAAAGTAGTAAGTACTTATCTGGCGGCGCTTAGAGTGCACACAGATTCGAATTACACTAATTTGTAATTATCTCAATGATAAATATGATTATAATAATAATTTTGAATTATTATGAAAAATTAACTGGATTGATAATTGCTTCGATTTAGGATGAATACATTTATACGATACTTACAGTATCAGTGTTAGACCTGCACCAGCGTGCCAAATGCACGTAACGCGTAAAGAGCAGGCCGTGGTATGGAGCTTACTGTAACCCATGAACCTGTATTCTCGCTGTTCTTTACGCAAAAAATAGATCACAGGGATCGTAAACCGGTTTGGATGCGAAATTAACTTTGGTAGCTGTTGCATAATCAGTCTGAGCCGGAGGGAGGGAAAACAGACGGGCTGGGAAAGATGGGAATAAGGTCAGATTTATCTTAGGTACTTGTACAGGCTTCAGTGCACAACAGCAGGACCTATTGTATACTGTATACTTACTGTATACAGTAGGTCCCGGCAATGACAGTAAAAACAGTCGTCTTTATTGTGGCATGTTCGACTAGCGCAATCCAAAAAACGTTCGTTGTTGTTAGGCGCAGCCAAACAGTTGGCCTTGGCAGGTACAAGTCTATGGATACGGCTCTTGCGGGGGAACCTTGGTTAGTGGAAAGTGAATGCGGTGTTCTAAAGAGAGCGTAGAACAAGGCGAAGCTATGCTCCAGTACCCATATCAAGTTCCAAGCTCGAAACCTTCGACCGCCTTTTTAATGTGATTATTGCATTTATTGCTTTGATTTTAGATAGCTCCACGCTGGGTTCTCACGGCAGCGCATTGCGTATCTCAATATGTAAAAAATCGGACGGCGCTTCTTGAGTAGGTGGTTACTTAATGCTGTCCGATTTCTGCGGTAGTTTTTGCCAACCGCCTTGACATTTTTTATCCCGGGCATTCCGATGGGCTGAATAACCAAAACGTTTGCCGGATGTCATGCAAAATCTCACCATTTTCGTCGCTTACCTATGAGCACGTATCTTTTCAGAAGCGGAAGTCTACATGAGTTAGAAGTATGGTTGATGCCACACCAATGCCACAGAGCATCAAATGCAACGATTATTATGGTACAGAAAATATTCCTTCCTCCACAATGGGAAACGCGCTCGTATGACTCGATGTACTACGATGCTGCTCTTTTGCTTCTGTTTTCCGTAAGCTCAAAACTAGGCATCCACTGCAACAGAAATATTCGTTTCAGAAAAATGACCGGGGTAAAGGAATCAGTATCGTATAATAATATTATTATCACACAAAACTAATTTCTTTACATTATATTTACATTATTACATTACATTATTTACATTATATTATATTTTATATTATATTCTCTATAAATGCACGGCAAATTGGTGCCACGTGCCGGACAGTTTTGTTAACGGGCTAAACTTACACCTATAGCACGGCTAATACAAGTCAAGTTTTGTTCGGGGATGTGTTTTGGCTTGTATCCACAGTATGCCACCGTATCCCACTGTATCCTTCTGTATCCTACAAATTTTCTAAGTGTTTTTGATCGCTGCCGCATCCCACCGTATTTTCTGTAGTATCCTTTGTGCATCACAAATGTATTCCACTAGGAAACCGAAGAACATTATCCAGATACTTACTTGAAAAATACTCGACGGATACAGTAAGGATGTGCTGACCGTGAGATACAATGGGATACTGCAGTTACTAATAGCCCCTGAAGCTGTATTCAGCAGGATACACAAGGATACGTACTAGAGGATACTGTAGAATACGGTGGGATACTATGGTTTTTGAAGATGATGCTCGTCCAAAAATCACCTAATGTTTTGCACAAATTGCGAATATTGTTGATGTGAGCTTTCTTTTTAACTAGCTTCTCCCACAGCACCCCCACAGTATCCTACGTATATCCTCCATCCTCCATGTATCCCCGTATTTTTCTTAGGTATTCATATGTTATTTAGGTGTCTGAGGTTAATTAGCGGTGTGCATCTGGTATACGTAAAGGATAGTGCAGAGATACGGTAGGATACAGCAACAAACAAAAAATTGACAAAAACTGTGAAGATACATAAGGGATACGTAGAGCATACCGTAGGATATGGTGGGATACTGCGGATAAATGCAAAAAACATGCTGCGAAAAATTTACCGTGTACGAAGTCGTCCATATGACCATATCTAAACCATCGTCCCCGGCTCTTAAGGACATCGAATTTTCAACTGTCCAGCCAATCTGTTTGCCACGTCCGGATATGGTGCTAAACATCGGAGATGTATGCTACGCAGCTGGTTGCGGTCGCACCGGGACCCCGGATGGGGCTTCTGAGCTAATGCAGCTAGCCATGCCCATCAAGGATTTTGGTTGCAGATCCGCTCTCTGTCCAGACAGAATTCTCGCCGGGGAAAAAGATAGTGGCGCCGTTAATGGAAAGAGCACGTAAGGCGAAATGCCATTTGGCTAGGTGTTTCTGCAAAAACTGTGGGCTTGCAGTTGTTTTGGAGATAGTGGTGGACCTTTGGCGTGTCGAAAAGGAAGAAGAGATGGTAATTAAAATTTTCTGTGCCCTGCTATACTTCCAGTTAGCGCTGAAATATCTACTACCACTTGCAAGCCTGATGACTTTGCGAAGTTCTCGTTTTGTTGTTTACTGGTATGAGGCAAGCAGCACGTAGACGGCATCCAGCGTTTTCGTTTCAGGGCGCGATCAGTGGGCCCTGTTTGGAGTTCTTTCATATGGGACGGGGTATGGATGCTTAATTACTATTTAATTAGTAATTACTAAAGTCTGCCAGCAAAACTTAATTTGAATTATTTAGGCAATGTGGCAATGCACTATCCGGTTACCAACCGGTAGTAATGCTCCTGCAGTTCATCACGAATACAGTGTACTCACAAAACTTTCACGGCTGGCTCCGGAATCGCACCGTGCCAATGAGTTTGGCGGCTGGTCAAATGCACCCCTCAGATGTGGTACAGGCTTTGAACCAAAATCCGGTGATCCCGGTGCCAATGCGCACGCAGGTTGCCATGCAGTCGGCAGCATCAAGGGAGTGTGGGTATCCTTTGATGTTTAGCGTACCACTGTGGTTGTTAACGTCGATGGTAATATAACTAATGTTATTAAATCTTTCAAATATCATTCAAACATTATCGGCCAAGAGCTGGACAAAGGCTGGCAGACATATTATTGATACTTCGTAGTTCGCACTGATATTGATTTTATTTCTAGCTTTGCTGTTTGGATTGAGAGTCAAAACGAATTTTTGGTATGCATTTTGGGTGTTTTTCGTACTGAATACATTTCACTGTATGACTTCCAAAAAAAGCTGGCCCGTCTCAAAATATCGAAGTGTTGCTGCTGCCAAACAGCACCTCATAGTGAATGTTCTAGAGTAATTCTCAATCGAACACCAACTGAAACGCTTTTTAAAAAGTGGGTTCCTGGACGGTCGGCCATCGCCTTTGGACTACTTCGATTCTACTAGGCAAAACTTTACTTGAAGGCTCCGCATACAACCGTTGGCTCCTAATACCACCTTTTGCACACCACTTTTGACTCCGCGTACTACCCTAATTTTTTTTAAATTTTTAATAAAAATAATAAGTCCGATAGGAGAATGTGCAAAATCAAAAAATGTTGTTGACTGCGGACTGTTTGCTGCGGCATTCTCGTATGACCTTTTTTATAAACGAAGTCCGGCAGAGACGTCGTATCGTATACCGGCCAATGTATAAGGAAATGGATTTTAGAATGCTTTAAAAAAAATGTTACGTAATGGACTTTTCTCTGTATGATTAATGTACTTACTCACTTAGACTTTGTCATCGGTTCCACTTTTGCCTATTTATACCGGCTTGATTTATGCTACACGCACACATTAATTACTTCCATTTCTACTTTTCTGCTCTGCCTGATTCTTTACTTGTCGTATAACTAATAAACACACTACTACTCGGATGATCTTTTGCCCATAATATTTTGCTCTGCCTGAGTATTTTTGTAACAAAAGGAATTGCTTCAATTAAGGGAAGTGGGCCGGTACATGGTACCAAATTCGTGTACATTCACGAAAACTTCTACTTTCGCGCACCCCCAAACACTTTTTGTTTCGGTTTATGATATTATGTGGCCAGAAGATCTGTAAATTCTGTATACACTGGCGTGAAAACCGCTTGTGCGCGCAACATCCGGTTCGGGAGTTACGGCTGTTAGAAAATTCCAAGAAATTTAAATGCGTTCAGGTGAACCAAAAGTTTCATTATGGACCGATTTCCTTCAAATTTTGCCCGTAAATGCACATAACCACGAAGAACGTTTTTACACCGATCCACTGTTCTATCATGTTTTTCAAATTTTAAAATGAATTTCAAAAGTTTTAAAATTTATTTTAAAATTTGAAAAAATCATGGAAGTCTGGATCGGTGTAAAAACGATCTTCATGGTTATTAGCATTTAGGTGCAAAACTTGGGGGAGATCGGTCCATAATGAGACTTTTGGTACACCTACACGCATTTAAACTTTTTGGAATTATCTAACAGCCATAACTCCGAACCGAATGTTGCGCGCACAAACGGTTTCCACACCAGTGTATGTATACAAATCTTCTGTCTACAAAACGTCATAAACCGAAACAAAAATGTGTTTAGGAGTGCGAGAAAGCGAAAATTTTTGTGCACGTACACGAATTTGGTGCCATGTACCGGCCCACTTCCCTTAAAAAGACACGCCAGGCGACCGCCCGACAGAATCGTGGTATGCGGAGTCAAAGTGGTGTGCAAAAGGTGGTATCAAAGGTGGTATTAGGAGCCAAAGGTGGTTAATGGTGGTATATTTGGAGCCTTCACCTAAACTTTACTTTAATTAGGGAATCACGTATATGCAACATCTTTCTACCGTGTACATGATGACAAACTCTAACCCTTTGCTGTATTTTGCCATGACCTTTTGCTTAAGTTTTATATATCATGCTTGGGCTCACCGACATTAGTGAGTCGGTAAAACAGGTGTAGTGCAAGTTGATGGTTTGGAGTCGAGAGTTACCGAATTACCAAGTGGCACCGTATCCACACGGAACAGGAAACATCTTTTTGAAACTCCCACATCAATAGGAAAACAACTGATGTGATTTTTTTAATTTTAAAACCGTCAAAGAGTATTCCGGTTATCACAGTACTGTACTAGCGCAGCTCTACAGTGCAGCCAGCAGACTTTAAAACGTAATCGACTACCCTATGGGCTCGGTCACACTTCGGGTCCGGGATTGAAAGTTAGGTTTTCGGGGAGGTATCGGCATTTTCGTTTATAATCAAGTGGCCTTGAAAACTACGGACAGTTTTCAAGATGTCCACCATTTTTTGCAAAATTCTACTAAGCCGCCTCGAGAACACACTACTTTTTCAAACATTTTAACAGACAACCACAACATTCAGCCATAATATGAATTCGCCCGAGCTAAAGTTTCAACATTCTGTGTACCGGAAAAAAATTAGATACCGTAATTATCGAATTTGTGGCCCTGGGGTACAAATAGTTCGAAGGCTATGGCGGAGGGGGCGCAATTTCGGGGAGGGGGCGCAATTTCGGGGGGTGGTATTATTTTTCGAACGGTATATTTTGGGAGGGGCATTATATTTCAAACAATTGCGCATCCTGTTCTAGTGAAATTGAACGCACTAGTTACCGATATACACCGCAGCGCAGCCTTCCCAACAACAGGTTCCTAGAAAACTTTTTGCCAACGAATATCGCATTATGTTGATGTCCGTTTCATGTTTGCTCACAATCAAAACAATTTTTATAAAGCATTTACAGTACACCTATCATTTTGCAGCGCTTGACATTTATTAACGGCCCCTGGGGCGTAATTTCGGGGTGGCCTTATTTTTCAAACAGGGTTTGGGAGGGGGCTTATTACAGGGGGGGGGCTCTTATTGCGGGGGAGCCACAAATTCGATAATTACGGTACATGACAGGCGTGTAGACAACAGTTGACTAGACCACGTACTTTCTAAGCAACGTTTTAGCAGCTGTCCACACTTAGCTAAGTACTTAACCCGTTGACGGGCATTGGCGTTCTGGAGGCGACAAGGGATTTGGGATTTTTTCCCCAGCGATCGCCAACAGTTATTCGTTATCCCATGACGTAATAAGCAATAAGTGACTTTAAAGCAGCAATAAAAACATTATTTGGACCTGTGTCTCAAGTTATTTAAAAACTACAGGTGCGCAAAAATCGCGTATTTTGACTGGTTTGAGCTCTTCGAGGACTTGGCCAATAACTTTCTAGCTAATGATTCGATAAATTTGAAATAAATCAGAAAGGTACAATTGATAATGCTTTATTTAGAAATGTCCACCATGGTATCTGAAAGTCAAAGATTACATGGCCATTGTCCGTCAAAAACACATGTTGCTTGCTAAACGCCATTGCGCATGAAGGGTTTCGAATACACGGGCGGGTGCACTTTCGACAGATTCTTCTTGTTACATAGGCGGAATAAGTTAGTGTCGGTTCAGATGCAAAACATCTACATACCACACGGTTCCCTTTACCGGAAGCGGGCGAAAAACGCTGTTGCTAATCAACACCCCGGCCGGTCGGCTTCCGGAAAACAAAACATTTAGGGAAATCGTCCTGACTGTAATTCTACCGCCATTGCAATAACACTGTGAAATGGCAGCACAACACCGTGCGCTTTGCCGCGTTTGCACACATCAATGCATCGCTTGGGCAAGCTAAGGGAGAGCGCTGCGCAGCTTTGAAGAAACATGTGTTCTGAGTTTTGATCAGTTTCGGGCGGTTGCAAACTACAGTACGTAAATACACAGTGAAGCGGGCACGTTGATGATGTTGACCTTAGCGGCAGCATTACTAGTTACTTCCGACCGCAAACGCGTTCCAAAAAGTGGTAGTGACCTTTAATATCTGATTTGGCGCTAACGACCACTGCAGCTGGACCTTCCGCGCACCTTTTTTGACATTGGCACCTACGGTCACATCCGGGGAACGTGAAGCGCGGACAATGCAGCCAGTAAAAAAGCGACAAAATGTAATGTTTAACTTCAAAAATAATGCTTCATACAGTGTCATATGAGAGTATACTGAAAGTTTTAGGAAGAAACATCGTTAGCATCGTCTGTTTTCAGTATTCCATCTGTAGCAGTGGTCAAAACACATAAAAACGGGTTTTAGACGTTTTTAATTTTTTGCTGACCAGTGGTCAGCTTGTTGACCGCTTTTACACTTTTGTCTTAAAGTACTGCTTTTGTGCTATTTAATGAAGTTATTGGTTTTACTTAATTCCTGTTTGCCTAGCTATTACAGAATTAAACGCTTTTATGTTGTAGACCGTCCATGGGCATTGGCGTTTAGAAGGCGACATAGTCACCACCGCTGACCTATGGTCAGCACAAGCTCACAAAAAATTCCCTTTCTTAATTGAATTTTTTCATCGGGAAATCCCGATTTTCAATAGGATACTCGCGCTCCTTCGGGTACCGCCCGCTGGAGGGTTAATCTTCAACCATCTGTATAAAAAATATTTAATACTCTAAAATATTATGAATAGTGCTAAAACATTTCAATGAAAAAAAGCGAATGATTTTCCTGGCTTGCAGCCGGTAGGAATAGGATGATCACATTACAGTGGAATGGAAAGGGAACCGTACAGTAGTTCGCTTTTGAAAAGTGGTGGGAAACGGTCGATAATCAATATCCTGTAGAAGAAAGTACGAAAAACACAGATTTCAAAACCTGCGAACGCTGCACGAAGTACCTACATATATTGCACCATCAATAATCGTATCGTATTAATACATATCGTTTACCTAGAGTGGAGCGCATTTTCTACGAAACGTCCAATTTCCAGCCCAACATTAGCAAAAGCGACCGGCTGAAAACATCCAACCGGCAAAAGCGACTGGCTGAAAACAGCTCCATGGGAAAAAGTCCAGCTCGAAAACACGCCGAGAAAACCAAACCGCGCAATCCACGTTCGAGCAAAATTGCCTGCCTACAGGTAAAATGTAAAAGCCGTACTTCCGCAAAGCGCCCGGCTCGAAAGGACCTTCCGGCAATAACAATCGCCTTCAAGGAAAATTTCGGCAGAACCGTCTGATTCAGAACACTCTGCAAACGCGTGCGGTCCATAAAAATAATCGATAACGAAACCGACGAACCGTCCGCCTCAGAAACACCCTGTAGTAGTTCAAGGTTGCGACGAGACCCTGTGGCTCAAAGGCATACCCGAAGACACACTCTGCCGAAGGCGTTTAGCCCTGGCATGCCCAAGCGATTTCCAGTCCACCTAAACTGGGACGTGTTGTCGTTGCGTGGGTGGGGTGATAAACAGGGTGATATCGCGCCACATTCTGCAAAACAAGCTACAGAAATTATTCAAGATTGCATTGTTTATGTTCGGGGTTGTCAGTGGCTGACGCAGATAGTCTCTGTATTTGCTGCCGTCACCCGCCTGGAGTATCACCTTGCGGCAGTGCATACGATTAAATTTGGCGCGGTCTGGCCAAATTTGGCCAATGCCAAAACGCCGGCGGAAATTTTGTGTGGTCACAGATACAGTGGACAGTAGTCACAGTACAGATACATAAGTGCGCGTAATGGGTGCGGAACCATCAAATCTTTGAAGACACCTTTTCTTGCAAAATTTTTTGAAGATTGCACTGTGAAGGAATTCAAAAAGTTACAAAAATTCCGCCGGCGTTTCGACATGGACCCCACAATTTACAACTCCAGCTGGGTAACAACAGCAGCCAGCCAAACATAAACTGCTTGCCTCAGTTACTTTATTAACAGACAAAATAATTATCTCCTCTTGCCGTAGCATACCGTAGATTGTCAAATGTGTCAGCATGAAGTCGGCCTTTATTACGCAGTCCACAAGTACAGTTCCTTGGGAAATACGTATATTTGGCATTGCCGTCGGTCACCGTCTGGATCCAGCGGAGTGGGCGCGTCGATTACATCTTCGATTATTGCTCCGTACTTTGCTTTCTCTTCAAAACATCAAAAAAGCAATTATTTAGGTTTTCGTAGTGCAAGGATTACATAATGCATCTGCAATTATTTGTGTAATAAGCCCTGTAAAATTTATTCTATCATTTCTATGTACAGGTTTTCTGTTTAAATTTTGATAACGTAGCGAGTAGCGACATGCCATCTCTGTCCAGTTTGCAAGTAAGCTGTTCATTTTTTCTAACCTTCTTTACTGTTTTGTTTTTTTTTATAAATTTGTTTGGACTATTTCGAATTTCTTTCGGTTTTTATAATTATGTATATCGTAAGGTGGAGGTGCTATAACTGTTACTTACAATGGTACTCCCGTGTCCGCCTAAAAATAAAAAAATCAATCAGTATAAAAAAACACATCAAGCAGCCATAGATGTTGTACTTACGAGACAAAACGGCGCCTGTGTAGGTCCAACGGCACAGAATCCCGTTAGCGAGGGTCCATGCAGGTAGCGTGGGTGATCCTTTTGTGAAAATCCGTATGGGTCTCGGTGCAGGTCCGGATATCCCAAGGAGCAGCCGGTACCCCACAGGCCCAAACTGCAGCCCCTTCGCTGTTAACAGCCAGCTCCAGGGCACCTTGTAGCGTCCGTACATCGTACACTCTCCGAGATAGGCGCGGTTCTCGTAGGAATTGCTGTCCGAGAGCGGCTTATCCTGACGCCGATCGGAGAAACACACCGGACAGGCGCGCTCCATGTTGATGGGCTGCTCCAGTTCCAGGAGGACGAAAAGACGGTTCGGGTAGCGGTTGGTGGCGCGGAGGTGGTCGTCCTGGAAGAACATCCGCTTGGCCAGAATGTACTGGGCCTCTATTTCCGCTGAGCCGGAGGTGGCCCGAACCGCGATGTTGGCCATAGCTCTGCGGGTTTTGGGATCCCGTCTGTATAAAATTTTATCCAGTTTAACTTCATTTAGTTCGATTTAGCGCAAACACATAAGATGATTCGCCATTTCGGTTTCGAAAATGAAGTAAAGCGATTGACACTAAGTGAATCAAATACGATATCGTCCCGCCACGAAGGCGGATCAAGCGCTCTGCTAATCCGTGTTAGTTTTGTTAGGTATTCCAGATACTCTTAAGGTTTCTTATTTATCTTATGTTTTCTTAGATTTCTTAGGTTTTCTTAGGTTTTTAGGTTTCTTTAGGTTTCGCTTTGACGTCGAGCGGTCGGTGGACGACCTTGTAACGATCGACAAAATCTGAGTCAACATAATGCAGAAAAGCCCAAACGCAAGGTGTATAAAAAATGTATCCGAAAAGTGGCGGCAAAAATAGCCAAAGGTTAGAACTAGTCATATATTCGGTTAAAGCGTATTCTGCTTTATCTTTTCCTGATTAATGTAAGGTTCGAGGATGTTAGGTTTATCCAGTGCGCAGTATAAAATTTTAAATTTCCACAAAGGTCATACCGCTTATAGCACAGTATGCTGCTATAAGCGCACACAACACAGCATACATAGCACAGTATGCACAGTATACCCCATGCTGCATTCGCTTCAAACAAGATTACAAAAAGTGCTACTTACAAACCACTGGCGACTGTCAAGACAGCGGTTTCGTTGATTATAACGCCGACGTGGCTGTTTCCGTTCCTAGTCCAGCGCTGGGCTTCGAAGGGATTACAGGAAGGTGTCACATAGAAGCCGATGTCAACAAGAAAGCAGTCGGGGGCGGCGTATGTTGGGTCCAGTGTGACACCACATCGCGGATACAGCGGCAAGGGAGGGCTAGGGACGCTGTCATCACAGGGTGGGACGGTGGTGTTCGGTGTGGTGAATGGCGGAGGAATATTGGTGGAGGTGGTAAGACGGGCGGTCGTGGTTGGGGTTAAAGTTACCGTTGGTGGCGGAATGGATGGAGTTAACGAAGGAGGTGGTACCGACCCGGTGGTGGTTGACGACGGGGGCGTTGTAGTCTTTGATGTCGTTGAAGTGGTAGTTGTAGTCGATGGTGTGGTTGAATTGCTCGGTGGTGGATATGTCCCCGTCCCGGTGGTTGGTGGTAACGACGGTGTGGTTGTATCGCTTGGTGGCGGATATGTCCCGGTTCCGGTTGTAGATGGGGTCGGTGGTGTGGTAGTGTTAAAAAGTGGCGGATACGTCCCCGTCTCGGTGGTAGATGGAATCGAGGGTGTCGTCGTGTTCATGGGTGGTGGATATGTTCCCGTTCCGGTAGTGGGTGGTAGCCACGGCGTGGTAGTTTTGCCAGGTGGCTGAGATGTCTCTGTTCCAGTGGTACTTGGAGTCGACGGTGTCATAGTGCGGCTAGGTGGCGGATACGTTTCCGTTTCGGTGGTAGGTGGAACAGGTGGTGTCGTGGTGTTGATGGGTGGAGGATATGTCCCCGTTCCGGTGGTAGGCGGAGTCGGCGGTGTTGTGGTGTCGATGGGTGGGGGATATGTTTCCGTTCCCGTGGTACTTGGAATCGACGGTGTAGTTGTTTGACCCGGGGGCGGATATGTCCCCGTCCCGGTTGTGGATGGTAACGACGGCGTGGTCGAGCCCGTTGGTACCGTCACGGGTGGCGGGGTTGCAGTTGTCGTGGTGTTAGGCGGGGTCGAAGTGGTGGTAGAGGTCGTATTACACGGTGCAGGTGGTGGTGGCGGTGGTGATGGTGGCGTCGTTGTCGAGTTGGTTGGAGGGTTCGGCGGTGTCAGGGTCGTATTTGGCGAGGGAGGAGTGGTCGTTGGCCACCATGATGTCGTCGACGACCTTGTTGGTGGAGTAAGTGTCCCACTGGTCGTCGTTGGAATCGTGGTGGTTGATGTGTTTAAAGGTGGCGTAGAAGTTGTGGTCGTTCCAGTCGACGACGCGTTCGGTGGCGTTGGCGTCGTGGCAGCAGTAGTCACTGTAGGCGTCCATGGAGGGGGCGTTATCGTGGTGGTGGTAGCGTTAGGAGGCTCCGTTACCGGGGTTCGGGGCGTTGTTGAGGCTGGTGGGGGCGGAGTGGTCGAGGGGGGCTTAGATACACAACATCTCTCCGGTGGCTCTGAATAAGCACCAACGGCTTATGTAACCACATAAAAACGAGGATTTGTGGCTTCTTAAGCATTTCACGCTTTACACTTTGGCACTCAAGCAATTATTATGAATTATGATGCACTCGTGGTAATTTGACCTTTTATTAAACTTTAAAGATTACTCGGTTTACTAAGACGCGCACGTTAGCATACCTTCAAGAGAACTCCTCATGAAAATTCTCGGCAGTTCTATGTCGGTTCTGGTGCGAAAACAGCACGACTGTGTACGGACATTACAGGCTTCGCATTTTATGTTGGATTTAGTATGATTCAGTCCATAATAATTTTCGCAGAAAGTCGAAAGGTTGCTGTCGGGTACACACACTCCCCCGTCTGTTGGAAAATAAACATGGACAGCTTCGGAGAAAGCCTTCGTAGACCTTGTTTTTTATTTTGCGCAAAAAAAATATCTGCTACGTACTTGTGATTACTCTATCACGAAAGGTTCCATCAGTGAAATATGCATCGCGATAGACCCAGCAAGGCTCGAAAGACATAATAGTTATGCCCGAGTCGTCTGCCTTAGGAATCATGACCAAGTCGTCGGAATCGTCTCCTGCGAAACGAAGGCGTGGTAGGTTAATAGCATGGACAGAATGCAAATCCAGCTCAGTACAGAGCGCAATTATTGACACAAATAATACGACAGTTCTTCGGGGCATAATACAAATATATGATGTCACTGTGGCCGTATAACAATGGTAAAATAATGCTTTACTGCCAGGGTTAGTGGATTTGGTACAGGAAGAAGGAATACTGCCCAAAGATTGCTAATAGAACGAGTAATGTGTTTTAGTGCAATACGCCGAATAATTAGTGAGGAGAGAAAACATGGTTACAGAATTCATAGTATCGCACGTTAGAGGATTATTTCAAATTGATTCTGTGTACAACAAAAGACTGACAGTTTATTTACCAAGTGTTATTATGCAGTCGGCTTTACAACTTATGTCGTACTGTGATTGCTTAGCATTTAAAGGTCACTGTAATGCTTAGTAAACTTACGTACTGTGCAGTGCAGATGGATTTTATAATTATTAATAATAATGTCACAAAGATGATTATGAGAATTCGCACTATGCAAAAAACCAATACGAGTACCGATAACCAAATATCTAGATTGCCCGGTATCTAGATTAATGCAAAAGGTGCAATATCCGTTTTGAATATCTTTATGTCAAAGTTATCGTATAAACGGAAATAGTTACTGTATGTTAGTTATTTTTAGGTATGTCAGCTGTTTTGGTGGATTTAGGTCCGTTTTTAACTCATTTTTTATCTTAATTTCAGCATTTCTCCTGCCTGATTTGATTTCTTTACTGCTACAAAAATAAACAACTAACGTGTCAGCTTACGGGACAACCACTTACGCGTCAGTCTATAAACTAATACATAGTCCAGAGTTGCCCCATTTCAGAGTTTCCCATACCCATTCCCCTTTCCGTTTTTTCTCTCCCATTTGGCCTTTTCCCATTTTTGTCCATTTCGCTAATTTTTCCATCCATTTCCATCCATAATTCAAAAATTCATCTCCATTCGAAAATGGAAATGGGGCAACTCTGATACATACATAACAAAGTAGTAAGTACCAAATTCAGTTTATTGTACAGTAATCTCGTATTAAATGTCAATGTTGAAAATTCGTAGAGCAGGTTCTGACGCTCGTTCGATTTATAAGCACGGAAGAATGCAGTGCTACCGGTGCAATTTTAAGTACGTCGTAATTCCGCAAACCCTTTCCAGCAAGTTAGCAACGCTTCCCGTTCGCAACTACTTACGTGTACGCATGGGTGTCTATTTTTATTAGCCAAGCGATTCTGACACTTGTCAAGGCGACTCAATAGCCCTTTATTTCTGACATTGAAAGTTTCTACAAATACAAGTATCTCTAGTCAGTGGTTCAGCATTTCTTATATTTTGTATCATTTGTTCTTATTTGTTTCTTTTTATTTTAAATTGTGCTATCCTGGAGTATGTCATAAAGTTTCTGTCGGCTTCAAAAGAAACATCAGCAACCAAATTCGTATCCTTTGCCACAGCAAACCGCCGCATTTTTTAGACGCTGTCGACTGCACGGATACTTGCACGCGCAACGGCAATGGCTTCTCATCTTCTGCCTGTGTCGCACTTGGAATAGCGTCCTCCTGGCCAATCGTTGCTTTTCTTGGTACGGTGCGATTTGGAAGCCAGCCGTAGAAATCTTGCGAGTACACTGTGTCCATAATGAAGGGCATGAGTCTTTCTACTGCTTGATAGCCGGTCACAGCGATGCCACATTCTCTAAAAAATTTGGAATTCCTCTTGACTAGAAATTTTCCATGGAATATTATCGGTACTCTTACCCTGTTATGAAAGAAGCTACTCCAAATAGAGTCCATTGATCGTTTCCTGGTTAAAAAGCCGACTATGTGGAGTAATTAGCCAAAAACAGATTTGCTACGAGTAGTTAGTAGTTACAAAAAGCGACAACGAAAGTCATCCCCTTGAAACGAGTAGCGTACAATGCAAAAGCACATGGACATGAGCATTTGATTACTTTCGCTTTTCGTTTGCAGATCTTTACGCTCGAAGAGGATTGACGGGAAAGCTTACAAAATTTTGGTTTTCCTTCGTGTTTTAAAGCACAAATTAGGAAAAATGCTGGCATTTACCATTTTTATTACACGCTAAAGGTCCTCCACTGTCCCCGGAACAGCTGCAACCGCAGAATATGTTTTCCACATAACTCGCCTAACGTCATTAATCAGCGGTAAACCATACACGCTTTTTCCAGTGCCACTAACGTTTTGGCCGGCGTACAAGGTGTCCGGACAGAGTGCGGAGCCACAACCAATATCCAGTATGGTCATGGCCAGCTGCAGTAGCTCGGATGGCCCGTCTGGGTTTCCGGTGCGACCGCATCCAGCTGCATAACACCTATCTCCAACATGCATCACCATATCCGAACGTGGCAGACATATTGGCTGAACGGTTGACAGGTCAACATCCTTCAGAAAAGATGCAAATTACATTATAATATAGCACCTGATATTATAGTTCTAGCTTGCAAAGTTTTGGTCTATCAAGTGGATCACACTGATCCATCAGTTTTTTTAAATAATTAACTCACGGAAAACAGGAGTAAAAGAGCCGCATCAAAGTATAACGATTCCGCCGTTGGTGTTTCCCATTGTGGAGGCAGGAATACTTTCTGTACCGCAATAACCGTGGCGTTTGGCACTTTTCCACAGCGGTGTGGCATGAGTGTTATGGTTACGTGCTGTAGACTTCCGCTTCTGAGAAGAAAGGAACTTGCGTTTTAGACGTTTTACGGGGCTTTATAGGGACTACTGTCATGTCCTTTTTACAAACCAAGCAGTATCAGGAAATTTCTGAACGATTGGGTTACCCATTCATTTAAGACATCGCTACAATGACCGGTGATCGCGTAACCCGCTTAATTCCTGTTTCTTATCCCATTCGCTCATTCAGCTGCGCAACCGGCAACCAGCTCATTATACACGGCAACGCAGCGCACCATTCAACTGGAGTATGACATTTCGCCGTACTAAAATTCGACGCGCGATTTTTCGTCGTAAAGACGTTTCGCCGCGGGACATGACTTTTCGCCTAGGAACATATTGCTTAATTGAGACATTTTGACGCGCGACATCTGGTCGTTTTGGAACTTTCGAATCGTACTACAATTCAACGCAAATGAATTCTACGCGCTGAGTTATCATAGATTTTTCAGGCTTTCCATGGTTCTTGTTTTGCTTTGTTCTTAGGTTTTTCATAAATGTTTGTAAGTTTTCTTAAGCTGTTTCTTAGGTTTGCATATGTTTCTAATCTTTTGTTACGCTTCTTATGCTTTCTTATGTTTTCTCCTGTTTTCTTATACTACCTTGTAGTTGTGATTAATTTGTTGTAATCTTTGGTTTCTAATTTTCCTTTGTTTTCGTGGATGTTCTGGTTATTTTCGTTAACCATTGAACCATTCTTCTGGTAGATGTAATGCCCCGTGCGGCGAATCGTCGGCAACCAAATGTCTTGCGACTAGTTGCCCCCGGCAAAATGTCGGCGGTGCCTTTGCACATTATAAGTTGAATCGGAATGCATGTACGATGACAAATGTGGAAAGAGTATGTTTTTGAAAACTGTACAGGAGTATAGCGACGGGCCTGTTCTTGGTTACGTACTCTAAAAGCGCCGTTCGGTTTGTTACATATAGAGATATGCAGTGCGCTGCCGTGAGAATCCATCGTGGAGCTATCTGAAATAAAAATGGTTTGTTTTTACTATATATTTGTACTGGATACTAATGAGTACATTGATAACACTGTGAACTATTTTCCTCCTGTGTTAAGTAAGAGTATATAGAGCATAGAATGTCCAAGTTAGTGGTTCTATGGGAATGAACCCATAGACCAGGACACAAGTGGTTCACTTGGTTCTGAACCAATAAAACCAAAACAGTGTTTACAACGCACCAACAGAATGAGAAGCGATACCAATAGAACCACCTAGAACCCACACTGAACCATCGTAGAACCATAAGTCCACCCGTAAGCACACACGCAGTTACCCGCACGCTGTCACACTACCACTCTACCCCGTGAACCAGGTGAACCTATAGAACCACATAGAACCACCATTGAACCACCACAGAACCAAGCACACACTCACTTGCCGGCACACTGTCACACTACCACTCTACCCCGTGAACCAGGTGAACCTATAGAACCACCACTGAACCACCACAGAACCAAGCACACACTCACTTGCCGGCACGCTGTCGCACTACCACTCTACCCCGTGAACCAGGTGAACCTATAGAACCACATAGAACCACCACTGAACCACAACAGAAGCGAGTGTACAATCACTTGCCGGCACGCTGACACTCACGCTGTCCCACTATCACAGATCACTCACTAACGCAGTTACCGCCTGAGCGCCTCTCAGGTTTGAACTGATGAGAGTTGTTGTTAATCACAGCTGCCTGTCGCACTGTGCAAACTTTTTTTACAGCGTCTAACCTGTCCACTTTCCTGCCGGCTACATGCGCTTGACGCTTGACGCTTGACGGTCTTGCGGATGACGGTTAAAAATCCAACCAAACTCAGGAAAACCTAAGAAAACTAAGAAACCTAAGAAAGCCTATGAAAAATCAGAAAACAAAGATGGTTTAGCTAAGCGTTGGATCAACTTTGTGGTCGGTCGACATTCTGCCTTTTCGGCGAAGTGAGGGTAAACAGATTTTCGTCGACGAAATGACGGGTCACCGCATTTACAGTTTTTTGATTACAATACTTTTAAAGTATTGTTTACCTCCAAAGTACTGTAATGCTTTGTTAATGCAGTATTTTGAAGCCCACTTGACCATTGAAATCAGCGCTTATTCATCAAAATATAAGACTTGCACCACCTAGTAGAATAAAATGTGCAGTATTTTAATAAATTTTTTAGTTTACGGTAAGTATTACTATTTTTTTGTAATTATCATCTAAAGTAAGTATGGGAGAACGTTCGATGACGTCTACGCGCGCACATCAAAAATGCCGCCCAGCGCGCACCTGAGATACGGATCTTCACTTCGATCCTGAGCGCTGGCCTGCCTGTACGGCAGCTGCGTTAGTTACAAAAAAATAATTTTTATTCGTTCCATTTTCGTTTTACATAGGGCGCCGACACGTTATTATTATTTTCTGGATTTTTAAATCTGAAAATTTTTCTGGTTCTGCAATTTTTCTGGTTCTGCAAACCAGAAACAAAAATTATGCCGTTCAGGGCTCAGATGATAGAGCTGACTTCGCTTCGGCTCGCACTGAATCACGCGGATATGATCTGCCAACTGATAACCATGCGATGCAGCATATCCGCTAAAGAAGATTTGTATCTCTGGTGCGCGATGGGCGGCATTTTGATGTGCGCGTGCACGTCATCAAACGTTCTCCCATACTTACTTTAGATGGTAATTACATAAAAACAGTAATACTTACCGGAAAATAAAAAATTTATTAAAATACTGCACATTTTATCCTACTAGGTGGTGTAAGTCTTATATTTTGGTGCTCTGTGGACATGTAGCAGCCCTGAAGTACGCAGATCGTCTGGTACGCAATGTTTTTTATGGCGCAAAAATGACGACGACAATTATCGTACTTAGCTTGCACTATGGTGCAGAAATAATGCTAAAATTTGCGGCGTACTGGTACGGATTTTTACCTTTACCGGAATCTCTAAAGGAATGACAAAGAAAACGTTAAACAAATACTCAGCAGGCACTAACGTACATCTTATACCCTGCTGCTCGTTTGATAACCGTCTCAAAAACAGACTACCTTAATATTTTGGGAGTACTTAAATTCTCTGCATGGATAGCTTTGTTGCAAATCCATCACAAAGTTTCTTGAGCCAAAAAGGTGCTGTTTAGCCGCATTTTTTTCAGACAGCTTCCTCATCTACAGATTTTAATTACGATTAAAATAGTGAGATAGGTTATCAGTTCTTACCCGGCCATATTGAAAAAGCATTCGAAAGCTTGCCTGTTCGAAAACTTTGATATTAGGCAAGTACGAGTATTATAACTCGTACATTATTCGTAAGTATTGTAACTCGTACATTTATAAGACGAGCGTTCGGCAAGTATATCTACAGATATAAGACGAACGGCCGTTCTTTGGCAGAATTTCTTACCAGCTGAATTTTTGTACGATTTACGTTGAGCCGTTGTTCGATCACATGCACAAAACACACTGGGCGATCACTGGGCAGTTCGGTGGCCATATTTCGTACAGGCAGTGTCCGGTAGTTTTGACATAGACAGATTAACAGTATATTTTTTAAGGATTTTCCTAGTTTATCCTATGGATAGTGCCACTTCATATAATACCGTAAATCTGCCTATGTCAAAGGTGTACAGCAGGGAGATCCACTGGGGCCATTATTGTTCTGCCTAGTTCTGCGCCTTTTGGGGATCACTCTCACCACTAAGCTCAACGCATGGTTTCTGGATGACGGGACGTTAGGCGGTTCTCGCTAGTGTGCTGGACAACTTGATCGGATTATTGCAGAGGCACGCTCTATTGGGCTGGATGTCAACATTGCCAAGTGTGTGTGAGTTATTTGTCTGCTGAGGGACAGAATGCAATCAACAGAATGTGATTGCTGAGTTTAATGTAAGACACCCCCAGCTGCGTGTTATATCAAGCTCTACTTTGACGCTGCTCGGAGCACCCGTGCTGGATGACGCGATTAGGCCATCGCTTATTGAAAAAGCTGCAATACTGACAAGAATGTGCGAGCGACTTCAACTGCTTCCACGTCACCATGCGTTGTACCTGCTCAGGTATTGTCTTGGCGCGCCAAAAGTGATATACATGTTACGATGCTGTAACGCGTGGAAGTATCCAGAAAAACTGTACGAGATAGATGAAAAGTTACGCTCCTGTTTCCATACGCTGTGTAACGTCAGAACCGCTCATGATGACTACCCGTGTTGGCGACAGGGCTAGCCTTCCCGTTTGCAAAGGCGGTATTGGGATACGTCGGTCGGAGGAATTAGCGCTTCCGGCTTTCTGGCTTCGGTTTTCTCCGTATCCGATATGGTATCCTTATTACCACCTGGTCATGCGACCGTCGACCTCACAGGCCCTCTGGAGTTATGGAAGGAAAACGCTCGACAATCTGGACTGCCTCAACCTAATTTCCGCAAGCAACACAAGACCTGGGACATTCCAATGTGTAACATATCTTTGTCCAAGCTGATGGAGATTTACCGCGACGACGAAATTAATAAGGCCCGCCTTCTTGCCCAGTCAACACAGGAAGCCGGCATCTGGTTAAATGCATTGCCCTCCGCCCATATTGGCAACCTCCTTGATCATGATACTCAAAAAATCTCCGTCGGTCTGAGACTTGGAGTTGCAATATCTGAACCCCACGATTGCATGAAGTGCCAAGGATGTAGACAAATACGGACACCATGGTCTGTCTTGCGCGTTCTCTGCTGGTAGACTCCCGCGACATGGTGCATTACACGACATCGTTTGTTGCGCGTGTGTTTCAGCTGGGATTCCGGCAAAGCTCGAGCCACGTCGCGCACGTCTGAACGACGCCCTGACGGTTGCACAACTTTTGCCTGGCAGAGAGGGTTGTGGTTAGCGTGGGATGTCACTTGCTTAGATACTTTTGCGCCTTCCCACATTAAGAATACGGCAACTCACGGAGGTGCGGCTGCGGTGGAAAAAAGAACAGAAGTCTCGGTTGTACTCGTACTTAAACGGCAGATACTCGTACTTAAACGGCAGATACTTTTTTCTCCAACTGCTTTCGAAACAATGGGCCCATGGGGACCGTCAGCTATTGCCATCATTAAAGAACTGGGCCTGGAGCAACACACAGGCGAATGACGTTCCCACGAATTCCTGCGTCAAAGACTTCCACTAGTGATACAACGGGGAAACGCTGCATCAGTTTTGGGAACGATGGAAGGAGCAGAAAAGTTTAATGAAATTTTGATGTTGTAAAATTATGTTGCTTTAAGCTGTTGCATAACCGTTGTACCACAGGTAATAAAGACACACGTATTATGCAAATTGCTCTGTTTAAGTTTTGTATTTTTTAAAGATTTTCCTAGTTTATCCTGTTGATGGTGCCACTTCATTAGACATCTAAACTCGCACAACAATAAAAGTTCGTTTCACAAATTTTACTGCTGTGCTAGGATACAACAGTTGTTCTGCGCATTTTACTCTGCGTAGCGCAGGCAAAGCCCTGGGTTTTGCACAAATTTAGCTTAGAAAGGGTAAGCGGTACAATTAACTAAGAAGCGCGATGGGCGGCATCGTACGGTAGATCTGCGCGCTTAGATTTCCTCGAACGTTTTCAGGTACTCACTTTAAAGGATTTTTTTACCGGATGACAAAAAACCTATTATACGTAGTAGAATAGATTGTATCATACTCAGTGACGTATGTGTCAATTTGAGAGGAATATAGCACTATCCACACTATTAATATGAGTAAAATCAAAAACTGAAAAAATTAAAAAAAGCTTTTGACAATTTTCAAAATGTAATCCAATTCACGATGCCCCACCGGGCGGATTAAACTTCGTCCCAAAATAGAAGATCCTAAAATTCCTTTTTATTTTTAGTCAGCAAGGCTCAAAGTGGTAAAAATGGTAGAGAGAGAGCGTTAAGGCGTGCCGGGCAAGTGCGTGTGCACTAGGTTCTGTGGTGGTTCAATGGTGGTTCTATGTGGTTCTATAGGTTCACCTGGTTCACGGGGTAGAGTGGTAGCGTGACAGCGTGCCGGCAAGTGCGTGTGTAGCTGGTTCTGGGGTGGTTCTATAGGTTCAGAACCAGTGAACCACTGGTGTCCTAACTTGGACATTCTCTCATATAGAGTGGCTTTTCCCTTAAAACGGCCCATAAATTCGAATGCAACAAATCATTCTGCTGTTATCGCTCCCGGCTCCACCCATTACAAAATATTTTAATTCAGTTGCGAATGAACGCATTGACGAACAACTGACGTGCAGGGGATACGCCTGCTTACCAGAGTGCCTCCGCACCGTGAATACGGACTATCGATTTGTACCTGCCAAGGCCAGCTGTTCGGTCGAACCTGCACATAAAGATTGTCTTCGGATACCGGTAAACAGCGATGGAACAAAGCTGATTAGTATGGTTTTAAAACCTTTACCGGTGTACCACCATAAATGCGCAGGTTCTCCCTGCTGTCAGTGATTCCAGCATGATGGCCACAGTCCATACTGCAGATCTCGTCCTCGCCTTCCGGACAATTCGTCACACCTAAAGGCAGCTAAATCAATAACATCCGTTTGCAACTCATCAGACAAATTGTGTTATATGATAATTATGGTTGAATAAATAAAAATTTGACTGTATAAATATAATACTGCAGACAACAGTATCAAGTGTAATACAATTAATCTGGCGGTTACCGTCGCAGATCTGTTCTCTTGTGATGCAAGACTGATTGGTCTTGTCTGAGGGGCAGAGATGGGGTGTGGCCCGACCGCATGGAACACCTGCAGCTTAGCCGCTGTCTCAGCTGTATGTTCACCGCAACAGACACCTTTAGTGGCTGAACATGACCTACGGATTAATTGTAGCTGGAATTTATCTTCGGTCCCGTACCAGGCACCGCGAACTACTTCGATAAACTGCAATCAAAAGTTCGCCGAGTTGCAGAAGTGATACTCTCACAGCCGGATAATGCAAGGAAGCTTTAAAGCTTAATGGACATCGTAGATTGCAGGTCGCCCTGGTATGGGTATCTTGCTGAAAGTTCGCAAAATGATTTCTCCTACACAACGGGTCTGCCAGAACCTAACTACTTACCATAACATCGCTGTACGATAGAATGTCTACTCGATCCGCACCGCAACCGTATGCAATAGGTGATGCCGGCACTGCAAATAAGCTTGTCAGTGCCTCTGAAACTGCGATTGTCGTACTACTCGTAGTATGAAGCACTGCAACATACGCCTGGCATCCCAGATTTGTAGTCGCTCTCCCAGGCAGCCGTTCTGTGAAGTTTTGTTGGGCCAACGTGATCCAAACAAAAATTCCCTCGATTCGATCTGAAGTGGAACACTGACTGAATAACTCCCGTAAACCCGGAGTTACTTACGTAAATGTAAACAGTTCTTGTAAACTTGTAAACCTTTAATTAGGCTTTAAAGCATGTGACAATTCACCCAGAATTGTGAAAACTTTAGATTGCGTACAGGTTGCAACGCATCTCACGTTTACGCGATTTTATCAGTGAGTTTCAAGAAAAACTTATCTAGATAAGATTTTTGTTGCGGCATTTTAGTTGTCCAATTGTTAGGAAACTTAGACAACCTTATATGCGTTTAACCGGGTGTCTCGTGCAAAAATCGGTTCAGAAGAAGGTGCATTTTTCATCAGGCTAGTGGCTGTTTCTTTAGTACTTGTACCAGACCGGTTTTACTTAGAAAAAACTGAGCTTTAAAAGTCTGGGATTTACTTTCGAAGTTTTATTCAGTTTCAGATAAGAAGAAACATGAAGAAACTCGTGATTTATTAAAAACGGCGAGCATAGCTTGCTCTACTCGGCAGAGTACTAACAAATTTTACAGCGCCTATTGTCAACGTACAATATGACGTTGATAGCAACTGCACATGTTGCATGGCAGACGTGTACGGTATATACCGGTATCCGTGCTTACTTTAATGGCATGGCCGGGAGCGTCGATCGAATACACATACTCCGTACCAGTGGGATACTTTGCTGGATACAAGAGTGATTTGATAGTATATGGCTGATCATCACTCAGCGTAATCCGCTCCGAAATTTTGTCGGGAATACCTAAAACACCATTCAGCTGTGGCACTGCACTGAGAACGAATATCACTGTCGGTGACCGTGCTACTAATAAGACAAACGAACAATGAGGCATTGTGCCACTCAGCATCAGGCAAGCGCAAGCTTAGCATATTTTTTAATTAAATTTCGAGGCTTATCCGCATACAGCTGGTATGATTAGCCATAAAAAGTCCACTGATAAAACCGCAAAATTTATGGTTGCCAGGAGAAGCCGCAGAGTGCCGGGCACGCCGTGCCAAATCACAAGTGCATGAAAACATAACATAGTACTTCACGTGGTCTTACCGTCGCTTTGGCGGACATACCGCTTAGCACCATCGGTGTCATGTATACTGTTCAGTACAGATAACATTATTAAGTTCACCGTTTTACAAGCATGGCTACCTTGTCTTCGGGCGATGATACACGGCTTTCCGTAGCAGCCATGCAGTTGTACATGTATGACGTACGAGTAGTGGGAAAGACGATAATACGGGCACAGTGCTAACTTGACACAGAGAAGGCATATTTGCACTTCCCTCTGACATTAAAAAAACGATGGAGCAGCCGTTGATCTTATTACTAACACAATTTCAAACAATTATATTTTTTACAGTTTCACCGTATCTTGTTCTAAATGATGGGATTCCTGATACGGTTTCGAAAAGGATTACGTTGAACGATCACCAGATCTTTTAAAGTACGTCGTACAAGCATATGCTCATTTTTGGTGCAAAAAGCTGCCTTACAATGTGCAGAAACATTTCCTTTATCCGACAGTAAAAAGCAGTTAAATACTTTTTTTAAGTAGCCAGCTTTAATTTTGCTGAGTGTCTGTAGATGCATGAGACACACCACATCCATGTCACATATCACAAGTAATTACAAAGGCCAATAAAAAAGCATGGTATTTGTTTAACACAGGCGCGCTGATTTAAAATTCCAGTTTATGTGTAACGTTTTGTGCCAATATATATGCAAGCTCAATACTGCCAGGAATGCTAAAAATGAAAAATAATTCTACTGAAGAAGCCCGTTAGTAATTCCAAAAAACATTGATGGGACTGTCATGGGAGTGCTCCGGTGAATCCACATCAAATGCGTTGTAAAAGGTGTAAAGAATAAATTAATCATGTTATACATCCATGGTTGCCGTGCTGTTGGCCTGAACTCCTGTCTGGTTTCCGGTCAACGCCGGACATCCTCCTCCTGCGAACCCTTCCCTGCGATCCCAAAAAAATAAGGCAGCCAGCGCAACCAGACCGAGAACCTGCAAATGCACTATCGTTAAATCACTGCGTTTTGCGTATGATCTGTCACATTTCATTGTGGCAGCAGTGCTGCGTAAAATTAATTAAGACGTTCCGTCAAACCATCATATGGACCATTAGACCAACTGCGCAAAACTACGAAAGTATGCGTTCGCTTTCTATACGAGCTTTTTTATGCTTCTTAGATGAGTCAAACGAGGCCGGAAAACTTTATCAGCTAATTTTTAAAATCATTAAGCAGTAAAATGAATGCTATGACATTTTACAACGTAGTACGAGTTCTAAGTACGCTGTGCGAGTATAAATTGTGATTTACATCATCAAATTACATGTCGTTCAGTAGTGCATCGCATCGGCACTTTGAACTGATCTTACCGTAATGATCATTACGCGTTCCACGCTGACCATACGGAAAGCATAAAACTCCATGTGGCAATGCGACTTGGCGGCGGTCACCACTCTTTTCATAACGGAAGGTAGACCTTTGCGCGACGGCACTCCGGTGGCGGCAACGCTCTTATCCGTTGTCGAACTTGTGCTCTGTACGACATAAGAATAAATGTCAAATTAACTAGTGTATCAGACGCAATATAAGACCAAAAAACTCGAAATCAGCTTACAATTCCGCGGTTAAAAATATCGTAACAAAATTCAACAAACAGCGCATCGCGAACGCATCTAGTGCGCATATGCCGTCACTCGGCACTGTCGTCGCCAGTACTGGTTAGGAACAAAATGCTGGGCTTAGCAGAGTGCTTTATAGCAAACGATCTACGCCCCGCTATATTTATTCGCGCTATTAGCAACAAATTATTCACACTTTCTACATGAATCATGAGAAACTAAAACACAAGCGAGTTACACAACATCTACAAACACGAGCGGGCGAAGTTCGCCCGGCGAACGATCTACTGTGCGAGTACAGTCAAGTATTTTCTATAGTATTGAGTAAAGAAAGATTCTGGTACGTACAATGTAGCCTGAAAATAGTAGATGTGCGAGTCGCACATTCGGCATTAAATTGACCGCGCACGTGTACGGTTGCACTAGCCAGTTTGGTTGTGCCAGTCCCAGATCATTATTGTGTACGGTACCTGTCCGGTAGCCATCGGTTCGTCCTCCGTTGTCTGGGTCGGCTTGTGAACCTCTTCCTGCCGCAGTCTAATACAGTCACCCAACAACCGGCGGGAAATCTTTGCAATGTTGTTGTTCTACGGAAAACAGAGGAGACGCAATTAAGCTGACCCTGATTTTTGTACGTATTACAAGAATATTACTATTTATTAAGAAATCGGATGCCGCTACGGAGACAGGGCAATACATTCTTCTTATAATTCTTATAATTCTTATAATTCTTATAATTCTTATAATTCTTATAATTCTTATAATTCTTATAATTCTTATAATTCTTATAATTCTTATAATTCTTATAATTCTTATAATTCTTATAATTCTTATAATTCTTATAATTCTTATAATTCTTATAATTTTATAATTCTTATAATTCTTATAATTTTATAATTCTTATAATTCTTATAATTCTTATAATTTTATAATTCTTATAATTTTTATAATTTTATAATTTTATAATTCTTATAATTCTTATAATTCTTATAATTCTTATAATTCTTCTCTATTCCTACAATATTATTATAGTTTTTATAATTCATCTCTGTTTCCTCCAATATTATTCCTGCATTAAATTCTAGCAATGCTACATAGAACATTGTTCGCGTGGCAACCTAGTCCAAATTTTTTTATGGTTTTTGCTGTTAGTGTGTTGAAACTCGAATTATGATAAAATCATAATCATTCTTGCAGTTCGTCTTGTAGCGCACGCGTGTACGATAAGAGATCGTAAAGGTCAATTCCAGTGTTCCACGATTTCAGTGTTTCAGTGTTGGCAGTGACGTTCTGTCATTTATCGATATCACTAGACATTATAAGCCATGACTAAGTTTCTGTGGACAGCATTATTAGCCTTGTGCGTGACAGTTATGGTCCATAACGCAGGCGTAATGGGCAATTACTACGGCGAAGATGACGCCAACTGGCTGTACGACCAACCGCATCCGGCCTACTATCAGTACCCCCGTCCCACCCTGAACTCCGCCCGCCACATGGCCTACGATGACAATGGACTGTACGCTCCGCGATCGCGGCGTGGGATGGGCCGAGGATGATGGCAGCTACTGAAAGGGGCGTGGCTCTTATAATTTTTTTTATTGTAACAACTGGATTAGCGTATTACGGTACTAATCAGCAACTTCTTGCTTTCTCGCGGTTCGAACGTTTCAAACAAAGCGCAAAGTGTTATGAATAAAAATTGCCAAGATATTATGTAAATGTACACCGCACTTTTTATCTTAAACAGCTGGATCATGAAAATTGGCCAATCGGTTCGCGGTTGAAAAATTAACAGTAAAATCAGCAGTTAATGTGCAAAAGGAGCGCCAGTGCGCAAGAATCGCCGGCACTAACTTCGAGCTCGTTTTAAACTTTTAGTCCTACACTGCATTATTTAGAGATTTCTACGACAGAACTCGATCACATCTTCATTCCGACGTACGGCAATTAGGTATTATCTAAAAAATTAAAGCCTTCATGGGCAGGAAAATACCTTGTTTGTCGCTCGGTCCACCAGTACGATAAGGGTAATCATCATGCTCAAGTGCAATAAATTATGCGCACCGAAATAGGCCCAAAATAATGGATGACGCGGAGTGTCCGTCTCCACCATCATTTGGGCTACCGTGGAGGTTAGTGAATAGAAGGTCGACGCGCTGATCAGAAGCAACGGCAGTCCGACCGATGTCTCCATGTCTTCATGGATGCCGCCTAACGTAAGGGATCAAGTAGAAAGCAGTTTCAATGCGTTGTTGAAATGTTTCGGAGTGTAACTCAAATCGAAGCAAAAACATGCAATCAGAGATTTCAAAGGTCATTAATTTTATGGTTTTTCATAATATTTGTACGACAAATTTCTGGTAAATATGGCGTTAAAGCAATACCTCTATCAAGATATATATATACATTATATACGTTTGTTTTCGCTGAATCGATTTTCTTTCAGCCATACAGATTAATTTATCATTAATAATTTCTGCTGTAATTTATCATTAATAATTTCGTAATAGTCGAAACGTGTTTACCGATTTATCATTTTCAAAAGAATTGATTCATCATTTTTCAATCAATAATTATCGTTGATTTACAAATTTAATTTATGGATTTCTTATTAATAGTTTCTTCCGTAATTCATCGTTAATAATTTCGTATTATTCAAAACATGCTTACCAATTTGTCATTTTCAAAAGAATTGAATTATCATTTTATTATAAACAAGTATATTTTGAAATAAGTTTTTAATTAATTTTAAACCTTTTCAAATTTTTTTTATTTCAATGCCGAACACAAAAAATCGAATTATTCGAAGCGCACAGAGAACCGAATTTACCTAATGTTTCCAGTTGCATTTCAAACTGGCTGACCAGAGGTAATAATTCCGCGACAGATAAGAGGGAAAGACGCGGGGACAAGCTGTTCAGCCCATCGAGGATCTCTTGCGCGGCCCGGTTGAAATTGCAGACGATGGTCGTTATGGCAATAAAGCTGAGAGTGACGATGGCGGAGTTCATGGCCAACATCACCGCATACCACGCCTCCATCAGCACCTTGGGTAGCGTGACATAAGCGTACCGCACCGTGGTGGCAGTGAAGATATTAGCCACGACAGGCCGGAGAGCCAGCACCAGCATGACGGCCAGCAGGACGCCGGTCGGACCCAACGCCAGCAGCTGCGTCCGCCCGCCGTGACGGCCACGTGGAACGGTGGAGGGGAGATCGCTACCGGCATTGAAGTGTAATATCCGGTACAGTGACCGCTGCTTCCCATAAAAGTAAAGAAACACCAGCAAATGCGCCAAAGCGATTGTCGTGGTCATCTCGGAGAAGGTCGTGGTAACGACAAATAAGACAGGATTGTACTTGAGCCGCGCACAGGCACTTGGATAGTCCGCGGTACCGTTGACGAAAAAGTCTATCCAATCGACAGCGAGAATCAGTACATGCGCACTGACCAGTGCCGCACTGAGTACGATACGACGAGCGGGAGCGAAAAAGGTCATGATGGCTACGCGGCCGACCGACCAGATAATTCAACAGTTAGAAACTATACAAGAGAAGCGGCACGCGACGGTCCTGTATCTGGAACTGATACCGCTCGTCGCGAAAATTATATGTACAGAAAGGTGCGAAGGAAACCTGCCCGGCAAACTGTACGGTACGCCTGCTCCCGCGCCAAGCCGGGATCCTGGTGGCCCAACCTTGTGGGTGCCACCGCGGATGGTTTATGGCAGCCGCTATAATGCGCTTTCCGGTAAAGATTTACAAGTTTTACGGCTGTACGGTGTTTGATGCGCTACGTGACTGGGATTCAAACAAGTATCGTAGAATGCACAGTTGGTCGGCAAATGGCTATTCGATGTTTTATTTTGAGTAAATCCAGTGTTTGTGACTAGCGTAAATATCGCTATCTTTCGTTAACTATTCATGTTGTCTTTTGCGTTAGTTAAAATGCATTGCGAAGGCATCGAACTGATTTTCTGCTACTGGACAGAAGGCTTGTTAAGGACTTATCAAAAACATTTACTGAGTTTTTCGCACATTTTTTAGTAAGCACTGCTAGTATGTACTGGTACTATGTCAGCAAGTTAATAATTAGCGAACCATGGTGTAATATAAACTTAAACGACGATGCAGTACGCACAAACGTTATGTAAGCGCTCCAAAAGTCCATCATAAAATTCCAGTGCTAGCCGGAAACTGGTAATGGTAATGGTTCATTTGATAGCCGTTGAATCGCCGCTGCTTGATCACTGCTTGACGGTGGGAGGATGCGCTTGTACTGCATACTTATTTGGCAGACGATTTGCTTTAGAGTTTAGACATACGAGTATACTTCCAATGAATCCCTCGAACTGTAGAAACAGGGCTACAGTTATAAAGTCATAATTTCATTGTTGCAAATAAACCGTCAGGTATTCAACACCTGATCAGTCTGCGTCATCTCCGTTGGTTTCACTGGTACATCCTTGTTCTTACAGAACGTGGGCGAAATATCAATAACCTGTTGACGGTTCCAATTTGTAAGATAATTATGAGTACGTCCAACGTCCAACGCACATGTACCGATGACATTCATTACCGCAGCGATTCATAATTTCAGTAAACAATTACCCTTTTTTAACTTTTTTATAACTGCATGGATGAATTCTTTTAGCGAAATGATTATTCTGTATATAAATACCGGTATGCAGCGTGTTTACAGTACATTAAAATGTTGTTTACTTATTGCCAACTATTTAAATATGTAAGCTAACTATCGAGAATAAAATATTCAAAAAATTTAGTATGAGGTGCAGAAAGCCAGCGAAAATTATTTGTCATGTTTAAGTAGGCAGCTGCATCTCCTGTAAGTTAAGATAATTGCCGCATCCTGCGCTACTGACGAGTTAATGTACCGTAGTTTTTGCACTCGTAGCACTTATTAGCCGTCATCGTCATTTTGAAATTTCGAATCCGCACCGCTACGCACCACTCCGCAGCTGCACGGCTAAAACGTTTAGCCTAAAAGTACTGTACTTACAGTATTTCGAATTCGAAATTGATATCCAGCGCTATTACTGCCGTCAGCGCAGTAAATTCAAAGGATTGATAATCGTTTATTGTTGTTCAGTATATTAATTTTTTGTTGAGAGTTCATCACATTCCTATCGATACGACCATGGATGGGCCTGACTCACCCGAATCTCATGAGGTATGGTGACAACATGGATCATAAATCGGCTAACCTGCGAAGGCCATTTCAGTTTTAGTCGTGCTGATAATAAGGTGCAGAGATCGGAAGAACCCAGAACTGCTCGCACACCTGCGTGCATGCTAGGCAGTGTATAATTGATCATTGCAACTTGCAGTTATCGAAGCATTCGGGAATTTTGTTTGTTCGTTTTTTAAATTTTGTTTTGACTATAATATTATAAGTAAGATGGAGTACAGGAATGCTATCCAATGCCCGAAGCCATAAAAAAGACCTAGTATCTACCAGCTTTCAAGGAATTTATCATATTAATTATTAATCATTAATGACGATTGTGTCTGTTGAGTGGTCACGGAGCAGATAAACGCGTGCTTTTGAAACTTTAAACTCGGTTAAATTTTTTCTCGATGTTGAAGCTAGGTGTGCGCACTGCGCAGCTTGCATTTTGTAATACACTTCTAGTTCTTGATAACAGCACAAATCTGGGTTTTTTATTATTTTTGTTGTTTAGTACTCACGCGAAAAAGCGTGGGAAAACCGCTTTCTTCTTACGCGTGAAGTGAAATTAAGTTGTCGTCGGGATTTTACACTGCGCGCTGATTTTTGTATCGGGAGTGACCTTTTGCAGTACTTATACAGTTATATTCTGTTATTAAGTTCTTCGAACTCTTATTTTGTCCAGACAACCCCCGAGAACGAGGTCCCATCCCCTTTAAGCCAGCCGTCATGCAGTGAAGAGCACCACGACGAACCAGTGGAAGATAACTGGATAAAGAAGGCAACATGTGTGGCGGACCGATTGGCGTACGCCGTAGAGACCGGTGTACTGGCGGATGTCGTTCTTGTCGGGCTCACCGAGGAGAGAGCCGAAAAATTCTCGCCCACAGGCAAGTTCCTATATTAATAAAGAAATCAGTTTCAGAGTAAAAAAATTGAAGTAATTTTTCACTGTGCAGAATAAATGGCAATGAGTACTGTATTTACATTAAAAATACCGTAAGCGCTTATAATTAAAACTACGACTGTACCTCGTTTCATTTTCATTTACTTGCCTCGTACCTACAAATTTACTGCCAAATAATTTTTCTTAATTTTGCTGATGTTATTTTACTTGTGCGTAGTTCAATATTGTTTACTTTTGGTCTTCTAACCGCATATTTATTGATAAAATGGCGTTGTCCAGATGCATCCTGTCATTCGGGAGCACCGTCTTCAAGGATCTTCTGACCCAGTCTAACAACCAGCAGGATATTCCATTGCGGGTAGACGATCTCGATCCACAGGCCTTCCGAAACGTACTGCGGTATGTGCAGTAATTTTTGACAATTATTATACGATACAGGCACATCAGTTCAGTACCGTATTCCATACTTTACGTAATTACAGGATTCATTACGCACTTTTGAAACCTCTGCGTGTTGTTGGGGTGAAAGTTTTTCCTGTTTTCTAGCTTAGAAGGTTGTCGTTTTAAATTGTACCATCACGGTGCCTACTGTACGTCTGTGAAGAGACAGATTGATATCCAATTGCTAATGCATTCGGATTTTCCTTGCGTCGGCGAAATTTTCCCGTAAAGCTTTCAACGTTATACAGTATATCTGTAAAGTGCATTTTCTGGCTACTGGAGAGTTTATTTCGTTAACAGTTTATTTATTAATAATTATTAACTTTCTGTATATTTGAAAAACTGCGGCAGCAGTGAGCATTGCACTTTATTCGAGCATTTTTCAAGCAAATTGTTATGTAGAAAGGTCAAAATTAATAATAGCAATGAACAGTAACCAACTAACCATAGATGATGAAAGCTCAGTTCTGGACACGCTCGTGTTATAACATTGCTGTCGAGGTTTCAGGTTTCGCTGCGTAGGCTGCGTAGCTATCGCATAAAAAATCAAATGAGCCCGTGTATGCGATCGAATCGTTTGTCGACCCACTGCTCGGTTCCTTAGCAATAAAACCGGCGATAACCGCGACGCTCAGTAATTGCGGCCTAAACTTACCTAAACAGGATCAGCTTAAAACTGGCCGTTAGTAGAGGCGCACGATAGACAAAACGGTTCATTTGGCAAAAGAGAAGAAATTAAGAATTCTTTCGGTCGGGCGCACTGCCAACTGGCTCTTAGTTTTAGCGCCGTTAAAGCTGCATCGCACGAAACGATAAAAAACCCAGCCTGAAACAACTGGAGAGCTGAATCATAAAACGTAACGGAGTCTTACCGTAAGACTCTTACGAACAGGCGTCTTGCTGTTTTTCTTGTTTGGTTGTCCTGGTAAAGTGTTATCCTGGTTTGCTTAAAAAATAATTTCATCTGCAAAGGCTCAAAGGGCGTGGCCAAACAGCATATTAAAATAACATTATGGCTGCGTGCACGGGTAAACACGGGTTTTGGCTGCGTGCACGGGTGATATTTTTGAGTCCGCACGGGTGTTGGCTGGGTACACGGAGTTTGTGAACGGGTGTTGGCTGGGGGCACGGGATTCCTGCACGGGCGTTGGCTGCGTGCGCGGGAAATTATTTAAATTGTTTAATTTAAATTTAATTATATAATTTTGTTAGAAATTTTTTACATAATTACTACTTAGGAAACCTACTCACTTAACCCACAATTTCTCAACGAAAATACCTACCGCACGTACTGCGAAATTTGCTGTACATAGCAATTACAGAGTACTATGTTACCAGTTAATATCTATAGAAGTACTTGTTAGTGCAGTCCCACGAAGTACTTGAAAGTCACCGTAAGAAGATTCGAAGACGTGAGAATCTCTGTAAAGATTTTTTCCATGAAGATTTTTGTATTAAGGTAACGCCATTCCTGTGTAATATAGCCAAGTAAGAATTTCTGTCATACTTTGTGGCCGCTGGCCCGCTTATGAAGCAT